TATCAACACATTATATAAGAACATTTGATGTTAAAGGATTTGGAGGAATTTTGTAATTTAGTGAAAAATTTGAACAATAATCATGATAAAGAGTAGATTGAAAAGACTATTGAGCAAACTATGAAATAATTGAAAATTAATATAATAAGATGTTGAAGTATAACAATGAGTATTGATTATTTTATTTTTTGTGGGCTATTCCCTGAAAGGGTTAAGTAATAATAATAATAAATAAGGTATTGGTTTCCATTTATTGAAAAAGATTGATTTCGCCTATTAGCAATACTAAGCCCATTATATAAGCTACTACCACCATCAACTTAAATAAATACCACCATTATTAATTTCAACTATCATATCAGCTTAGAATGAAAAATAAAAATTGAATCAAAAAAAAATATTTTTTTCAATCTAACTAAATAAGTAAGTTAGGACCCCCTTCGACCTAAATAGCTATAAAATAATATTGATTTTATGTTGGGTTCAAAAAAAAATTTTTCATTGGTCTCTAGACAATATAAATCTATTAGAGAATGATATGTTAATTTAAAAATAAAACTAATTATCATGGATATTTAGAAATGGAATTTAAATAAAAAATTGATCAACTTAGATCATTAATATCATTTTCTAGTATTCCAAAAATTATACCGTAAAGCGTCAATATATTATTAATATTCACTATAAAATATCAATATTATAAATTAACATTCTAAGTCCCATTAGTCTGAACTTTTAAACCATTTTCAAAATATTATAAAACCTACATTCTAAATACAGAGGCAAATTTAGGAAACGTTTGAAGATATTAATTGATAGAATAGATACCTTCATAAAAATAGAATGATTATTGATGAGTATTTCTGTTAAATTGAAATAACAATAAAAATAATAGTTCTACGAGTTAGATGTATTATTTATAGTATGAATCAAAAAAAATCTCACTACAAGTCTGTTTATAAAGATGCTAAAATTTTTTTTAATTGTTTGTTTTTTCTTTAGGTATTTTATTGTTGTGGCGTAAGTTCTTTCAAATTAATTTTTTTTAAACCATACTTAGACCTCGAATAATTACACATTATTATATAATACTAGTCTCCAATCAAATCCTAATCAAATAAGAATTAAGAGAAATATTATATTCTATTAAGTCTGTTTTAATAGAAATAATTAAAATAGATTAAGCATCTTTTCAATTATTATTTAAAAAAAAAATGAATAATGTATTTCAAATCATATAAACTAAAGAAATAATACTGCAAGACACTCTAGTTTTTATTTTAGGGCAGTAACGGAATAATTAAACTATTCTTATTTATGATTCAAATGGTCTGTTATTTAGAGAATATTTATTACTTGATTTTAAGATTTCGAAAGCAATTGCAGATCCTAATTTACGATTTCTTCTGATGTTGACAGAATTAGAAAATAATGAAACTATCCTATATCAAGCTTTTTTGGAAAAATCTTTTACTCCTATATCTAGTATTCGTATACGTTCAATCAAAATTCAATAAATTGAGTGGTGCAATAGCAATATTTGTGCTTTAGCATTTCAAAAAGAGATATTTTTATATAATATATTTTCATAATAAATTTTGAAACAATTAGATGTATAAAATTGTTAAATGGTATAATTCAAAATTAACTCAAATTTTGACACTTTGTTATTTTAATATTAGGATAATTTAGGAAGTGCTTAAACATGTTCTGTGATGCATCTTGATGATTTCTCTAAGAAAATGAAATTTACTAATTGTGTTTCTTGCCTTGCCTAAATAGAAAATGAAGAACATTTACTAATAATTGCAACAAGGAATAGCGTTTTAACTTTAATTAAAATGAAGTTTAACTCTGAATTATCAAATAAACAAGAAATACAACAAAACGAAATTTCAAATTTAAAAATAACCTAATCCATTTAAATGAAATACGGAAAGTAAAAATTGTATTTACTTGATTCTTCAACAAATTTATATTTATTTTCTCTAAACAATGATTATAAGATGATTAAAATTAAGGAAATTGAAAATGTTATTAATTTTAGTGTTTCTATTCAAAATGAATATTACTTCTATATTAACAAAGATAATATTTTATACTAGGAATATATTCAAAATTAATAATTTAATATTCAATAATTAGATCAAGCCGAATTGTCATTAGCTTCTTAAGGAAAAAAATTAGCTATGCAAGGAATTTTAAGCCAGCAAGAGGATATTTCTTTGAGCATAAAATAATATGCCTCAAATTACGATAAAATTACCCCATAATTTAGGTCTATAGTGGATTTATTTAATTAATTTAAAAATCTTCCGTTGATCGATTTTAGGGTTTTAATTTTACCATAACAGCAAAAAAAAGAATTTAAGGATTACATTCCTTAAATGCATGATTATATTGAAACTTAAAGTGTAAAACATCATATAAATAAAATTGAAATTGCTTTAAAAGGAGAAAATCCATTATTATGCGAAGGAGATGCAGCTAGTGGGAAAACATCAGTTATATAATACGTGGCTTATAAAAAAAATTAACCATTATTAATTATGAATTTAAATTCATTTACTCAAATAAGCGATTTGATTGGGAAAATTGAAATTCTACCTGGTTTCAAATTAGAATTTTAACCAGGTCCTTTTGCTCTAGCTGTACAATAAGGTTTCTGGATTCTTTTAGATGAAGCAAATTTGGCAAGCGATTCGATTTTAAGAGTAATCGAAGATGTATTAGAATTAGGCTATCTAACAATTTTTGGAACTTAAATCAATCCTCACCCTGATTTAATTGATGGAACACTGACGATTCGAAAACATCAAAACTTTAAGTTATTTTTAACACAAAATCCTGCAACAGATGAAAAATTCGCTAAGTCAAGAAATTTATTTTCTCCATCTTTAATGAGTTAATTTATTTTAATTACTTTTCCACCTATGAATGAAAATGATATGAAATCAATTATAAATTAACTAATTTCCAAAAAATTCAAAAATATTCAATTACCAATTTAATCCCAATTCTCTTCTTTAGTAATAGACTTATATTAGGAAATAAAGAAGAATAAATTAGATGATGGATTATTTACCTTGAGAGATATATTATAACTTGTTGACACTGTATCTCTTGATTCTAATTATCAAAATATTTTTGGAATCGATATTTTACCTATGTAATAGTGTTTGAAATTAATAATAACCTAATTTTTATAATAATTAGATAATAATAAAATTATAAATAAGGTTCTTGATAATTTTTAAACGATTGGTTACTCAAATAAACAGTTTGAAGATAGTCAATAAGAAAGATTACGGCAGCTTATAAATTGGAGTTTATAATAACCAGAACTCTACCTTTCATTTCATAATTTTCTATTTCCTTTTCTAACCTTATGTTATCGAACCAAAAGGGCAGCATTAATTGTTGGATAATAATATTGCGGCAAGCTATCAAGTGTGTTACTTTGGTTGAAATATTCAAAGATCAACAATTTTGAAGTATATTAATTGTCTTAGAGTACAACATACGAGGATTTGTTTGGAAAGTATCAACCTGTTAAGGAAGATTTTTAATTTATTGAAGGACCCATCACAAGGTGTTTCGGAGAAGGAAAAGTCTTGATTTTGTTAAATATAGAAGCTCCAGAAAGTGCACTAACGGAATCATTAAATGGAATTTTAGAGAAAAATTTCCACTAGTTATTAGTATTTAATAAAAAATATTCGAGACATAAAAATTTTGCCATAATTGGAATTTCTTCTAATGCTTAAGATATTAAAGATAAATTTACTCCTGCCTTAAAAAGCAGATTTTTAACAGTTAATCAAGAATTTAAAGTAATCAAATAAGATATTGCCTTATTATTCTAAATTACGAAAATCCAAAGTAATGAGGATGAAATCGCAAAGGAATTAGATTTAGAAAAAGAGGGAATTTCATTTAATAAAATTATCAGATTTATTAAACCAATTACAGAATTCCGGAGTTTTCTAACTTAGTACTTGAAGTTTACAGAAAATAATGCGCAAAAAAGAATTAATAATTGCATTTAATTTTTTATTGCCTTAAGTAAATAAGACAATCGCACTCTTTATAATGAAAAAATATAATTGCCCCTTGAATATAAAGATTTATAATCTGAAGAGTAGAAAAGTAACTTTGTATTTACTTAATCTCGAAAAAAAGTTGCAGATATAATTGCTATTGCAGTTGCTGCTAAAATTCCTTTAATCTTGCAAGGATCCGCTGGAGTTGGGAAAACAAAAATAATTAAACAATTTTAAAAAGAGTGTGCATTTTTTAAAAACACTAAATTCTATTATATTAATATGAACTAAAATACAGATTTGAATGATTTAATGGGTCATTATATATCATCTTGTGAAAAAGATAAAAAAGAATTTGAATTTTAAAAAGGCCAATTATTTTTGGCAATGGAAAATGGAGGAATAGCATTATTAGATGAGGTAAATTTATCTGAAATCAGTATTTTAAATTTTCTAGCTTCAATAACGAAATACCCAAAAACATTTATTGATCCAGTTTCAAATCAAATAATATAAGTTCATGAAAAATTTAGAATATTTTTCGCTTAAAATCCTCCGTACTATATAAATAGAAATGAACTCCCCTTAACTCTAACTTCTAAAGTAGTAATATTAGTTATACCAAATTACACTTTAAAAGAAATTCTTGAAATTTTTCAAGGAGAATCTTAATACATTCTATAAGGAATTTAATACTTTTTAACTAAAATTATACATTATCCTGAAGATGGTGACGAGAAATTACTGAAATTTAATAACACTCAATTTACATTAAGACAGTTTATTAAATTCAGAAATCGTTTAGAAAAAACAAAATTTTAAACTAAGTAGAAGAATTGGGAAAAATTATTGAAGTTGCATCAAATGATTCTTTATCCTCTAAATTAATAAGAATAAGATAATCTAAATTCTGAGATTATATATTAAAAAACAGAAAACATATTTGATTTTAAAATAAAGAATAAAGATTCTGAAATAAGGATACCTCTTTTAGCTACTAATGGATTTAGTGAAACTTTACTTTAAGAAATATAAAATCTTAGCGATAAATAAAGATTAGTTTTAAGTAAATTAGCATTTTGCTTTCACTGCAAAGAAAATGCATTAATTGAGGGAGAAACAACTTCCAAAACCTATCTTTCATAACTTTTTTCTTAAATGATACAATTTTAGAATCCTACTCCATTTCAATTAATTTATATATCTAATGTAACAGAAATTACAGATTTAATTGGTAATACAGAATCTCATAATGTTCATTCTTATAAAAAGCATTGTTAGAATTTAATAAACAAATTAGGCATGGGAATGGATGATAAAGATATAAAAAACAGCTTACAAGTTATTGGTAAAAAATGGTAAGTTGATAATTATATTAATCAAATTATTAAAAATCTTAATAATTAATTCCCCTTTGTAGAAAGAGGATTGACATTTAATGCAAGATTTGGTGGAGTTATTTGTTTAAAGAATATTACTTTAGCAGATTAATCTGTCTTGGAAGGTTTGAACTCATTACTTGAAATAGAGCCATATTTTGTTGTAAATGGGAAAAAAATAGATTTACACTAAGAATTTTTTGTAATTGGATTACTAAACGATACTTTTGGAGGTTAATTAAGTGATGCATTACAATCTAGATTAACAAGAATTGAAATTGATGTCACTGATTTTTTAGATTGTAACAATAAACTTTCAGAAAGTTATACAAAATTTATTTAACAAAAAATTAAATCAATTAAAGAGCAAAATGAAATTATAAACTATATCCAATAAATTTTGATCGTCTTAAAAAGTCATAATTTGGAATACTATAACAGTTTGACTTCTACTAAATTTTACTCATGGATGAACTATTTAGATCTTAATCTTAGTGCAACTTCTTTGGAAAAACTTGCGTTAGGAGTTTAATATATTGTGTTAGACGAGAAAAAAGAAAATTTCAATCAATATTTTACAACACAATCTTTGTAAGTTCTTTACAATAAGGCTTAAATAATTTTACAAAAAGAATTAGGAAATAAAGGTATCTAAAATTCAAAGAATATTATAACGAATCCAACTACAAATAAAATAATTGAAAGAATATTTTGTGCATTTTCTGTTTCATATATTCCTTGTTTAATTGGACCACCAGGAGTAGGGAAATCAGCAATAGCACAATAAATTGCTTAAATTTTAGGAAAAGAATTTCAACGTGTTTGTTGCTCGGATAGCTTATCAGTAGAGGATTTATTTGGTTCTTATGCTCCTGTTTATGAAGCAGAACAATCAGGCTTTATTTTTTAAGAAGGATATCTAGCAAAAGCTTTAAAAAAATAAAGTCTGATTTTATTTGATGAAATCAATTTAGCTTCTCCAGAAGTACTAAGTACTCTTCAAGCTTTATTTAGGAAGGATGAAACAACGTTATAAATTAAAGATTAATTGATTAATAAAAATGGTTGTGTATTTTTATGTTCTATGAATCCACCAACTTACCAAGGAAGGCAAGAATTGCCCTAATGTATATCAAATTTATTATCTACTGTTTATCTAGAATAATTTAGTATTGACGAAGTTTTAAACATTTTTAGAAAATGCTATTAAGAAAAAATTTTAAATTTAAAATAAGATGGAATTGATTTTGAACCTATTCTTGAACTACACAAAGAACTTTCATAAATTCGATAATCCTCAAATTATGATTTTAATATAAGATTCTTACAAAATCTTCTCTAGTTGTTTAATAAAAAATTTGTTCAATAAAGAAAGTAAATAAAGGATGAAAAATTAAAAAAAGAATTAATAATATTATGTTTAGACATAATTTATGTTGAACATTTTTATTAAACAGATTTAGACTTAGCAGATAAAATATTGTAAAAAATTTTATCTAAATTTTAAATAACTGAAAATGAATGGTAAAATAGAAAAGTACTTTTGGAACAAAAAGCAAATTTGATATATATCAATAAATAAACTGAAAAACAAGATAGATGGGAGTAATATTTAAAATTTCCATTACGTTCATAATTTACCCCTTAAATGACAAATAATGCTTATGCAATAAATTTATAAAATTCAAAAATATTTGAGAAAATTTTAATTGCGTTATAATCTAAAAAAGTTATTTTGTGTTAAGGGGACCATTCCACTGGTAAGACTACTAGTATTATAAAAATGGCGAGTTTGTTGAACCAAAGATTTATTTTGCTACCAATACACTGTGATTTAGAAGCTGATGACTTACTAGGTAATTTTGCTATAGTTTCAGAAAATTATGAGGAAATTTAATAAGAATTAAAAAATATTGTTGAGTCAATAAACCAAGTAAAATAAGAGAAGGCCAAAAAATAGTCGATGAACATGCAATATATCGAAGGAGTCTTAAAAATTTGTTTGTAATTTGGTTATTGGTTGATTTTGGATAATATCAATTTAGCAAGACCTGAAATAGTGGAAAGATTGAATTCTTTAGGTGAAGATCAACCTTGCCTATTTCTCAATGAATTTGGTGAGGAAAATCAAAAAATTATTCCACATAAAAACTTTCGCTTAATTTGTATATAAAATCCTTTGAGAGTGGAATCATATGATCTCTCCCCAGCTTTTTATAATAGATGCTTAAAGATTAATTTTCGCTTTCAAACTCAAGAAAATTATTCAGATATGATTGATATTTTAACTAAAAGAGGCGAAGAAGGACTTGCAAAAAAATTATAAGACTAAGTTATTTTTATGGAGAAACATTGTAATTGTAGGATTAATTTAAGATAAATAAAACAGGCATTTACAATGATTCAAGAAAATGGATATAAAAATTACAATTCCGTTATGGAACTTGTCTTTGGTTAAAAGTATACAGAATGTTAAAAACTTAATGAATTCCCTATTGTTGATTCTACACAATAAATAGATGGTGAATAAATTTTGAAAAAATTAGAATCAAGTTCATTTGATTTACAAAATGAAAATAAAAAATCAATTTCGGAATGGTAAAATTTATCTACATTTTTAAAAAAGTATTTAAATTAAACAGAAATCATAAATAATCAGTATTTTTTTGATTAAATAGCAGAAAAAATAAAAATAAATGAAAATAAACAAAATGATGGAATCTATGAGTTGAGTTCAGAAAAAAGAATTAATTATTCTTTATGTGGCCTCGATTTTCTTTTTGAACCAAAAATTTTGTAATTTCAAGAACTTAAGTCTTTCAAAATGAGTATTCGTATCAAATTGTTGAAATAAGATTTTATGGCTGAAATAAAATTTAATTCAAAAAAATTCTTTATATAATTTGAAAAAAAAGTTGATGATGATATTTCAATTGGTATGATAATTGAATAGATGGTTGAAAAATAATATTAAGAAATGTATAAATTTTTTAAATCTATGTTTGAATCAGCAGTTTATGAATGCAAAATATATTTAGAATAAACCTCACAATTTAATTTTAATTTTAAATTAGATGAATTTTCTCTTTCAAGTCTTCCTATTTTACAATTAAAATGTATTCAAGGATCATTTCATACAAACAAAAAAAATCTCGTGGACTTTAGCTTTGATTTTGAATTGGTAATTTGCAATATTAATATTGGAAAGATAAATAATTTACAATCACTGAGAGGAGAAATTGAATTATAAACAGAAAAAATTATTAATGTATTTAAGGATTATGGTTGCTTTTATTTGTTATAAAATCTAAATCTACATCCTCTCCAAAATGAACATTCTAATTTAGATTTAATAGAAGGAAAAATTGAAATAAAATTAGGTTCAAATAGTCCAATTTAAATTTTGAATTGGCCATTCCATATTAAATTTGAAAAAATATATGCTTGTTTAAAATTAAAGGATGATATCTCGTTGAATGGAAGCATTATAGGTTCATTTTAGTGGTTTCAAAAAGATATTTGTGGCTTGAAACTTAGCATAGATAATAACAATTAATAGATGTTTAAATTAGAATTAGATTCTGAAAAACCTCCTCTTGATGCATATACAATTTTAGAATAATTCTTTAATAATTATTTTGAAACCAATATTTTTGTAAAGGAATTGTCTAAAATAAATAAAATGATTATAAAAAAACTGGATANAATTTCGGAATGGTAAAATTTATCTACATTTTTAAAAAAGTATTTAAATTAAACAGAAATCATAAATAATCAGTATTTTTTTGATTAAATAGCAGAAAAAATAAAAATAAATGAAAATAAACAAAATGATGGAATCTATGAGTTGAGTTCAGAAAAAAGAATTAATTATTCTTTATGTGGCCTCGATTTTCTTTTTGAACCAAAAATTTTGTAATTTCAAGAACTTAAGTCTTTCAAAATGAGTATTCGTATCAAATTGTTGAAATAAGATTTTATGGCTGAAATAAAATTTAATTCAAAAAAATTCTTTATATAATTTGAAAAAAAAGTTGATGATGATATTTCAATTGGTATGATAATTGAATAGATGGTTGAAAAATAATATTAAGAAATGTATAAATTTTTTAAATCTATGTTTGAATCAGCAGTTTATGAATGCAAAATATATTTAGAATAAACCTCACAATTTAATTTTAATTTTAAATTAGATGAATTTTCTCTTTCAAGTCTTCCTATTTTACAATTAAAATGTATTCAAGGATCATTTCATACAAACAAAAAAAATCTCGTGGACTTTAGCTTTGATTTTGAATTGGTAATTTGCAATATTAATATTGGAAAGATAAATAATTTACAATCACTGAGAGGAGAAATTGAATTATAAACAGAAAAAATTATTAATGTATTTAAGGATTATGGTTGCTTTTATTTGTTATAAAATCTAAATCTACATCCTCTCCAAAATGAACATTCTAATTTAGATTTAATAGAAGGAAAAATTGAAATAAAATTAGGTTCAAATAGTCCAATTTAAATTTTGAATTGGCCATTCCATATTAAATTTGAAAAAATATATGCTTGTTTAAAATTAAAGGATGATATCTCGTTGAATGGAAGCATTATAGGTTCATTTTAGTGGTTTCAAAAAGATATTTGTGGCTTGAAACTTAGCATAGATAATAACAATTAATAGATGTTTAAATTAGAATTAGATTCTGAAAAACCTCCTCTTGATGCATATACAATTTTAGAATAATTCTTTAATAATTATTTTGAAACCAATATTTTTGTAAAGGAATTGTCTAAAATAAATAAAATGATTATAAAAAAACTGGATATTATTACAAATGCCAAATGTTGGAATTTTCAAATGTAGATTTAACTTGATTTTAAATTCCAAATTTTTGGAATCATTAATTTTGAAATTAAAACATTAGAACTTTATTGCCATGTTGATTCGTAAAAAAGAGAATTTTCCATCATTTCCACAATTGAGTTTTTTTCATTCATTTTAGAGATCGGTATGGCTATTGATTTTGAGTAAAAGGCTGAGTCATTAAAAATGATTTTTCGAAAATCTTAACATTCTCCTACCTTTTAAGAAATCATAGCTTCATATTCATCTGAAATAAATTGTATTTTGGAAAAAATCCCAGGATATAAAGAGTTAAAAATAAATAATAAAATTAAAGAGTTAAATGTTGAAAACTCCTCTGATTTCTTTGATATAAACAATTTCAAATAATTAGGAGAGAAAATAGTTTAAGATTTTAAAGAGCAAGCTGTTAATGTATAATAAACTTTCGAAAAAAAAATTAATGATTAGATTGAAGAAAAAAAAGCTTTAATTAGAGAAAAGGCTAGAGCCATAATCGCTAATGTGAAAGAATCATATATAGAATGGAAAAATAATTAAATCATGTTCTAATTTGAATTTCCTTTATCAGTTGAATGGAAAATTTGTAGCTTTTTAACTTTGTTTGACTGTAATTTGTTATTAAATAATATTGAAAATCAAATTAATGTGGAATTAAATGGAAATGTTAAGTTTATGGATATATTATTACCTAAATTTTCTCTAATATTTTCAAAAAACAAACCAATTATTATGACAATAAACCACCAAACTTTAGCCTAAGAATTTGATCCAATTTAATTTGGTCTAAGCCTCTTTGATTAAAAATTTGAAGAAATAAACATCTTTCCTAAAATTAATAAAATTGAGAAGTTTTTGTTTAATTTTTAAACATAAGATTTTGATAGTAATTTCTCAATTACATCATAATCTTGTTTAAATAATTTTAACTTTATAGCTTGTTAAAATCTCCAGATAATAATCAGAATTTAACACGAATTAAAAAAGCCAAATATGGGAGCTGATATTTTTGCTCAACTACAAGTTAAAGTAATATTTTTTGAATTGAATATCGATTTAAAGTTAGATTTTTCGGAGCTTGCCAAAAATTAAAATAGCAATTCAACAATAAAACTTTAATTACAATCTGAACCTATTGAAAATTTTTCTTTTAATGAATTTATTTAAAACATACTTTCCTATACAATCTCAAAAGAAATCGCTGAATTTAAAATTGAATCAATTATCTGTTCAATCTCATTTGAAAAAAAAACTGATATTTGGGTATGTTCTTCAATATTAGATATTAAAAATGGCTAATGCTCTTTTTTTTAAAATTTAATATCCATATGTAATCTTAATGGATAATTAATTTACTGCATTTAAAAAGGATGGATTGGCAGTAGAATTAAAGGAGATTGTGTTATTAATTAAGTAAATTTAGGATAATTTGATATAAGCATAATAAAAAAGGAAAGAAAAGAGGATAATTGTATTTAAGCAAAGTTAATTCCTAATGAAAATTTTTCACTAGTAAAATTATTATCAGAGCTTACTGGTGAGGAAATAAAATTGTCTATTTTTTTTTTCGATAAAAGTCATTTCTCAAACCTTAACATGGAATTTGAAATTGTAGAATCTTAAATGCTTTTCAGAGTGAAATATAAAAGAGATTAGTTATAATTTGAGAATTTTCGATTTCTATAACTTGAAAATATTAATGCTAAAATTGACTTTTTGTCAAACAAAAATGGCACAATATCAAAAGAACTTTTGATAGATTTCAATGTGAAATTATTTAATTATTCAAAATAGGCAAAGATAACAGGTTTCCCTTTGAAAATTGAAAATATTTAACTTACAATAAATGAAAACATATACAAGTTATTTGATTATGAAATTTTCAAAGAATTTAAAATTACTAAATTTAAACTTTTTGAATAGATTAAACTAAAAGTTGATTTGAATGTTACATTTAATTCTGACTTGAGCTTTGAAGATCTGACAATAATAGGAAAATTTAAAAATGAAAAAGTAGAGGAATTTATATTTATTAAAAAAATTTCGTTAAAGTATCAATATCAACAAAAATCAATTCAATTATGTGGAGAAATAGTTTTATTTTGTACATTTATATTCGATTTTTCATATAACATTTAAAGCAAAAAATTATTATTCAAACCAAAGTCTTAAATTAAGTTTGGGGAGTTAATCAGAAGATTTGACAAAAATTTTGATGGTGAGTAAGATATTAGCATTTTAAAGTCGGAAATTAAAAAGGAGACTGTAGTTGAAATAGATTTTTCTTAAGAAACTTTTTTTCTTGAATAAAATTTCGATGAAAATCTTTTTTAATTTTATGTTAATAAGAAAAAAATTTTTATTTTAATATCATTTATGATCAGAGAACTAAAATTTGAAGCTATATCATCCTACTTAAAAAGGTTGGATGATTATTTTGCCTTATAAAAAGCTGAATGTCTGTTCATCTATTCCAAATCTAATGAAATAGATGACAGAGACTTATGTTAATTTGAAAATAATTCATAAATTGAAACATTTTTGACAAATAATAAAGAAAATTAAATAGAAATAAAAGGAATAAGTGTGGCAGCTTAAATAGAGTTCAAATTAAAATCATAGTTAAAAGCTTTCCTTTTTTTTGCTGATTAAATTTAATTATAATTTTATTTTCATTTTTTTAAGGGAAAAATTAAAATTAAAAGTAAAAAATACTAATTTAATAGTGAAAAAGGCATAAGATGTTCACTTTAATTTTCTGCATCTTATGATATATAACAAATAAATTTTAATTTGTCATTGAATCTAGATTTAACGAAAACTTTTCAAGATTTTGGGGTATTAAATCTGGAGGGTGAACTATCATCAAACTTATCTCAAATTAATGGCCATTTAAAACTAAACTATTAACATGCATTTGGGTTTAAAAACTGGACCCTTGAGGGATAGTGCAAAGTAAATAATACTTCAATTGAGGGACAAATTAACGCCAAAATATAAGATTATTAAGCTCGGCTAATCTTAAATATTGATAAGTTTTTCGTACCTAGAGGCTTTGGATTGCTAGTAAGAAATATCGACTTTAATACAATCTTACAATTTTTTGGTTTATCTCTACCTGAAGGATTTCAAAATTATATCCCAACAATAGAAAAATTAGGAATGATTTATGGATAACTAAGTGAAGAAGCTTAGAATTAAATAATGCCTGAAATTGCTGAAAAATTGAAAGAGCAAGGGTTACTTCCTAATTTCTTGGATAATATTTTAAGTGTGTATTTGAAATAATTCTATTTTGTTATTGAATCCTCTACTAAAAAAAAACAATTTAAATTCAATTTTACGCTCTTTAAGGATGTAAAAAAGTTATTTTTTTTTTGTAAAGGTGGTTTGAAAGTTGAAGTTGGAAAGTATTTTCTTTTAAATGTTTAAGTCGAAGTTGAGTTGATTGAGAATTTTTCTGTTCAAGGAAAGGGATAAATTATTTTTTTAGATTAAAGTGAACAAATAGGATTTGTTTTCAAACCACTTAGTATTGAATTTCAAGTAGAATTATAATTATTAGAATATTATTTCGATTTAGAGTTAAAATTAGAAAATTTTATGTCAATGAGTGGTTTATTAGGGTTTAATTGTAACAAAAATTCTCAAAAACTACAATCTAAATATACCTTTTTTAAATTTATTAATGTTGAAAAAATAATAATAAAATTAGAAATAAATGAAGAAATAAAAGCTACTTTAGAATATTCTATTGAAATACTTAATTTCAAAAAATTTGAGAATTCTTTAGTAATTAGTTTTAATATTAATCTGATTAAATAAATGATAAAAAAAACTTTCGATTTGTTTTTAAAATTTTTTGATTTACTTCCTGAGAATATAAAAAACTTAATAGAGGAAATAAATAACAATTCTAAAATGATTTTAGATTTTTGTCAGAAATTATTAAATACAGATGTTAGTAAAGAATTGGAAGAGATAAAAAAATAATTTGAAGATTTAAATGAACCATCATCAACAATAAACAATGAACCATCATCAACAATAAAAAATTAACCATCATCAACAACAAAAAATGATCCATAATCAACAAAAACATCAAAAAATGGACCGTCATCAGGATCAAAAAGAGAACCATTATCAAAAAGATCAAAATCATCAAAAAGATAACCATCATCAAAAACATCAAAAAGAGAACCATCATCAAAAACTTCAAAAAGAGAACCATCATCAAAAACTTCAGAAACATCAAAAAGAGAACCATCATTAAAAAATTCAAAAACATCAAAAAGAGAACCATCATTAAAAAATTCAAAAACATCAAAAAGAGAACCATCATTAAAAACATCAAAAAAATCAAAAAGGGAACCATCATCAAAAACTTCAAAAATAACAAAAAGAGAACCATCATCGAATTCATCAAAAAAAGAACTCTCATCAAAAACATAAGGAGAATAAAATTAAGGTTTATAATATTCAAGTTAATTCTAATAGGAAATAAAAGAATTACAGTTACCAAGCTTATAAAATGAGTAATCTTTAACCTAAAAGAAATTGCATAAAATCTAAGAAGATTTATAAAAATAAGAATTAAGTGCAAAGGAATTATCATAAGATATTAAAAATAATTATCAATAATTCTCAAGAGAATTTTCATCAAATCAGTAAAAACAGACAACTTTGGAATAAAAATCGAAAAACTTTTAATAAAGTGATCAGGAAAACTATCAAAAACTATAAGAGTTAAAAAAGGAATTAGAAACATTAAAATAGGAAGACTAATTAAATTCAGAACGCCTTCAACAAATTCAATAAAAGTGCAACTTCTAAATTGAAAAATAATCAAACTCAAAATAATCCTAAGAACTGGAATGCAATTTTAAAGAGCTCGAATAAGAATAGATTCAAAAATAATAACTGGATAAACTTTAGGAATATTGCCGAAATACCAAAAAGGAGTTTGATAGATATAATGAAGAATTGAAAAAGACTAAAGAAGAATAGAGAGAACTCTTAGAGGTCTAATAAAATCAAAAAAAGCAATTTTCTATCCTATAAAAAGAGTATGTAGATTGCTCTCAAGACTCTGATATAATATCTATTTAATAAGTTTTTTCAAAAGATTTTTAATCATTCAAAGTAAGTTAGCAATAAATCCATTAAATTACTCAAAAAATTTAAAGCATTGAATAAAAACAAAATGAAAATATTAACATACTTCTAGCATTCTCTGATAAATTAGAACAATATTAGTTAAATGCAAGAAACTTATAAATACAACATTAAATATTTATCCAAATTTAGAATGAGAACCATAAAAATTTGATTGAGCTAAACAAATTTAGTTAAGAATTGTTATAATTCTAAATAATTAATTTCTAAATTTAGAATTTGTATAATTTAAAAGTCATCATCCTTCAAAAGAAAAAATCTAATATGAAGCAAAACAATAATAACAACGCAAAACAAGATTAAATTAGTTAAAACATAGATAATATCCCCTAAGATACCAATATAAGTGAGGATGATTTACAGTTATATACAGTTGAATAAGAAATTTTTGAAGAGTGGAAAAAGTCTTAAGAAAAAAGTGTTTTACCTTTTTCAGGTAGAATAATTATTAACGATTAAATTACTAGTTTGAACTAACTCTTAAAGTTAGGTCACCTTTTTCTCAAACTACAATTACTTCATTAAACATTTGAAGTAATTTTGTCTGGATAAAATCTGCCAATAATTTTAAAAACTAAGGATTAGCCTATTACGATTAATTTATTGGATCGAATTTATCATGGATTATAAGGAAAATGCAATACCAATTTCCAACATATTGAATTAAAAGATAATTCAATAAATGATTTTATAATTTTGTTTACTGAAAAAAAATTAGAATTCTCAAATTAGTGTAAAGAAGAGTTATTAAAGGAAGGAAATTAAAAGATTTTTATAATTAACCATGAAAAAATAATAAATTTGGAAGTTTAAAGTGGAGAAATGAAAGAGATACCTTCAAATATTTTTGAATTGCTTTATGAAATTACATAAAGAAAATAATAAAATTCAGGCAATATTAAGTTAGATACTCAAGAAATAAATCATTCAAAAGATAAGCCTTAAATTAATCTTAAAGAGTCAAATAATTTGAAACTTTAATTAGAAATTAGTAAATATACAAAATATTCATTGTCCTCTAAGGGCACTGCGATAGATATTAAAGGAATTATCAAATTTTTCTGCACCAATGGAACAGCTAAAGATATAATGAAAAAGAAAAATAAGGGAGGGAAATCTTTATATATATTCTTAATTGTTTTGGATTTGTCATAATTTTCTATAGATTCTCTTAATAATATACTTCTACCATTTTTATATTAATTAATTGAATTATGCAAAGAATGTAAGATAGTATGCAATTTACTTATCTATCATAATCCTATAATTAGTGTAAAATCAACTTTTTCATTAGTTTGGTCTGATTAGGAATATGAACTATTGATTGATAAAATACGTGATGCTTTTAGCGATTAATAAATAGAATATAATGTCGAGATATTAGATTCTATTTAAAAAAAATATTTTGAGAAATTCAGTCATTATAAAAAATATTTACTATTTATCAACCACCAGTTCTATAATTATCCTTATCAAAGGAATTTAAACTTTATCAACCAAACTTATTAAAAATAAATAAAATTAGTATCTATTGGCACAGGAATCACAAAACTCGCAAATCACTTGAACTTGATAGAAGGGATTCTACATTTTTAACTAACTAAACCAGATGATGTCTATAGTATAATGAAGGATTTGTTATCAAAAAAGTATTAGAAATAGCTCTATAATAATCAATAATTTATATTCAAAATTGATTCTAAAAGGTACCCAAAAGAACTTCAAATGGAAAAATTTTGTTCTGATAGCTAATAACCAAATTATTATTTGAATAAATTTTTTAACTTTGTAATTAAACATGAATAACAGGAAAATAATAGTAATGAAAAAGTGTTAGTACAATAATAAGTTAATTTAAGAAGGGATAATGGATTTTTAAATTATTTTATCTCAGTAATACTATTATAATTAAAGTTAAAAGTATATATATAAAAGAAAAGATAATAAATTTTAGAGGAATAATGATTTTAATATTTAAATTTATATTTAATGTTATATTATTGTAGAAAATTAAACTAGTTCAAATATTTTGGCTTAACTTTAATTATTAAAGTCAAGTGTCATTCTTAATTTATTATATTTTATTTTCTTCTTCTCTAAAAAATTTTAATCAGACATACTTAAAAACTAGTATCACCGAAATAAATTAATAATTATGATGAGCTTTTTCAATTCTTTTCTTATTCAATTCAATTTTTTATTAAGTTTTATATTAAATATAGAAATAAAGACTTATTAAATCTCTATTATCAGAAACCTACAATAACCAAAAAAGGTATTAAAAGAATAGACTATAAATTTTAAGATAGAAATTTTTTCATATTATTTTTTTATTTTAATTCATCCTTTTCCAGTAAAGGAAGTTAAATTAGCTAGGGTAGCTTACAAAAGTCGTAATTTTCGTTAGTTAGCCTATCCATCTGTTTCTAAAATTCCATGTTTGACTATCTTTTTAGCCTGATACAACTACAATTTGTTTAAAGTCATAAAGGTTTTGAATTTTTAGTTTGTTTCAGTTTTCATTGACTATAATGAGCAACCTAAATGCTACTTCCATATTGCATTCATTGGGGTACTACTGTTACCTAATCCTAACTAATCTAAAATAGTAATCAAAGCTGCTTTTCCTTTTTACATAGCTAAAAAACATGAATTAGAAGAATCTAAACCAACTTCTTGTTTTGCAAAATCTAAATCACATCTTCTAACCATAAGAGCATACATAAAAAGTAGATACTTCATATGAGGATGATTATTATAGTAATATGTTGCTATTTTATTTATTAATTCCTCTGGTACTCTATCCCAATATGCTAATTCAGGATGAGTAAAAGAACATCGATCACTATTGCAATATGCTTAAACTATAGCTCTCTAATTCTTTAGATTTTCAAATGGTTTTGCTATTTCTCTACTTCCTCCAAAATTAAATGATTCAACCATANTAATAAGTTAATTTAAGAAGGGATAATGGATTTTTAAATTATTTTATCTCAGTAATACTATTATAATTAAAGTTAAAAGTATATATATAAAAGAAAAGATAATAAATTTTAGAGGAATAATGATTTTAATATTTAAATTTATATTTAATGTTATATTATTGTAGAAAATTAAACTAGTTCAAATATTTTGGCTTAACTTTAATTATTAAAGTCAAGTGTCATTCTTAATTTATTATATTTTATTTTCTTCTTCTCTAAAAAATTTTAATCAGACATACTTAAAAACTAGTATCACCGAAATAAATTAATAATTATGATGAGCTTTTTCAATTCTTTTCTTATTCAATTCAATTTTTTATTAAGTTTTATATTAAATATAGAAATAAAGACTTATTAAATCTCTATTATCAGAAACCTACAATAACCAAAAAAGGTATTAAAAGAATAGACTATAAATTTTAAGATAGAAATTTTTTCATATTATTTTTTTATTTTAATTCATCCTTTTCCAGTAAAGGAAGTTAAATTAGCTAGGGTAGCTTACAAAAGTCGTAATTTTCGTTAGTTAGCCTATCCATCTGTTTCTAAAATTCCATGTTTGACTATCTTTTTAGCCTGATACAACTACAATTTGTTTAAAGTCATAAAGGTTTTGAATTTTTAGTTTGTTTCAGTTTTCATTGACTATAATGAGCAACCTAAATGCTACTTCCATATTGCATTCATTGGGGTACTACTGTTACCTAATCCTAACTAATCTAAAATAGTAATCAAAGCTGCTTTTCCTTTTTACATAGCTAAAAAACATGAATTAGAAGAATCTAAACCAACTTCTTGTTTTGCAAAATCTAAATCACATCTTCTAACCATAAGAGCATACATAAAAAGTAGATACTTCATATGAGGATGATTATTATAGTAATATGTTGCTATTTTATTTATTAATTCCTCTGGTACTCTATCCCAATATGCTAATTCAGGATGAGTAAAAGAACATCGATCACTATTGCAATATGCTTAAACTATAGCTCTCTAATTCTTTAGATTTTCAAATGGTTTTGCTATTTCTCTACTTCCTCCAAAATTAAATGATTCAACCATAGTTTTGATTGCTTAGTTCTTTATATACAAATCATTGTATTCTTTAGTTTTCTGCATAGCTCTTTAAGGAACACCAACATAATTGTCTTAATTAATTAATTAAGAAATTACCTAATTCAAATAAAAAGTCCATATATTAATAACTTGGTTCAAAATCATCACTATAATTTATATTAGCTAAACCATTAAGCATAAAAGTAAAGGCTACATCTTCACTTACAAATTCTGATGTAAAATAATGACCTTGAATAGTTCTTATATGAAGTTTTCGCTATGCTCTTGTTAGAGCTTAATATTTTGTATGAATTAATTCATAGGGTCCTCCTCCTCTTTCAGGAGTAATACCTTAACCCATATAAATAAATTTTTCTGGATTTCTTTTGTATTCTCTCATATTTCTAAGCTCCGTCAAAATCAAACCATCTCTTTATCTGGTATCACTACTGGCTATCATGGTTATTCTTGAATCAGTATTATTTGTTGATGAAAATGATTCTAATAAAGGTACAATTTCCATATTTTAAACCTTATATTGATTTATTAGCTCATTAACTAAATCGAATTAAGATTATGTTTAAAAGTTGGCAATTATTATCATATCAGCTGCTTAACCATTAGCATTAAGAAGAGATATTTCTTTAAAAATATTTTTGATCATTGGCTTAATTTTATTTATCTATAGACATATAATTATTCATTACATCTGTTAAATCTTCACCAGCTAATCTAATTTATCCCAAAACTCCTGTTAAGCGAAAAATTTTATATAATTTTTTCAATTTTAATGCTATAAAATAAGCTTTTGAGTTATCATTTTAATTCAAAATTTAATCTAGAATTTAATTAATTTAATCTTCTATTTTTTTTATATTGTAAATTGGTAATTACTCAAAAAATTCTTCAACTGATATTTCTTTCTTGACTCTAAATTTATCACTTAATTCTCTTATTGTTTTACTATATTGCAAAGCTTATTAATATAATTCTAAAATTTATTTAAAATACAAATGTTCTTCAAATTTTGCTTCAGCAATATACTCTTTATATTATTATAATGTTAATTCAATCGTTAAACCATGTGTATAAGTCATGATACCAATTTCCTAAAAATAATTATATTCAAAATAACCATTCCAGGATGATTGTCAAAATCAAACGTTAACCAAGTCCCAGGTGTTTCAATAAATTCTTCTGGGTATTATAAGCCTAGTTCATATGCTTAGGCAACTGCTTTAATAAGATTAGGCAAATATTAAGAATGATAAATTAAGGATTCTTCTATATATGAAACTTTCTAAATATATATATCAAAAATTACATTAAAAACACGTTATTTGTTTGATTATATAAATAATTTAGCAGCATATTTTAGATATTTGTAATCATTCTGTTCGATACCTTAAAGCATTCTGCTTATTGCTATTAACTATGTTAAAGAATTTGGTTAAGTTGGATGAGATGTAAAAACATATTTTACGCGATTAATTTTTTCCTAAAAATTATAATAATTTTTTCAACTAAATACTTTGTCTCTTTTATTAAAGTAATCAATTATTCTAAATTAATCTAAATATTCATATCTAGCATATTAACTGCTTATGCGATCAAATATCATTAAGCTATAAAGATGCCATAAAATTTGTTCAGGTAAATCTTTTTCCTCATAGTTTAATTCATCTATATCTTTGCCTTCATATGAATTATCAAAATATATAGATAAAGCATTTTAGAATTCTTTGATCTATCCTTCATCATTTAGATTATCAACATAAGCATCCAATAATTAAAGCATCGTTTTTTTCTTTTTAGGATTAATGTGTCGAAAATAATTATTTCCTAAATCCATTAATCTAATTGGTGACTGTTCAAGTCTAGGTTCATCTTTGATAAATTTTTCAATCTCAGCTATAGAACATCTTTTGTCACTAAATTACTTTAATAGTTTAGTACTCAGCATTCGCTGCAATCCAAAGCATGTCATTTTCTCTTATTTGCTTTTCTTTGACATTCTCAGACAAATACTGTTTCGGTATTTATATAGACGATAAAGAAAACTTAGTAACTCTTTATAGCAAGAATTTAATAGGTCTTATCATTATATGGATATTTTTAATTTTATGATAAAGTTCTTAATTTTTTTAATATTTTGGGTTCGTTTTTATACCAAAAGTGATTTGATAATAGTGATTCAATAAGATTTTCAAATTTATTTAGATAATAAAATAATAATATCAAAATTTAGGCTCAATCACTAATGTATTATATATTTTCATCAAAAATTTCATTAACTAATTCTTAAATACATAAATATTCGTAAGGTAAATAACTAGCAACAACTTTTTATAAATAAACAGCTTTTGTATCAGCATCTAGTATCCTATACGAAATCCAATAGCTTTCTTTAAGTTCTTTATTTTTTAATGCCTAATTAAAATTATAATAATATTATTACATAATCAAGCTTTTGGATGATACTTTAATAATATTAAGCTTCACTTGATTCAGAAAGATTTATTCTGTAAGTAAGTAATGCCTAGATATTCACCCAATTCTCTTTTAAATCATTAAGGTTTTTTATTGGATCACTTAAATCAACATTTCTTGAAAATCTCTTTTTTATATACAAACTGAAATTACCTAAAATTTTTCTTCTGAAAAAATATTATTTTCCAAAGAAAAAGTTACGAATCTATCAAAAGACATAGCCTTTTCACCACTTTCATTAGAAACAGTATCACATCTTTCCATAAATTAGCTTCTTATAATTTTCTAATTTAAGTTTGTACCTTGATTAATTTCAAAATGCAAAAATAATTTTTAGAATTCTTAAAATTCTATCATTCCATCCATATCCATATCAGCTGAATAAAATACCTCTTCAAAATGTGCTTAATGAATCAATTTTAATTAATGATAACCAGTTAAAACTTTACTGATAAAAAAATCTAAATCAACACAATTTTTATTTTTTCTTTCAAAAGTATTTGTTTTAATTTCTTTTATTATTTTATCCCTGCTTTCAATAGAAAGACAAGAATGTTATGTTTCTAAACAAGCTAAAGCACGATCAAGAGAAATAAGAACACCTTTCTCATTCACCACTTAAGCCAATTAAATAGGTATTTCATTTTCATCCAATATTTTTAATGATTAAATATAAATTTCTAAATCATCTAATGTTAGAGGGCTAAATAACTCAGCAAATCTATTTTGTTATTATACTTTACCGGCCAAATAAATTAATTCTAAAGTTATCTCGATATGCAAAAACTGACTAATAAAAATTGGTGAGCTTTTGTTCAGCCATAGTTTTAAATCCATATGTATTTACAAAATGTTCATAACAAATTTAATGTAATGGCATATTTTTGTTTGAATATTATCTTATTTTCTCACAATAAAATTATGATATAAATTTTAGAACATTAATTTTTTACATTTTTGAATTTAAACTTTTTGGATTCCTAGAAAACTTATCTGAAAGTTATAAAATCAATTATTGTGATTTTTATAGATTTAATTATGAGGTTGATTCGGCATTATTACGATTTTAGAATTCTAATAAAATATATCAATTTTACTTGGAGCCTAGGCTAGAGTGACATTCTTTCTTCTTTAATTACCTTCAAGTTTTCTCTTATTTAAATCTTCTAATTTAGTAGAAAAAGAAGAATCAACACTTGAAGTATCACTATTATCCAATTCTTCATTTATAAATTATCTTAAAGTATCTGATATTATTCTCATACTTTCAAGTGGAAGTGCAATTTATGAATTAGAATGAGTATTTTTTTCCTTTTTCTATTTAATTGGTTTAACTATTTGATGATTATTATTTGGGACTAGTTACTAATTATAATTAATAATTCTAACGTAATTCGATTATGGTTTATTGGAATTTCTTACTTACGAAGTAATTGATCTATTAGAAACTAAACTTCTCTATGATACACTATCCTAGTAATCCTATTACTTATTATATATATTTTACATCCAAAGCAGAATAAGTGCTACGTTAAACTGATAATTAAGATTAAGAAAAATCACTTTCATTATCCGAAGTTTATTTTTATTCATCTGCATTTGTTATATGAATATTCCATTTTTTTTTCATAGAAGGTACTTCTTGTGATTAATTTATAAATTAATTTGATGTACCTGATACTGAAGTTCTTGAATTTTCTTATTAATTTGTTAAATTATTATTCTACTATTATTCTAATTAAATATTTTTTTAATTTTATTAAATAGGTTTTGGTTACGATAAGTTTATTTAATTTTAATTTTGATTTATTTATTATTATTATCTTTAATTTATATCAGCTTAAGAAGGTGTATAGTTTTACATTTGAGCAGAAGTTTTTCTTGCATCAGGAGATTTTTCTTTTTTATCTTATATTTTTTTTTTCATAATGTTTGTAAATTTTTAGGTTTTTGTAAAAGAACTAACTAAATTTCTGGTTTTTTCAAGGATTTATTGTTTTCTTTCTTTTATTTTATTATATCTTCTTTCAAGTCTAGAATTAATCTTTAATATAAAATTTCTTTACTTTTTCTTATAATTCTAGTTGAGTTTCAAGTTCTTAAATTTCTAGTGTTGCTTCTTCTACATTTTTTGTTAAATCTTCATTTCTTGATTTCTTGAATAAAATAAAAATGATACCAAAATTATAATTTGATCTTATTTTCTAATATTTTCATCTTTTTATGCACTATTAACTAATAATAAACTTGTTCTGATTTCTCTTTACATTTAAACAGTTTATTTCATTTTACTAGATGCCTCTCCTAAGCTTTAAAAAAATTAAGAAATTCGTCTAGATCTTGGACTTTCTTCATTTGAAGATTCTCCTTGAATTGATTTATAATTAGCTGAAACTTTCATCAATTATTCTTAAATCTATATCAATTGTTCTTCTTCTGTTTTAATTACTTCAACCATTTCATTTTGAAATTCTGTTTAAGTCTCTTTTAATTTCATATTATACATGCTTGAATCAGTTTAAGTTATCTAATGGCGATTTTCAGGCAGTAATAAAGCTCTAGATATTGATAATATATATTTACTTATAATTAAATTACGAATTTGATGAATATGCTTAAGTAGATTATTCCTTTTACATTTCCATTAAAGAATATAAATCATCTGTATCTGTACTTTAATCTTTTAACATATTTTCAATATCAGACACAATTGAAGAATCTGTATCACTTTTTAATGCTCTTTAAACTTTTTCTTCAGGTTTTGGCTCATGAAAAAAAGTCTTATGTTTACCTGCTCTAATTATTTTAAATTATTCTCTAGGTCTTGATTAAAGAAAAACAGTTTCAGATCTATTCATTGCTTTTTTACGAGGTGAATTTGGAGATTCAATTCTTGATTATATTAATCGGTTTTGGAATTATAATTAATAATTTTACATATCTTTCTCAGCATCTTCAATATATTATTTGAGATTTTCAACTTCATTAAGTAAATATTTATTATTTGTAGTAATATCATTTAATTAAAATCTTAATTCTCTTGACATATTTTATAAATGTTTATTTGTCTTTTTTAAATATTTTCCGTTATCTTTAAGTTTAATTAATCTTTCAGTTAATTATTATTAATCTTCTTTCAAATTTTTAATAATCAACTAAAAAGTATCAATTTCAACTTAATATAGTTAATGTGTTTTCATAATTTATTTTAGATTAGATTTTTCAATTTCTTTTTTTTCATCTAAGACTTATTTGATAACTGAGGAATTAATTTCTACATATTATGCCCAAATCTTTTCTAATAATACACTAAAATAATGTAAATTAAAGTTAATTACCTTCTTTCTATACAATCAATACTAATTTATCTGATAAGTTCCTTTAAACATAGAGTTAGAACATTTTAAACTTCTTCATAAAATTCAATTTGTCTTTAATCTCCATATTTGTCAATAATTTATTGGACCATCAAATCAACCCAACTAGCCAATTACTTAATATCATGCCTGTATAAGCATAAAAACTCACTTTTATGGAATACCCCTGTGTATTTTATCTCTAGCATTATGTCTTGATAAATTGTCACTTAATCGCCCTAAAGTTAAAGGTGGTTCTTTAAGTTCGGATGGAATAATAACTTCAACAGTAGCTTTGTAATAATATCAATAAAATACGTTCTCTAGGAGATTTCGGTGAAAGTTATAATTCTTATAATCTTGTTGGATATTAATATGGATCAATACTCTTTAATTATCCAAAAAAATCATTACGCTGCTGAGATTTCATTTTATCTATAACTTCTAATTAGTTTTAACCTAATAAAGGAGATCCGTAAAAGGTCTAAAATTAAAAATTATTTACTCCTTATGAAAGAGCTTTGTGTTTATGAGATTTTCTATATGATATATTTGAATAAGGTTTAGGGCTATTTAAAATATTCATGCTTTAAAGAGAATCTTGCTTTATTCTTTTATTTGAAAGATCGGTACTCTTTCTTTATGTAAGAATTGGCTTTAGCATTCTAAACTTCAATTATTCCATCTTTATAAATATTAATGTTTTATAATAAATTAAAATACTAAATTAGTTTAAAAACTTAGAATTTTATAATCCAATCTTAATAATCTAAACTAAGAATGTGTTTATTTCTAAAAATGTAATAATTATCCACCATAATTTTATTTTTACTTTGAAAAATTTCATTAATTAAATAAATATATGGCGATCAATTTATTTTAAAACTCAAACAATAATAGTAATTGGCAATAACAAAAAAAGTATGTGTTAATTGATATTTATTAGTACCAAAGTTGAAGGTTCCTATAGAGCTTAATTTTAACAAATAAAATTAGACTATATTCCAAATGATTCCTAAAGTTTTGGTCATCAATATTCTACATCTATTATTTTTTAATAAGAATATAAAGGAATGGTATTTTTAATTAATCAATAAAGTCTCTTATGATGGTGAGATTGGAAGATTATTATCTTATAAGATCATAGTAAATTCAACGTTCACATTAATCTATGATTCAAGATGCTTGTAGTCAAGGACTTTTCAATTCAAAATTGATCACTAATGTTAATTCTTAAAGTAAACACCTAACTAAATATTAGCTTTATAACCTCCTTAATTTTAAAATTCTAGAAATTCATGGAAAAATAATAGTTCAACTAATAATTACTAAAGTAATACATTTACTTCAAATAATATCTTTAATCCAAATAACACAAATACTACAAAAAATGTCTTCTAAACATAATCAACAACTGATAATATATTTAATAATCCTATAAATTAGTAATAAAATCAAGTATTTTAATAATAGTCGAATAGTAGTACAAATATTTTTTAACAACCAAATAATTAAAACAATATTTTTAGCTCTTCTAATAATAACACTAATAATCTTTTTAAATAATCTACCACTCCAACCAATGTAAATAATAATCTTTTTGCATAAACATCTAGCAATAATATTTTTCCTTAAAATAATTAAGCAAATATATTTTAATAACCACAACAATAAAGTCTTAATTTATAAAATTAACCATCCTTGGTTCCTTAAAATAATTTATATCCTTAAAATAATATCTTCTCTTAGCCTAATTTAATCGGATTCAATAATGGATACAATTAATCTTTTATGTATGGATAACCTAATTTATATTCTATGAATTATTCACAACCCCCATTTCATTCATCTATGCTACAACCTTAAGGTTAATAATAAATAATATATCCTTAACTTTAATAATTAGAAAAAGTTAAAGATGCAGCTGACATTTTATAAAACTATTCTGATGTGTTGAAATAAAAATATCAATAATTCTAAGATCTACAAAAAAATGAAGAATAGCATTTTGAATAGCAAGAACTTATTATAGAAGAGCATGAGCGACAGAATTAATAAATTAGATAATAAAGAGAAAGAATTTTAAATTAATCAATATCAGTTAGAGCTAATAAAAGTAAATCACCTTCACCATTTTCTAATTCAAGAGCTGGAAAATCATCAACTAATTATAATAAAATCAATTCTAGTTTACAAAGATCCCATATTGTTGAATATAATAATAGTTAGATTTCAAATTATGATAAATAAGATAATAGTTTTCATATTATTGTAAATTTTTTAGAAAGCGATAAATAATATCCAACAATTATATAATCATTCAAATCAAAAAGTAAAATTGAACATGTTAAATTCTTTATAGAAAATATACTATCTGAATAAAATATTTTTGGAAAATAAAGATATTTATACTTTTAGATGGTAAGAATCAAAACTAAATAAGATTTTGTTCTTGATGATACAGTATATATAGAGAAATGCCCAAGATTTATCATATTCGAGTATTTTAGCACAATTAAACCAAAACTAACAAAACCAGGGTATAAATGTAATGTAAATTTTGATCAAAAAACTGAATAAGAATTATCTAATATTGAAGATTTTTGTATTTCAAATCAATTTGGATAAGTTCGATGGTTAAATCCATGTAATTTGCTTTATTTAGACCTTGATAGGATTGTTGATTTAACTTAAGAATGCATTAATCTATATGATTCTGAGATTATTCATGATTATCTTAAACCAAATATTGGAAATAAATTAAATAAAGAATGTGAAATTACATTTAACTTACCTGTTAATCTAAAAATACATGATAATGATAAATTTGAATAAAGTCTAAGATTTTAAGCAGATGGAAAAAATATTGAATTTATCAAATTCGATAGTACAAATCGATCTTATACATTTAAAGTTTAACATTTTTCAGGATATTAATTTAATTCAGATTACTATTCTTCAGATGATTCAACTCATTTGAATCAGATAGCTATCCAAACTAATGCAAGTGTTATTTTGGGTTAGTTAGATGAAGAAAGATATTCTTCATCATCAGATGATAATTGTAATGGAGATTAATTAGAGGAATTAAAATAATTTAATATTAGATATAAAACACTAACAGATACTTTAAGAAATTTAAATATATAAATGAAAAATGAATAAATTATTAAATTTAATTTGAAAAGTAATTTATAAGTACCCTTAAATCATCAACAATATGATTATTAATTGTAAAATTCAAGTATTCTTAAAATTTTATTTCTTCGACCTTTAAATATCCCTTATTAATCATAAAAAATGAAACTTTCTACTTAAATGATTTAAATGTTTTAGATTTTTGAGGATAAAACTTTTTAATTTTCATTAAAAGTATTAAATGCTCTTTTTGGAGATACATCAATTAATCTTGGAAAATATGCCAAATAATTAAAAAATAGTATTTTTAATTTGGCAGATCTACAATCAATACCTTAACATAAATAAGATAGAGGTTTATTTTTAAGTTTAATATTTGAAAAATAAAAAAAAAGGTAAAATAATGATTTTAGGGAGGTCGTTTCTTAAGAAAAGAACTTAAATCCCATATAAAAAATATTATTAACTATAAATTCTAAATCTCAAAAAAAAATAGATTTACTTAATGGTGATGTAATAGATGAATTTATTAATTGGAGAATCAACTTTCAATAACCTAAACCTCTTTATTAGAAGGAATGGTGGTTAAGCCTTTATGAACATTTTAAAGGAATGTCAATCAAGACTATAGATCAAGCTGCCCTTTACTATTACTTAATAATGAAAACGAAATAACCTAATGAATCATATGATATTTTATTAAATTATATTTAATAAAGCTAAGACTCCCTTGTTTATTTACTTTTTATAATAATAATTAGAAAAAATACAATAAATATTTAAAAAATAAAAATTTTAGCTAGATCTTTATTATCTAAATTAGTTAATAATAGAATAAACTTCGAAATAATCAACCAATTTATAGTTATATTAAAACAGAAGATATTTGAGAAGGAAGAAATTTCAAGATTGATAAATCAAATAAATAAATATCCAAATTATTTAGAATTTGCTTATGATGAAGAAGAGATATAAAAATACATAACTAATTAAGATTATAAAAATGCATACATTTAAATAATAAGGTAATAAAAGATTTCAGAATATAAGTAAATAATAAATGATTATGTTCTCCCATGTCTTGTTATAGACAATTAAAGATATTATGAAAATTAATAGGAAAATGATGTAACAACATAATTAATAAATCATATATTAGATAATTGCTCATACAGTTCTGATATAATAACATTAGCTTAGGTAATTATATAAAAAATTATAATTTAGATATATATGGGAAGATTAGAATTTGATAATAATCTAGTTGACAATTTAATTGTTTTTAACGAATATTAATATTTTATGAAACAAAAAGTTTTGTAATAATATGTTGATTTTTGAATTAAATTCCTTACATTAAAATGTAAATTAATATTATAATTATAATCATTATTTTATTTGTTTATTCATTTTAAGCTTATCTACACTATTTAATGGATCCATATATTATCTTATTGATCCACTATTTAAACTATTTTGCATTTGAACTCTTCTTTACATTTCTTCTAATTTTTATTTGTATGCAATTCCTTTTTCTAATTAATCATTAATAGCAGAATTTCCTCTTCTTCCTTAGGAACTATTAGAATTATAATTTCTATCACTTGTATTGAAATCTTGCGATTATGTAGTAGGTCTACTTGGAATTCTTAGTCTTTTTAATCTAAAATAATTATATTCAATAATTACTTCAAAGTTTCACTAATAAAATAAAAATTTTCAAACATAGATGTAAATTTGTTTTCATCATCACTTTATAATGATTTTTATAATTCTAACTTAAAAGATACCTCTCCTTTCTTGAATTCACTAGGATCAAAATTAAATGATGTTAAATTAGGTTTGAAAGGTGGATCAATTTTTCTTCTGATAACATCTCTTAAATCAATAGATGCAAATAGTGGATGTTATAATATAGCATCAGCATCTCCTCTAATACCTAATCTTTACTCAGGATTTTTTGTCAATAATCTTCTAATTAAATCTCTTGCTTCAGGACTTCCAATATTAGGAGGAAATGATAGAGGATCACTTAAAATACTTTTAAAAATTTAATTTGTATCTCTTGAATAATAAGGAGGTAATCCTGTAATGAGTTCATAAAACAATGCACCTAAACAATAATAATCAACAGCATAAGTATGTCCTTATTATTATAACATTTCAGGTGCCATATATTCTGGTGATCCACAAAAAGAATACGCTTCATCATCAGATGCCATGTTTGGTCTTGCTAATCCAAAATCAGCTAACTTTAAATGTCCTTCACTATCTATTAAAATATTTTCTGGTTTTAAATCTCTATATAATATATTTTAACAATGTAAAAATCCTATTGCAATACAAACTTCAATAAAATATAGTTTAGCTTATTCTTCTGTCATTCTTTTTACCTTTCTTAATTGATTAAATAATTCTCCACCAGGACAATACTCCATTCCAAAACACACCCAATTTTTAGATTCAAATGCACATTCCAATTAACAAATAAACTATTTTGATAAATGTTAATCACTTAAATTTAATTACACCATTACATCTCTTTCATTTTAAACAATTGTTTATTTTTAATTCTCTATTATGAATTATTTTGATATTAATTTTAATGCAAGAAATCTACCATTACTTTTTGATCTAACTAAATAAACTCTAGAAAAACCTCCCATTCCTATACATTATAAAAACTAAAAAGATTTTAAACTTAATTTATTTGAATCGTTATTGCAATGTAATGGTTATAATTTAATAGTTTTTCGATTCAAAAATTGTAAATCTTTTCCAACTAAACTTAAATAATGATCTAGAGCTATATTTTAATCAATTGTTTAAAAGCCAATAATATTTTTATCTTGAAATAATACATTTAATAATTACTGTCAATGCATTGAGTCATTAAAAAATTTACCAAATTATCTGTTGTTCCATAAGCACAATCAAATCTTAACTCAGTCATCTTATTATTTGAATCATACAAATGTATTACAATATAAGATCCTGAAGATAAAGGCCTTTCAGTTATAAATCCAGAAATTTAATTTACTTCCTTGGCTTAATCATTACTTTTAGCTCTAGTTTATCCATTAGATAGGGTTTTTTAATATTGTTACAGTAATTATTTAAAGTTAAAGTCCACAGATGAAGTTACTGGACTTTTGGCTCTATTATGATCATCTTTTGGTTATTAAATTTTATTCAACAAATTCATAATATTTTAAGATGATGTACTCTTATGATTTTAAGATGGTTCAGTTGATAATTTAGGATTCTTGCTTTACTGTTCTGTGGATTTAGGTTTTGATGGTTTAACACTATGTCTCTCTTCAAAGGTATTTTTCCTTTATTCATCTTTTTACTATAATTCTTTAGAGTTCTAAGTTTTTGAGTTTAACTTTGAAGCATTTGATAAGTAGTTTTAATAATAACTAGACACATAATTGTTATTAACAGCATTATTAAACTTTGTTATTGGTAGTTATTTTTTTTAAGGTTAATTTTAATCATTTTATTTAACCTTGTCCTCTCTTTGTGTGAGACTTCCACTTTTAACGACATTTAAAGTTACATGATTTTTTAGTTAAATGTTAATTGATGGAACAACAACCTTTGTTGGAAATTGCTTCTATAAATTTATTTTATTACTTATGGTTATATAAATCCTTATCCTAAATACAATTATTTTTAACTAGTGTAAGGAGATCCATTTAGAAATGGTTTCTAGTTTTAAGACATAATTTGAAATTAATATAAAATTCCCAATAATTCAAATATTATAATGGAAAAGTTTATCCAGCCTACTCTATTTAGGCTGATTTGCTGAAATAATTGAAATCAAAATTCACGAAATTAACCAGATAGAATTTCTTTGGAATAAAGAGATTACAGAAGCATTTAAAGAGGGAAATGAATATAAAAATAGAAATTTTACAAAAAGAAATTGAATCTCAATTAAATATTATAATTTATAAATGGAAACCAACTCCTAGAATAAAATGCTCTCATTTTATAAATAAATCAAGTCTAAAAACTTTTTTTAATTATATGGAAGTGAATAGAAAGATAACTAATAAGATTTATATTTGAAATTATTCGATGAAAATCTGTAAAATTTAATTGTATTATATTTGGATTTCTCAATTATAGGCAGATTGTAATTAAAAATATTTAGCATATTTTATTTATTAATGGAAATCTTTTGAGTTTAGAGAATTTTTAATGAAAAACATGATGGTGTTTGGATATAGTTTGTTATTTTGTAATTATTTTTACATCAAAATTCTACTCAAATTGTAACCTTACTCTCCTACTAATCTTTTAATCCTTGTGAATAGTTCTCAATTTTCTGAATGAAAATTAGTCACTCATTTTTAGAACACTTAAAAAAGTATAATTATGAATGATTGTAAAAATAAACATAATTATTGACTAAAAATTAACTTTGAACATCTCCTTTATTTTAGAGGTAAAACTATATATGTATGCTCTCAGTAAAACTTTATTAAGAATTATAAGAAATATAATTAAAGAGAGAAATAAATTTGAAAAAAAAATGAATAGAAAAATCAAAATTTAAGGATCTTTAAACAATTAGAAGTAGAAAAATCAATTTGAATCAAATGGGGGCCTAATACAATAAATTTTTTGAATGGATGAATATATTCTTTTTTGAAATAATCTTTATAATAAAATTGATATTTAATTAAATAACGATTATTAATGGATTTGGATAGAAAGCATATATTGTTAAATGAATTTCGAAAGTTAAATATAGACTTTGATTAGTAAATATCGGAGAATGTGATATTTAAATTTCTTGATGAAAAATCACATGGTACTTTTGATAACTCTATCGCTTTATAATTACACTAACAAGTAATATAAACTTATCAAAAACTTACAATAAATAATTTTATTAATGTATATTTATAAGCAGAAAGCATTCTCAGCAACAAGATTATTAAAGCTAGAATGGAAATTTAAAATTTAACAATCACAAAATAATAATCTTCATAAGCATTGCTTAATATTACAAAATAGGAATAATTAAATAAGTATGGAATCATGGAAGATAGTATTTTAATGATAAATCATGTTCATGCAGTTATTAATAAACTTAGTTTATCAATGAAGGTGTTTATTTTAATGTCAAGTACTACAACAAGTTTTTAGACACCATCTCAAAATGAATTAGAATGGAATAATTCCTATGAATTGTAATATATTAATAATATTTCAGTCCTATTGAAAATGGATCTGAAATCATAAATGTGTTTGTGAAAGCCTATTAAGGAAATTAAACAATTGATATTGGTTAGGCTACTTATGCAGTTTAATAATTTAATAGTCAAGCCTAAACAAATGTGGAAGCTAAATTATAATGTGTAAAACCTTATTCTGGAGTGGTTATTTTATCAGGCTTATGGGTTTTTTCAAAAGTAAACTATTTCTTTATTAGAAGACTAAATATTTTACTGATTTTATATCTCAGTTAGATACATAAATTTAATAATTAAAAGATGATTTAGCAGATTTTGAAAATGATTTATAAACCCTTTAAGCAATATTCACAAATACTATAATTTCAAACTCTGATGCAAATGTATATTAATTTAGTCCAGAGAAACAAATAGATAATATCGGTAATATTGAATAGAAAACATTAAATAAATATCTAGTTGCTATAATGGCTTTATTAATTACATTATCATCGCTAAATAGATGTTGTTATTTAGATGTAAATACATATTATATATAGATTTTAATAATACTAGTATATTCTATAAATTTGAAAAATCAGACTTTAGATGCCAAATTGTTAAAGTAAATCTCAGTTGCAACATTCGTTTCTTTTGTTTTAGATATTGTTTGGGTTGTAATATACATTGTGGTATATAAAAGCTTATATAAAAGGCTAATTACAGCCTCTTTGGTCTGAAATAGACACGCCTGATATGGGAATATAAAAAATAATAGTTGTGACCGGAGTCCTGTTATTCATAACAAAATTACCTTTTTCATTTCTCTGTGCTTATTTATCAAAATAAGCGTAAGAAATAATTCCTGAATTTTAAGTTAAAGCAGATGAGAATAACCTATCTGGATTACAGCCATTAGAATATTAAAATATAAGTAGAAATGAAAGTCTATCCTCCTATTAACAATACAAATGAAATATTATTAAATAAAAATCACAATCATTTATTTCCTTTTGTTTTAAAAGATTATCCTCTTCCAAATGATTTGTTATTTTTTTTAAATGATTAATTTCCTCTTTTATTAAAATTTCCTCCAAATGATTTTCCTCCTCCTTGTTATTTTCCACTAAATGATTTACCTCCTTTTCCACTAAATGATTTATTTCCACCTTATTTATTTCCACTAAATGTTTTACCTCCTTAATATTTTCCTCCAAAAGACTTACCACCACTTTATCTTTTTCCTCCAAATGATTTTCCATCTCCTTATTTTCCTCTAAAAGGTTTTCTTTCAAATTAATTTCCACCTTATTATTTTCCTCCTCCATATTGTTTTCCTCCATTTCCTCCAAATTATTTTCTTTCATAATTATTATTATCACCACCAAATTATTTATTATTTCTTTAATTCCCTTAAACAGAATAACTTCTACTTCTTTATGGTTTTCCTTCAAACCTATTATTATTATTTTAAAATCTATTTGCATCAGAACTTTATGATCTTTATCCAAATTTATTATTTGATCCTTTCTAAAATGAATTCTATTCTGTTCTCATTTTTCCAGTCTTTTTAAATTTACCGAATTTAGAATCATTCTTTTATTTAAACATTCCACCTTTTTTTATTCCATCTTATTGTTAATTTTTATCTTTCTTAAATTTCTTTGGTTTTAAATTATTCTATTTTATAATTTCATCTAAATCTCTAGCTTTTTCACTTCCTTTTTCTTTAATTTCTTTTTTCCATTATTCTATAGCCACCTTATTTTTTCTTTTTTCTTTATGTTCTTCTCTCATTTTTTTAATTTTCATTTATTTATTTAATTTTTTACTATGCTTTTTCATTTTTTCTTCTTCCTTTTTATTTTTTTCATCTCTCTTTTTTTCTATTTTTAATTTAATTTTATCCATTTATTTAGGACTTTTAAACATTTCAACTTCAAAATCATCTGGTCTTTAAACAGGAATCTAAAATAATTTAATAATTATTTCTTACTCCTTCTTATGTTAAATATGCTATAGATCTTTAGACATTAGCAAATGTAATTTAATATATTTATACTTCTCTTTAAGCTTCTTCATTACCTAAAGTTTAATCAATTAAAATTTTATCATCTGATGTTGCAGTCATATGTTCATTCCATGGGACTTTTTTCATTAATTTTTTCTTTTATGACTCTTCTGCATTTTAAACTGGAACATATGTTTAAAAAAATTCTTCTCTAATCTCTTTTGCTTTCTTTTTCAATATTTCTTATTTCTCTTATTCTGTAAATAATTGCTTTACCATAAATAATTAATTATTTAATATTTTTATATATATGTCCTATATTTCTTCAAACTTCTGATTAAGTTATGTAGCTCACTTTTATTAAGAAGAACTTATATCACTACTCATACCCGTCTTGGGTATGTCTACCCAAAACTTTTTAAGCTTTTAAAATGCTACACAACATTATGGATGTGAATTTTTATCTGGATGTACTGATTTAGCATATATTTTATATTCTTATTTTAATATTGCTCTTTATTAACTCTAAACATATTTCTTTAAAGCTCCTTCAGGAAGCAGCAGCATTTTATAAACAACCATTATTTATGATAATTATTCTGATGAATTAATTCCCTGTCTTGCACAATAGCGATTTGCATGATTCAATGCAGCTTTATCAACTTCTACTTCAGTTTCTCTAAAAGCTCTTATTATTTTTTATTTTTCAGCATTATTTCCTTATGATAATAATCTAACAGCTTTTAGATATAATTCATTTTACAGCTTCTCATACCTTTAATTTTAGTATTAATTCTTACATATCATTAGTTTATCTAATATTTTCTTACTTTTATTTTTTCAATTATTGTTTTAATTACTATTTACATTCTTTGCATCTTGTTTATCCTGGATATTATTAATTTAGTATACATTTTCCATGTTTTTTAGCTGATTGATTTTATTACTATTAATTAAACTTTGATTTTTGTTATTATTATTTACTTAGATATATTATTTATTTACATTTCATAACATTATCTACATTGATACTCATGAGTTAAATCATCAAATTTTGCTTCCCATTAATGACCTTATTAACATTACAATTTCAAAGGTCCAATAGAAAGTATTTTAAATTTTAAACTTTCCATTATATTTTTTAAATTTTCTGGAATTCTCTCTATTTTTACTGTCTCTTCCATTTACTTTAATACATAAAAATAGTTATTTTCTTTCATTTTTCTTTCTTCCTCTTCTTCATTTCCTTTTTATTCATAAATAAAACAATGAATGGATTCTTCTTACCATTTTTCACAACTATTTGCATTTTCAGATATATGACTTAAATTATCACATTCATTAAAAAGAACTTCATCCAAATTAAATGATTCTTCATCAATACATAAAGATTCCATTTTTTAGTGTATTTAAGGTGTATTTTCACATTTCATAAAGTTTGTTTCATGAGATGAGTACCCTTATACACTAGAATCACACTTAAATTTAAATTATATTTTTACTGTTGATTAAACTTTTTTATTTATTTCACAATCGAACTCAGTATCCATTTAACATGACTTTTCACTTGATGAAGTTTGAGTTGAAACTTATTTCTCTATGTAACTTATATAATCTTTTTAACATTATACCTTTTATTATAGAATTCGTTTCTTTACAAACTAGCATGTATGATTTTATTCATTTTAGTATTACTAATTTAATTAATTAAAGTTCTTTATTAATTTGAAGTAATTAAATACATCAAATTACTGTGAAAACTTATTAAGTATAATTTAAATATATCATAATCATAAATCTTTTTTACTTTAAATATCATAATTTTATTGCAGATGTAAATCTTTATAAGTAACTTTATATTCGTTTAAAATTGATTCTATTTATTAAACCTCTGTTTGAATTACTGCTTTAATTTCATTTGCTTTCTCTATTAAATTGGATTACTTTTATTCGAAATTTTCATATATCTTTTTTTACTTTATACAATCCTTAACTTATAAATAAAGTTCTTAATTTTTTTCATTTAGTTTTTAATTTCTATCTAGTTTCAAACTCTCTATTGTGATTTATTTATTATTATATTTTTCAACTTCATTTTCAATTTGATGTTATTAATCATTGGCTTAATCAATCAAATTGTCAACTTCAGCTTAAAGTTATTTTCTTTATTTTTCTAGTTCATCATATTTTTTATTTAATTTTGAAAGTTCTTCTGACTTGTTTTTAGTTACGTTTAAAAAATTTTAGTTTTCAATAAGTTTATTTAATTTTTATTTATTGATTTGGTGGTATGAATTTTAATCTTCTAATAATTACATTAACTTTTGTAAAATAAATTCTATTTATTATTTTTCTGAATAAATTTGATTGAAATAAGCTAATATTAGATCATTAATTACTCTATTTTTTAAAAATTTCTTCTTTTAAATCTGAAAGTTTGAAATTTTCAAGAGATGTTCCTATAATGCAATCATCTTGATTACAATGAAATTTAATATCTTTCAAGCTACTGTACATTTAATATGAAATCTATTAAGCCTTTATTATCTCATTTAAAGCTTGTATATTTTTTTGCTTTTAAATTTGATCTTTTTCTTTCTCAGCTAATATTTTTAAATTCTCCCTTCTATCAGCTAATACTTTAGAGTATTCTTAAATAACTTCTATAATGGGTTGATCTTCTTTTATATATAAATCATCCTAACTAAAATATTATTCTAGCTAAAAAAATTAGTGGAAATTTTTACTGATTTAAGATCATGAAGTTAATTTTGCACTTTCTCAAATTTCTAATTGATTTCATTAAATTTATATTACTATTCTTATATCATTTATTTAGAAGCTGTTATATTTTATTCTTATTCAGCCATTTCCTTAGTGATATAATATATTTTTTCTTCCAGCTCTTTTTAATATTCTTCTAATTCTGTTTCATTTTTATAACTTCTTAAAAGTCTGTCTTTTTAATCTAGCAATCCTTTTAAAGTATCTAATAAATTATCCAATGATTGTTATTTCTCTAATTATTAGCCTTTTAAAACTTTTGACTAAAATATCATTTTTATTTTTTACTCTATTTTAGTGCGTAGAGATACTTTTACTAATTTCCTATATTGCTAACTATTCTTGATCTATATTTTATTGGGTTTTATTTTTTATATCTTCCAATTCCAATTTAGATATTTTAGTTCGATTTACACACTCTTTAAGATTTTTTGAGTAATACTAAAATTATTAACCCTCACCTAATAAATATTATGATAGATCAACCTTATGATTAAGTATAAATTTGTTGGTTCTTTTTTAGCTATTCAATAACAAAGGAGGCCTTTTTTAATAATTCAGAAGAATATCTCTCGTTTAGTTATAGAGCTTATTCATTTATTTTTTTCCAATCTGAAAATACTTCTGCTTTTGTAACATTTTCACATACATTTTTAGAGAAAAATTTTAAGTCATTATCAACTTAAGGCGGAAAAATATTTGAAACATCTAATTAACTTAATAATTTACAATCCTCAGAATTTGTCCAATAATAATAAGTTGTGAGTATAAAAAAGATTATTAAAAGTGCACCAACAACTGGCTTCAAATAATTTTTGATTCTCATCATTATTAAGTTAATTTAAATAATTTGAAATAAAAAATAGCTCAAATATAAAAATGATATATTCATAAATACTAAAAATTTTTGTCAGTGTAATACTTTTTGTACTAACAAACAATTTTAATTCTTAATTATAATACAAATAAAAAAAGAAATTATAACTATCAATTTTAGGAGTTAAATCAAATATAATCTGAAACTTTTATCTTAATTTTTTTTTCAATTTAAATTTGGAAAACTTCCTTTGTATCTCATAAATAAATTTTCTATATTTATTAATAAAGAATATTTTTAGCTTTATTTTATCAATAGAAACTATTTATATAAAACATGTAAACTAAATTCAGTCTGAGGATTTAAAAAGTGCTTACTTGCTAGCTTCATATTTTCTTATCATCTCATCTTATTTAGATTTTACTAATTCTTCATTCATGTACCTATTATTAAAATAATTTTCACCTTCTAAACATAACATTATTGTTATTTCCATTTATTTTTGGCAATTCAATTCCTAAATTTTTTAATTTCACTTTTCTATATCCTCCCTTAATTGAGATTACATTATCTTCAAATTCTTTAGCCAACTAACCTTATTATGGACCAACATTTATCAACTTTTAAACAAAATTGTGACTGATCTTTTGTAATTAAGAAAATTCTTTTTATTTTTTTTAATAATCCTCTATTCTATTTTATATTTATTATTTTCTTTGAAACTCATATCTATTTTTCATTTCCTAATTATTAAATATAGTAAGTAACCTCTTAACTTTCTTTTAAATATTGTAGATTGTGGAAATATTCTTCAATTTTTTCATTTTACTTTTTTGTTCTCTCTTCTTTATCTTTTCTTTTTTAATTCATTTTTCTAATTAAATCTTTTGCTTTATATAAAGCTTCATTATCATCTGAAATATCTGCCATTTTCTTATAATTTGGTTTAAATGTACTTTTAATCAACACACTAAATTATGTTTAACTATTACTTTTTTTTTGGAAGCAATTATTATTTTTCAAGATTTAATTATTGAATCTCTTAATTTATTTCTTCATATTGTTATCTTAATTCATCTTTATTGAATAATTTACTTGTCAATTAATTTGATTGATTATCTTAAATATTAATTTTGCTTTTCTAATTTTAACTTTAAGTATCTTAAGATTTCTGTATAATATCAAACATTTAGCTTGTATCAAAGCTGTCTTAATGGAATGATTTTTTTTCAATATGTGTAATTTCTTAAGGAAGCTTATCATTAGAATAAAATTCTCCATTACTATTAGCTTAAGAATCATTCATTAAGTTAGAATTTTCATCTTTGTAGTTAAATTCATCCTGTTTTTCATTTGTATTTTATTTTGATATTTTTAATTCTTCTACCAAAGAAGGATCAACTTAATATTCATATTCATCTTAATCTGAATTCTAATTTTGATTTTACAATTCTGTTTTAGATTAATTATCAATACCTTTATCTACTAACAAATTTTTATTTGATTAATTCATATAATCTGTTGTTTTTTCTATATTAACTTATTAATTTATAATGTGAATCTTTTATTCTTCTTAAAATTTAAATTTATTTTCTATTGATTAAAACATTTCAATTGTTTTTTTTTTCATTAAAGTTCCACTTTTTTAAATAAAATTAACTAAACTTTTCTAATGTTTTTAAGAATCATTTTCAATATTGGAATTATTTTAATTATTGTTCTAAACAACAATAGTATTCTAGTCTTATTAATCTAGTTACAAGTCCTATATTTCTTATTAAATTACTAATCCTTATTATTATTATTATTATGAATTGTCAATTTTATTATAATTAGCCTATTAAAAGCTATGTTCTATATTATTTTCTTTTACAAGTATTTAATCGTTTAACTAATTATTATTATTCTATTTTCTTTCATCTTTTGAGGTAACATTATTAAATTAAGGATCTTTAATTAATTTCTTTTTGGATTATTAAAAAACAAATTTAGTTTTTAAAGCAATTTTAATTGGGGCTTCCTAAAAAAAATTTAATAGTTTTTATTTATGCCTATAAGTTCCTGTAACAATATTAAATGTTTATACTAAATTGACAGTTTATTGAAATTTTTTTTAGCTAGTATTTTTATTGATTTGTTAATTCTGTTCATTAGTAATTTACTCTTATTCTATAATTCCATCTTAATTTTATTCTAATATTAAATTTTCTTATGATTATGATTTCTCTAAAATTGGATTAGATATTGCATCAAAGTTTAGTTCTCTATGGGATAAATTTGTCTCTTTAGATGGGAGAGCCATTTATTATAAAACATTTGTATTCATTGATAATTCTAAAGTCATATTAGCAAATGATGCTGCATTTCTATCGATTAATTAATCCTCTAATTAAGATATGGCTAAACTTGAATTACAATTATTATCAATTCTACTTTAAGGTGTTATACATCTTTTAGAATGTTCAACCTTTTACTAATTTTTATCTTCATTTTATTCATTATCTTTTTTTAACACAATATTCATTTTTTCAGTTGAAGAAACTTTGAAAGAATTAGGATGATTTTCATCATTTTATGATTTTTGTAAATTACTTTACAATTTCTCCATTTTCTCATTTGTTTTTCCTTTTATAATTGCAAAAGATAATGTGAAAAATCGTTTCAACTTTGAGACTTAAGTTACTGGTTAAGTAAGATGCTAAGTAAAGGCTTCACTAACAGTTTTAGTTCTTTAGATGGTTTTTTATGGAGCTTCTGTAAAGAACGTCAGTAATTTTTTTAAGTGAGGCTTTTTATTTTCCTCAGTCATTTTAAAATAAAAATTAGTATTTTTTTCAATAAAATACATAGCATATATCAAGTTAGGATATTAGTGAACAATTAATCCAAGATATTTTATAACTATTTTGGATCTTTGTCTAAACAATCTTAATCTAAATTAAATAAATTATAGTCTAATTTTTCATAATCCTAAGTTCGTTTCTTAAAAAACATTTCTAATTAAACTAAAGTTATCAATAAGTATTATTATTTTTGATTTTTAATATCTACTCTTAAATTTTCTATTATTTACAAATTCAATCTCCTTATATCATTTAATTAACTTTCCAAAGATTATTTTTAAGGAGTTCCAAATATTGATTATTTTATTAAACCAAAGATAGATTCTTATTTATATTCTTTAACTATTTATTGTGTATTAAACAATTGATAATCTTAATTTGAAATTAATTCTTTTAAATATAAACATGCCTCTACATTCTTATATTATTCATCATTTAATTATAATTTCAATTGTTCATATAACTACTAAGCACATTCCATATATTAATCATAATTGAAATATTAATCTACAATATCTTATTCATAAATCTATTAATATGCTTTGGATAACAACAGATACTATTTTCTTTGATTATAAAATTCTTCAATAATTTTATCATCATAATTTTTATCTATTGTTAATATTTCGAATTAATCGTCATTTTCACATTATTATTATTCAATTTCTTAATTTTCACTTCCTTCTTCTATTTCCTATATTTAATCTAATTCAAATGGATTTTATTGATCTTAATCATCATCAAATTCTAAAATAATTTTATTTTCTTTTAATAAATTAGTTAATTCTTATTTTAATTCATTAAGTTTAATTCTTTAATTAGGATCATATTTCAGCATTGATTAAATGATCAATTTCATTGAATTAGAAATTTGAATCTAAGTATCTTAAAAGTATATATTTTAATTCTTTATCTCGCTTATGTGATCCTTCTCATTTTTAAAGGGAAATCTACCAAATAACATTTAAAACATGATAACTCCTAAAGAGAAAATATCTGCTTGTCTTCCATATGATTTATTTTCTAGGATTTCAGGAGCTAGCTGTAAATCATATAATACCCATAGTCATTGGAGAACCTGCATATGTTTATGTTAAATCAGTTTAACTAGCAAGTTATTTCGATAATCCCATATCTGCAATCTTAAATTTTGCTGAAAATAAAACATCAAATTATTTTTGTTTCATCTATTCCATTTAATAATCAGACATCTAAACCATTATATTTTCAAGTTTTATATCTCTATGAATAATAAATTATTAGTGAAGTTATTTAAAACCTTCAATCAATTAAAGAATGATAAATATTACATATTTCTCTGGAATTTCGCAATCAAAATATTCTTCAAATATTGCTCCAAGATCCTTCTTGCATTCTTCTAATACAATATAAACAGTATTCTTTGTTTCATATTTTTCATAAAATTTTATGATGTTTTCATGATTACATCTTTTCAATATTTCTATTTCTTAATTTAAATAATATAGAATTTATACTTACATTCCTTATTTACTAATCATCTATTATAATAATAAACATCTACTTTTATTGCAACATTTTTTTTTGTGCTCAGACATTCTGCATGAAACACTGTAGCGAAAGAACCAAAACCAATTTCTTGGAAATTGCAGTATTTATTCCCTAAATCATTTTCTAATGTTTCAAAATCACTCATATCTTAACACTAGATTTCAGAATATTTTTGTTTATTATTATTTTAAATAAAAAAAAAATACACAATCTAAAATTTAAATTGATCATGTAGATGGCTTATTCTAACTTAAATTACACTTTTATTATTATTTCTAATTTTATAATTATCTTGCCTAAAATAATTTATTTACATTTTTATAAAACTTCTCCACATTATTTTTCTAGAAATTAATTATATAAATTATTTTATATTTATTTTTAGTAATTTAATACTATATCACTTTAAAAAATATTTATCATAATTAGATTCATAATATTATGTTAAACATTTACAAGTGAATATAAATTTTAACAAATTATTATTTTATAATTTGTTACTAAAAATAAATAAAATATATAGTTAATATTTAAAAAGGTACTAAAATATTTTACTTGTATTCAATTATTCTTGTAAAAATATCTAACTTTTAATTTTTTAAATAAAATTATTTAAAATGTTTTGGGGAACACAAATTTCTTAAGGAAAAACTCACAAACTAACTGCAGAAGAAGCAGATGTTATTCATGTATCTAATGTTGCCATTTCAGAAGGAGAAAATAAAATTTAAGTATATGCAAAAGTTTAAGGAAAAGAATTTATCCTAGCCAATCTAGAAAAAAATAAGGTATTTAAGAATTGATAATGATAGCTTGAATAAGTGTCATTAGACTTATATTTTAGAGCTGATCAATAAGTAGAATTTGGAGTTAAAGGAAAAGGAACTATCCATGTTTCTGGATATATTGAACCTGAATTAGACGATGAAGTAATTAAGTTTAAATTATGTTTAAGGATGAATTAGATGATGAAGATTTAGTGAGCGAAGACAAAGAAGAAGAAGTAAGTGAAGAACCTCCAAAACCAGTTCAATAAACAAAGAAATAAGAGTAAAATAAATAATAGCCATAATAATAATAATAATAAAAACCAAAAGAAAAATAAGATTAACCATAATCCAAACCATAGTAATAACAAGGACAACAATAAAAGGAAAAAGTATAATAATAAAAGCCATCATTATAATAACAACCTAAAAAGGCAGATGAAGAATGGGATGATGATGAAGATGATGAAGGACTTGATGATTTTGATGAAAATGATTTAGATGATGAAGATTTAGATGATGAAGAATTAGATGATGAAGAGGATGATGATTCTGAAGAATAAAAACGTATTAATAAAATTTTCTATTTTAGCCTAATAAAAGTTTGTTAAAACTAATGAAGGATAACAATAAAAGCCTAAACAGAATTAAAATAAACCTTAATAAAAAGGTTAATAATAATAATAGTAATAGTAATAATAATAATAATAATAATAATAATAATAATAATAATAATAAAAATAATAAAATCAATAATAATAGAAATAATAAAATCAATCATAAAACAAAGGAAATCAACAACAAGGACAAAAAACTTCTTAAAACTAAAATTAAGGAAAACAATAATAATAAAATCCTTAAAATAAAGGAAATACATAATAAAATAAGGATAACTAAAATAAGAATTTCAATAAGAATGCCAATAAGAATCAAGAAGGATTCAAATAAAAATAGAAATGAGTGTTAATATATTTCCATTATAAAAATTTAATAGCCTTTCATAAAATATCAATATTTTTTAAATTATATTTAAAATGGTATATGCCTATTTCCAAAATAAATGTGCTGAATATTAAAATAATCCAAACCTTCAAAATCATATGAAAATTAATCTAATTTTAATTGCTCTAACTATAATTTTGAGGGTGGTGTTTGAAATTTTTTTGAGGTCCTAATTGGCATTATCCGAAAATGATAATTAGGTTGGGTCATTTGAATATTCAAGTGACAACAATAAAATTTAAAATGAAGATCATACGCATAATAATTAACCTTAAATTTCATATATGATTTTAGATTAATTGCTTCATCTATTTTTATCATTAGAAATTATATTTTTGGTGTTGTAAATAACATTAATAATAAATAAAAGAAAATAAGAACTTTCCTTAACTCTTCCGATTTTAAACAATAATTAAGAAATGACTTGCTCTGTATAATTTGTTAAAAGTTCTAATTATGGTGTATCAAGCTTATAAAATAACTAAGCGACATTAAATTCAATTGAAATGCAATTTTTATCAAGAAATAAGAAGGGGGTTAAAAAATAAATTACCAATTCAGATTAAGATCTAAGTTATAAGAAAAAAATTGAAAATTATTAAAAAATAGAAAGTTAAGAAGCATTTGATTCTAATTTATAAATAATGCAAAACCATTTAATACCAAATTTATCTACAAATAACTAAGATTGCAAAATTAATACAGAGTAATTGATTACTTAAATTTTTCCAAACGATTCTTTAAAGTAAATTGAATAAAGCAAATCTATTTAATCAGAAGATATTGAAGAGTAAAAATAATAGGGAAGAGCTGAAAAAAAAAGACGTGAATATATTCAGATTATTTAAAAATGTGAAAAAAATCCTTAATGCAATTTTTTTTGGATTTCATAAAACAAAAGTAGAGAATATATCTGCTTAAATTGCGATTAGGGGAATAAAATAATTGGAAATCAGGATCAAATTAATTAAAAAGATTATTAATAAAATAGATAAATAGAACCAGTTAAATTCTTTTTATCAAATAAATTTGAACATCAATTGTTTGAAATATGTTCAAGCTAAAAAACTAAATTTTAATTTTGTGAAAATTTTGATCTTTGCGGATTTTTTTGGATGTAAAATTCCGATAATTAATTCGATGGTTATTATTGTCCAATATGTATGAATTTTTATGCAATTAAATTAAATAGTAGATAAACTTTATTTTAAGAAATTGATTTTAAGTGCTCTTATTGCAATTAAACTACATCTGAATATTTTTAAACATGTTGTTTACATTAATACCATTTTGATTGCGTTAAAGAATTATGGTCTAATACTCAAAATTAAACAAATATTCATTGTATAACTTGTAACATTAATATTACCAAATGTCTAAGATAAAATAAATTGCTACCAAATGAAATATTAGAAAAAATATTTTTTAATTAAATACAAAAAATTAGATAATAAAATATGAAAGAAGGAATCGAGGCTTAAGAATGATTTTGTTTTTTACAATAATAATTGGATATAAAAAAATTTTATTGCTCTATATTTTAATTAATTTTTAATAAAAATTATAGAATATATTTAAATTTAATAAAAATTTAAGTAAATTTTTGATATTTAAAAATTAACATCATATTTAACAAATCATTAAATTTGCATAGAATATGATGATTATTTTAGTTCTTCAGAATAGTTTACAGCCTTTATAAACTATTTGAAATGAAATTTATTTTACAGAAATTTATTAGTATTATAAAGTTCCACGAGTTAATTTTTGAATAGTTTAGATAATATAAGTTTAAACGAATCGCTCTTAAATTATCTAATCAATTATGAACTGATTTATGCACCACAGAAGCATATAAAATAGGTTTTATCAATTTCAATCTATTATGTACAAAATTGTTTGAGACAATATTTATGAATATCATGCTTACATTTTAATTATACTTTTTAACTAATTATTAATTTATTGCAATGCCAACAACATTCTCTTTAAGTCATTTCATTCTTTTAAAAATGTAGCAAATCTTGATATTTTTATTATAAAGTTCCAAGCTGATTGGAGAAAAATCTTTGAAGTAAGTTTTGATCAGATATAAGTTATCTTAAATATTTAGTGTGAATTATTTCTGAACATTTGCAAATTAAAGTACAATTACCATTAGTAATTTGATTTGTTATAAATTAAATTAAACATGATTCATGATACAAATCTAAACATTCCAATATCTAATCCTACATTGAATTAGATAATTAATGACAATAAATACAGTATTGTGATTTTACATCTGATGATGATGCATAATTTGATTAATTTAATAAATTATGTCCCATCTAATCTTAGACTTTAATTGATGACATTTAGTTTTAAATGTGTTCGGTTCTACCTAATTGAGATATTCTTTTGTCAAAATCTGATTCTTTTGAATGTAATATTGACTTTTAAGATTTGTATAATTAAATTGTTCTAGCTTCCTAAGGAATGCATTCAGAGGATTCAATTGCAGCTTTTATAGTTATAGAATTGAGAATTGAACCAACATGAACCTCTTTTTCTTAGCATTATTGCATTTACTTGCAACTACTTGATGATCCCATTATTTTTTATTAATATTAACTTTATTTTTTTTAATCACATATCTAAAATATTAATAATTCATTAATATTATCAAATTCAAATAAGTATTTTCAATTTCACTTTCAAAAAATCAAAATAAAATAAAGTTTAAACTTAAATTTGATTCAATATCAAAATTAAAATTTTTATCACATAAATATATAAAAGAGAGGTCAATTATAAATAGTAAGAATTTATTCTATCTGAAGATTAGAGTAATCTCCTTTTAATTAGGCATTGTTCTCTTAAATTTTCCTAATCTTCTTATCTTAATAAATCACTTTTCTAAAATGTATCATTGCATCTTAATATATTTTATATTTTATATTTCTTTAATGAATTAAAAAAAATTATATTTTTAAGTCTAAAATATATTAAAATTAATATATTTATTTCTATTTCTTTTTCAGATCCAAAGTTAAAATGCCATTCATAATGTATTTTAGAATTATTAATACGATTTACTAAACCTTTCGATTCAAATTCACATAAGAATGAAAATTATTACTTTTATATTTTTTATCAAAAGACATTTAATTATTAAAACATATGAATTAACTCGAAAATAGCCATATATATAAATAAATTAATAGTGTCATCTAATTGAAGACTACAATTTTTAGTATTCTAGTACAAAATTTTTTTAATTTTCATCTAATAAATGAAGATTATCTAAAGCCCAAAATATCGAAACATCTTAATGATCAATTCTGATTCCATCTGATATAAAATATTTTTTTAATGTCTTTTAACAAATAAAATCTATTTTTTATTCTTGCATTTGATAGAATTCAGCAGATCTTAATTTAAAATAAATTATACTTTTTTAGAATTTCCACATAATTTTTTGAAAATATTTTTTCTAAAAATTCTGAAGTTAATTCAATTAGTACTTGGGAGACATTATTTCCATCATAATATGTAAATTATAAATCTCCAATAGAAATATCATAGTAATCCCCTCTTCTGTAATATTCTCTTACTTTTGATGCTAGAAAATAATAACCCTTATGTTCAATAAAATCCTCTTTAACTGTTTAATTGAAAAAGGTTGATGAAAGAGCACAAAATTTACCAGGATAATATTCAATTTAAGGTGAGAAATGAATTTTTGATAAGTCTTAGATAAATTCAATAATTTATTGGATCTTATCTTAATTAGGATTATTGATGAATTCAACTATCTATTCTACTTTAGCCTTCATTAATAACGTTTGATCTTATTGTTGTTAAAGTTAATTCATTTTTATTTCTATTAGATAATAAATATTTCTTAGAATAAATTTAATAGTAATTATACTAGTAAAATAAATTCACCTAATTTATTAAATGAAAAAATTATGTAAAGTTGGTAAATGAATTATAGCTTATAATTATGGGTTATTATATGAAATGGAAGAATTGATATAAAATTTAAAGAGTAAATATCTTGAAGCGAAAAATGATTTTTTAAATTCCATAAACAAATTTCCTTAATCAAATGAGCCCTTATTATTAAATTTTATATTGGATAATTTAATATTAATTTAAAAATATGAGACAATATTTTTCTAAAAATAATATTATATTAAAAAAATGATGACAATATCCTTTTAGTTGACCTATTTAAAATCCTTCAATAATGAGAAAAACTGAATAAATAATAAAATAAATTAAAAAGTAGTGCTTCTTTATAATATGTAGCTGATATAATATATTATTAAGAAAAAATAAACTTAAAGAAAAAGTCCCTGATTAAGATTCCTTAAAAAATTGATCTTTATAAAACATATCTTTTTAAAAATAACTTTAATGTTAAAAAATAAACTTAATAATATGTCATTAGGCCAATAAAATAAAAAAAATCTTCTCCTTAATTTGAAAGGATTATAAGAATATGAAGAAAGTAGAAAAAATAGAGTCTAAAAAATGTAAGCATACTTCTTTATTGAGTAGATAGAAAATAATCTTTAATTTAAAAAATAATTATTCGAAGAGATTTGACTCTTTAAATAATTATTTTAAAGTATTAAATAATGATTAATAATGTAAATTAAACATAGATTAAATATTATTATATTTTATCATGATTATTATTTAACAACACCAACTTTTGCTGGTCTTAAAACTCTTTCACCAATAACATATCCATCTTATGCAACATAACATATGCTTCCTGGTTCTTTTTCAGGGTCTTCAACTTAAAATAAGGATTCATGAAAATTTGGATCAAATTTCTTCCCAACAATATCCATTTTTTAAACTCCAAATTTTTTATACACTTTTTCTAAAATTGAGTGGGTCATTACAACACCTTTATAAATTTAAATTTATATTACCTTCTAATAATGGATTATCTTCAGGTTTATCAGTAGTACTTCCAATAGCTCTTTCTAGATTATCTTAGACTTCTAATAATTCTTTGGCAAAATTTGATATGGCAAATACTTTTAATTATTCTTTTTCTCTAAGAATTAGTTATTATATATGATACTTTGAAATTCTTTTTTATTATAACTCTTATTCTTCTATTTCTGCTTTTAAGGCTTCTCTTAATTCTTTTATTTTTGAGTTATGATCTTTATTAGATGCTTCTAATTAATTTATTAATTTAATTTGATCATGAATTTTCTCTTTTTGATCTTTGATTTGATTCTCAAATTTTTCAATTTGTTTAGAATAAAATTATTCAACTCTATGTAATTTATCTTCATGAGATTCATCAAGGGATTCAATTTTCTCTTCTTATTTTTTTTATGTTTCCTTTTTTTCTTATTCTTCTTTTTACTCTCTTTATTAAGCTTATTCTTATTTTTAATCATTCTTTTGGGTATCTTAATTCTTGGTCTTTTCAGAAAATAAGTAAATTGAAGTTTAATGTAAACCTTATCTGAAAAATAATTGTTATGGAGGTGATATCAGACTGAAAACTCTAACTCCTAATCTTAAACCTTTCATTTAATAATACCGCAAATTAAATTTTATTTATAAATAATGAAAATAGTAATAGTTAAATTCTATATAAATAAAATTTATTATTTTAATGAAGAATATCATTATAAAAATACGGATTACTATTTATTTGGTAGTTTTCGATCAAGAATAAAATATTTGATCATGTAATATGCTTCTTTTCTACGATCAGTAGGTACCATATGTCCAGCATTTCTTACAGAAACAAATTATAATCCTTCAATAGAAAATACATTTCCTGCATTTTATTGTTCATTAATTATTTTTTCTCCTGGGACATACCATGCTCTCCAATTTTCAGTAGTAGATAGTTCTAATTCTAAATATTAGTATACATAATTCATTTTATAGTAATTAAATCCAATATAAAGTTCCAGTTATAGGTACAACAGAATCAACATCTCCACTGAAATGCATGATTCTAATTTTTTTTGATTTTATTAAAGATTCATAAATATAATAGGATTATTATTCAAATTTTTTATAAATAAATTCTTTATCGCCTGTGCAAACATCCCATTCAGGACTTTCAGATTTAATATGAGTAATTAACTTCCATTTAGGATCTTTAAATACAACATCCATTCCAATACCATCTGTACAGTAACCAAATTCTTCATCATCATCATTTAATTATTTTTTTCGTTTGAATCTCTTTAACATAGGATCATATTTTCTATGTTATAATTCAGGTTTATAATTATAACAATAACCATATACATTATAAGGATTCATAAGAAATACTCTAAAATGATATAATAAAGAATTACAATGGTGAGTAATAATATTAATCAATAACTTCATCTAAAAAATCATAACATTCCTAATGTAATTAATGTAGATTAGAGCATTTGTTACTATTTTATAAATGTTAAGCAAATTAATATTATTCTTCACTAAGAAATCCTTGCCTACCAAAAAATTCAATAGTATGAATTGGATAGATATCAGCAACTTTACTACATTCAGTAGGATGTGTACAACCATTACCAATCATAATTCCTTTAAGATTGATTATATTGTTAGGATGTAATTAATTATGTAATAAAATTTAATTAGCTAAAAGAGGAATATAGATTCCAGCATAACTTTCTCCTGAAATAAAAAAGTCTTTAGTTTAATACTCAGGAAATCTTTAAAAAAAATCCTGAAGTGCTCTCAAATTTTAAATGGCTACTGTATCATCATTTACATGAGCATCACCATATGAATAACCTACTTTAGCAGGAGATTCTAAATATAACATATGTGCCTATTAATAAAATATAGATATATCTTACAAATTTAGTCCAACCCCATATATTCTCTTAGAATTCAGCTGTCCCTTCTTTAAATACGAATGGCCCATTCTCTTTTACTGCTCCTTAAAGTGATGAACAACCAGGTCCTCCATTCAACCATAACAATACAGGTGTATTTTATTCAGAAATATCTTAATCTTCAAAAGTTGATGTCATGAAATAATAATGAAAATATGTTTTATCATCATCTATAGCTTTCAGGTATCCTGAATACATTTAACCTTTAAAATCAAACACACCTTTTGTGTATTCTTTCAAATCATCTGATTTAACAAGATCATCTTAAGCTGTTGAGGCTAATGTTAAACAAATCAATAATTGTATTGTTATTAATTGTTACATTTTATTAATTAATATAATTAATTAATAATGTCATATTTTAGTAAACTATTGCCATTTCCACCAAATATTGAAAAATAAGAAATACCAAATGATGTCAATGAAATTATTCAAACATTAATGACTAAGGAAGCTTCATTGTAATAATGGGAAAGCATATCTGTAATATAATAATTTAATATTATTTTATCTAGTATTCACTATTCAACCATAAAAGGTATGATGATTTCTTAGAATTAATGAAATATCTAACTAATAATTTAATTAATCGATTCAATGATGATTAAAGCAAAAAAATAAAAATTAGAATATATAATTCATTATCTTTATATTATTTGATTTAAGCAACAAGATAAGATGGTTTTGATAAAGCATCAGAGTATTTTGATAATGTTGTTAAAAACTTTAATTTATCAGATCGTTATGATTTTGTCAGTCATACATTTAGTATTAAAGGATTGTTCTCATTTTATAAGGGAGATAAAGAATAAACATTTAATTATTATAGAACATCATTTGATGAAACAAGTTCAGCAAGGTACTCACTTTTGTAATTTATTATAGAGACACTCTTTCTGTAACTCCATGTATAGGTACTGCCTAGGCTTACTTTGCAGTTGGTAATTACAAAGATTCCTTATAATATTTTAAAAGAGCCCTTAAACATAAACCAAATATTGCAGGCAAAGCTAGATTAGGATTAGCATATTGTTATTATAATCTAGAATAATATTCATTAGCTTATTATGCATTTAAAAGAGTCTTATAATTAGTAAACTATTCATTATTATATATAGGAACCTAAAAATGTCGAAGCTCATATTGGATTGGCAGTACTTGCATTTGATAAAGGAGATCATGATGAATACTTTAATAGATTATGCAAAGCCTTTACAATTAATCAAAATCATCCTATTACACTCTATCATTTGAGTGAGCATTATCTATTTAAATTAGATTATTAAAGAGTATTTTCAAATTCTAATCCTAGGCTATGATTTGCATCTAAAATGGATTAAAAGCTTTAGACAATGTTTCAAGATTTTAATTCAAAGAGAAAACTTAAGAAGATTAATTCAGAAATGATTGGTCGTTATTAAAATGTAGATATCTATATTTAATTGGTTTAATCAAATAAATTGAGGGTGAGTATGAATAATCACTAAAATATTATAATCAAGCCAAATAATACAATAGAAATAATGTTCTTGTTCTATTAGGATTATCATAATTATACTTGAATCCATAATCTTAAAATTATACTGAATCATATAAATTAGCAGAAAAAATTGCAAAACAATATGAGAATACAGATTTTATTTGGGAACTTTATAAATAATTAGCTTATATCTAATCTAAAAATTTATAAATCCGAAAACCAGTTATTGAAACATATAGAAAAGCATTACAATACAACAACAAAGATTTTGAAACTTTAATTGAGTTTGCCTAATAAATAGAAAACGAAGATGCCTCAATTTACTATTAAACTGCAGAAGACTTACTTTTATCTAAATTTAATAATCAAAAGTACACTATGATTTTACAAAAGATAACAGAATAGATAATATTTCCAGAATTATACATTAATATGGGAGTTCATTTAGCAAATACTGATTTATAAAAAGCATTAAAAAGTTACGAAAAATGTTAATAATTAATTGAAGAATTTTAAATACCTGATTATGTTGTAGATACTACAGAAGAAGCATCAAAATAAGAAGTTTAACTAAAAAAAAATATGTATCAAATTGTGCTTTCTTTTAACAAGGGAATATTGATGGAATAATTAGGAGATTATGTTACAGCTATAGAATTGCATGAATAATGTATAAAAATAAATCCTTATTTTATTGACAGTTATGTAAGATTGAGTTATTTGTAATTTCAACTTGGAGATTATAAAGATGCTTTGAGAACCATTTCAGACTCTAAAATATATTATGAATAATATGTTAATCATAACAGAAATTATAAAGGATAGAATCCTGTTCCTATGATACATGGTTATATTGCTTATCAATTATAAGATTAAGGAGGAGCAGTTGATTAATTTAAAAGATATGGAGAAGATTGTTATTCAAAAATCTTTTTAATGGCTCATGATTATTAATTGGCAGCAGATAAAACTAAGAATGATGATTAATTGTTCAAAAAAAAAGTTCTTAGATAAATTGCTAGTACAGGTATGAAATTACTATAACATGAACCAAAAAATCTATAAGCTGCTATTACATTAATATTAGTAATTGCTGAATTAGGAAAATATTCAGAAGCTCTTAATTTATTAGGTGATCTTTAAGAATATGCTAATCAATAACCAAGAATTCTTAGTAATTTAGCTATTTTAGATTGTTTAGTTATGCCTAATAATAATTAATCAGCTAAAACATATTTTAAAAAATATTATGAAAAAACTAATTATAAACCAGATGATCATACTGATCTTGCTGTTGCAAAAATGTATTTGAATAACAAAAAATATAAAGATAGTGCTAATATCATTAAAAGATAAATTCTTAATAATCCAGGTGATTTGAAACATAGACTTAATCTTAATATGATTATACATCAATTTTGTTATGAAATACAAGAAGAGAAATCTTCTTATGGACTTTTAAAAACTGCAGTTACTTATTTTTAATGTCTACTTAAAAGTTATGAATATATGGCATTGGGAATCTGTTGGTAAAATAGAGAATAATAACATGAAACTGAACATAGACATATAATTAGATAAAATCATTAATTAATGAGATAGAAGAGTGAAGATAAATTTAATTTTATTCATAGTTTTTAAACTAATTTTGATAAATTATTAAAAGAAGCAGAACTAAAAGAAAAATTAAAAGAAGAAGAATTATTAGTATTAGAAAAATAAAGAAGGGAAAAACTAGAATAGGTTGTAACATAATAAAATTTGAAACAAGAATAAATAGATTCTACATAAATGGAAAAGTTGGCAAAAATTGCTGCAGATTTGCTTAATAATTTGAATATGGATTAAGAAATAGATACCTAAAAATAAGGGAAATAAGGTAAGTTAAGTAAAAAAGAGAAAAAGAGAAGATAAAAAGAATAAGCAAAGGCAAAAAAAGAAGATGATGAATTTATTAATGAATCTGAAGATGAAGATTACAATTCATAATAAGCAGAAATGGATGAATAATTTGCAAAAGAAGAAATGGGGGATGATTCAGAAGAATAATTTAATGAATAAGAAGCTTATGAAAAGAAAACTCAAAACAAATAATAAAAGAAAAAAAAAAAGATTAAATAAAAAGAAGTTAAATAAAAGTCTAGATTATAAGTAAAAATTATCTTAATATTTATTTAGAAGTAAGTTGATTCAAGTGATGCCGAAGATGTTTATGAATCATAGGACGACTCTAAAAAATATGAAGATTTATTTTGAATTACATTAAAACAAAATAATATTAATTTATAAAATAACATAAAATTTATTATGGCAGGAGAGTTTACAGGGATTTGTGGAGCTTGTTGTGGAATAAGCAGTTTCATATTATTTTTAATGATCATTTTATCATTTAGTTCATTAGATTACAATGAAGTTGGTTTAGATTATAGTTCAATAACAAAAACAATATCTCCAAAAATATATTCAGCAGGAATACATTTTTTAGGAATTGGACATGAATTTATAACATTTCCTAAGACAGTTTAAACGGTTGAATTTTCAGATGATAAAAGTGCCGATAGAAAAATGATTCATTCAAGAACAAGTGATGGTTTAGAGGTTGTTTTAGAAATATCATTTTAGTATACGTAAATTATTACAATTATGAGTAATTAGTTATAATTTAACTTAACTTTACTCACTCTATGCAACATATTAAACAAAGCATAAACCAATTCTAATTAGATAGTCAATAGATATATTATCTTATGTTGCAACTTAATATTCTGCATATGACTTTTTTATGGATAGATAAAATATAGGAATAGCAATGTAAGCAGCATTAGATGATTTATTTGAAAAAGAATTATATTGCAACTGTGAGTTTTTTTAACTTCGTTCAGTAGATTTACCTAATGATTTTGAAAATGCTATATGGAGTTCTGAAGTTAAGAAATAAGAGATTGTTAAAGCGTAAGCCTAAAAGAATAAAACTGAAGTAGAACTAGAAACAAATAAGATGACTGCATTATATAATAGAGAAGTAGTTTTAAATTAAGCTTATGGTGAAGCTAATTCTACATTATCAAATGGAAAAGCTAAGGCAGATGCTTTTTTGACAATATAAGAAGCAAATTAATAAGCGTATATATTATTTATGATTATTTTTAGAATGAAATCTTTAAAAGAACATTTGAAATTAAATGGGAAGGGTGTAATTAGTTATTTATAAAATAAAGCATTAAGAGATTATGAAGGTGATGATTTATTAATTTTTATTTGATTTAATAATTTGATAGTTAAAAATTACATTCAATGTCAAAAGAAGAAGATCATAGTGAAGTAGAGGATCATATTTTAAGAAGATTTGATTTGTAAGAATATAAAGGAAAAGGGGCATATGGGATTGTATGGAAAGCATACGATACAAAGACCAAATAAATTGTTGCGTTGAAAAAAGTTTATAGATTTTAAATAAGCTAGGTTTTTGATGCTTTTTAAAATTCAACAGATGCTTAAAGAACTTATAGAGAAGTTGTATTTTTGAAACAATTAAATAATCATGAAAACATAGTTAAATTGATATCTGTAATAAGAGCAGATAACAATAAAGATTTATATATGGTTTTTGAATATATGGAGACAGATTTGCATAGAGTAAGAATAATTTAAATGTTAAATAGGTTATTAGAGCAGAACTATTAAACAATATGCATATATAATATGTTATGTATTAGATTCTCAAATGTCTCAAATATATACATTCTGGACAATTAGTTCATAGAGATTTGAAACCAGCTAATATATTGATAAATGCAGATTGTCATATTAAAGTAGCTGATTTTGGATTATCAAGATGTCTATCTGAAACAGAAAATAATAATGGTTTTAAAATATATATTTTTTCAGAAGCACCAATAATGACAGAATATGTAGCAACTCGATGGTATAGGGCTCCTGAAATATTATTTGGATCTCATTATTATTCTACTGCAGTTGATATGTGGAGTGTTGGTTGTATTTTAGGAGAAATGATATTAGGTAAAGCATGTTTTGCAGGTATGGATTACTCTATATCAAAGGAACATCAACTTTAGATTAAATTGATAAAATTATCTAATTAATTGGAAAACCATCTACATCTGATTTAGAATCAATCAATGCTCCTATGGGTTATCAGATTATAGAACAAATGGATACCAAAAAGTCATTCAGTTATCATTAGTTTTTTCCTAAAGCTAATGATCTTTAAATAGATTTTATAAAGTATCTATAAAAATGAAATAGAAAATTGTTAGTCTACAATCCTAATAAAAGATTAACTGCAGAACAAGCTTTAGATCATCCTTATCTTAAAGATTTTAGACAAACTGAACCTGAAATTCTTTTAGATTAATATATAACTATACCATTTAATGATAACAAAAAACTCAAACTTTAAGATTATAGGGATGCTTTATATAAAGGTCTTATTACTAAAAAATCTAATAATTTAATTAGCATCAATTATTCTAGTTATTAAACTAATAAACAAAGTCGAAATGAACCCAATCCTAATAGTATTGTAGTTAAATCTGATACTGAATAATACATCTACAAATAACCAGCTAATTAACAATAATAAACCAGATGCAAATCTAGATTAGATTAAAGAAGTCAATCAGTATCTAAAAAAATAGCATAGACTTAATATTTTAATTCATAAGATATAATGAGAATATAAAGACAAACTGATAAATCCAAATCTTTTCATATTGATGAAGAAGTATATATATATTTATTAATTTAGATGCCAACTGTTCATAAATCAATTACTAAATAATAATTACTCGAACAATAAGTTCCTACTACTACTCATTAAAAATAGTAAGAAAAATCATATAATCGAATGAGACCTTCAAATGGCAGCAAGTTTTCAGAAAGCAAAGAAAATTCAAGAATTAATTCTGTAGAAGGAACTATTAATAATCAACTCCTCGCTTAAGCATAATATAATTTTCATAAGAAATTATCAAAAAAAAAATAAGTTTGTGAAATCTATGGGTAAATTCACTTTAAAATTATATTAGATAACCTCATACAGGCTAATAAAATTCTAAACCTAAGTAACCCATTAAAAAATCTAAGACTCCAGATCTCAAAAATTATTAAATGGCACATTCTAGAAGTCTATCTTAAAATAAAAATATTTCAGTTTCAAGAAGTAGTAGTAAACCTAAAACTCGAGGGAGTCCGTATCATTCTGAAGGAAAAGTCTTAATAAGTCAACCTGATATGAGTGGCTCTTTTTCTAAAAGCTTTTATAATTTTAATAATTTAGGTAAATATTCTCAATACTCTCTAGTCAACTCTAATTTGCCTTTGTATGCAAAAATCTTGTCTAAACATCAAAACATTGTTAAATTCAATTAATAGAAAATACGCTACGAATCATTAAAGAAATGATTTTATAAAAATTCTTTAATAATAAACCTTAAAAAAATTCTATAAAGATATCAATATCATTAAAAAAAAAAGAATAATTTTGATATTCAAAAACAAAAATTATTATTATTTATTTTAATAAATGGATATTTTTAAAGATTTATTTGCCACATAAGGCTTTCAATTATGTTTGAAAGCTGTTTAAGATGTTTAAGCAACAGGAGATTAGGAAGCTTTATTCAAGCAATGTCAATAAAATTATGCAAATGCATATAAAGTTGTTGGATAAGAGTTTCTTAGATTCTTCAATAATTAGCCATCAAAAGATAGGTATGGTCCTCCTGAAGAAATTTGATTAATAATATATTGAAGCAACAAAAAATAATTTATTATTCAATCAATTAAATAAGAAATAAATTAGAGTAAAATATTTTATAACTATGCTGAATTATCTATTCAATTCGTTACAATAAGTAATTCAAATCTATCAGCATTTACTAAAAAATTCAAATATTTTTGTTTTAATTTATATTACAATAAATGGACTTAATATATAAATAAAAATGGCTTTACAAATTCAAAAAGATTATTTTTAATGCTCTGATATGTAAATTTACTTATATACATTCAGTAGAAATTTAAAATTATTAAAATTAAACAAAAATGTTTATATATAAAAATATATGATTGATATGTACTATCAATCATTATTTTAATATATTTGTCAATACTTATTCTGTTTCTAATGTAAATTATGTTTCTCTTTTTATTGTTTCTGCTAGATAATAGAGTTTATTCATGGAAATCAAATATTCTAATAATTCAGGTTGCTAATTAATATAAAAAAAAATTTACTTTATCTCCCTCTTTCTTGTTTTAAGTAGATGAATTGATTTTATCTGATAAAGTTACTTATTCTTCAATGGTTTCAATTAATTATCGACCATAATTTGAAATATTAGATGTAAATTTAGTTTCTTCATTCTTAAATTTCTCTTCAATAGAAGTTCTATATTGATATAAGAATGCCTAATTAGATTTGAGAATACTTATGTCAATGGTGTTTTGAGTAATTCTAATGGGATTGTTCTATAGATTTTGTCATTCTTAATATTTAGAACAGGAATTTCATCTTTGGAATAGATTTCTGAATATTTTTCATTAATCTATTTATAATGTTAAAAATATGTATTACCACATATGCTTAGAATGGTTATGAATGTCCAGATTTAGCCAATTATAATGAATAAACTAAGACAAAGGCATATTTAACATAGAATTGAAGTCTATTGATATCTTCAAATTAATCTAAAGTGAAATGTCTATTTTAATCTGTAATGATATATAGACCTAGTTTATGAAAATCTAAATGATGTTTTTTTGCATAATCTAAATATTCATATTATTAATCTTATTCTTCATCAACATCAATGATAGGAAAGCAATTAGTGACTTCAATAGTTTCGCCTTCAATAATTCCTAATAAATAGCCATATTAATTAATAGTTGGATTATCATTAGCTAGTTTGATAATTTTCATTGCAGCCTAATATGAATTAAAAGTATTACAATTGTATCTAATTTAACATTGGATGCTTTAAGTATAGGTTATTCTCCTGACATAATATTAATTTCAATAAAACAAATATTTTTAATCACATTTATATTTTTTAACGCAACTTTTCACAAACTTTTCAATCTAAATTATATATGATGGTCTCATTTTCTTCAAGAGTTATAACATTCTAAAAAATATGATAGCATTTAAAGTAACAGTAGAATCTAATTTAGTTATATTAGTTCCAGTAAATATTTTACAACATTAGCAAATTCTTAGAAATTATATTTTGAATAGGTGAAATCTTGAGCAATAGATCTAAGTAAATCTTCGCTTCATGATTCATTACGGAAAGGAAATATAAATTTTTATCAATTTTCAGATCTTAAAATAGTTGGATCTAGAATATCAGATCTATTACAGACATCTATGATAAATATTTATATTCCTAAATTGATCTTATTATTTGATAATAATTCATTTACATCTTTTTCATTCACTGAATCTCCTCTATCTATTCCTCTGACTGGACAAATTGCTTGTCATCAAAAGAAAATTATGCAAGGTTAAGAAGCTCTAACTCTTTAAATAACTAATGTTTTTTTGTAATTTAATACTCCTAAAATAGATTTCTCAAATTCTCCTACACATTAATTTAATATTTCAGGCAGGTTCTTTCTCTCCTATGAAATTTGTTCTTTGATATATTAGCTACTGCTTTGTTATTAAAGTTTTCCTACAACCTGAATGTCCCCATAATAATAGTTCTGAAGGTGGTCTCCCTTTAAACTTTTAAAGAAATCTGGATTTTAAATTATTAACCATCTTAAAATCTATAGGTAGTCTCTTCGCTATTTATTAATATCTTTCCATCTTAATGATAATAAATCAGAAGCAACAGATTTACCAGGAATTCCTCTGGATATACTATAAAAAATCTCTATGATCTAATTTTAATGGGTTTTTAAGTTTTCTAAAAATATCTTCTCTTACTTTTGGAACTGTTATCATGATTTTTTTGCCAAATTTTCAGCTTCAATTAATCTGAATGAGATATAATTACAATTAAAAATAGATTATTTGACAAAAAATCCAAACTACCAATTATTTAAGTTTCTACTCTTCTTTCATTTATCTAATTTAAATTGAAAATAAGTACTTATTAATGTTATCTCTATCTCATTCAATTTTATCTATATAATTTATGAAAACTATCGATGGTGTTTCTAATGTAGCCTATTAAAACAATTATCTAATATTCTTTTCTAATTCTACATTCTTCTTAAATATATTCAATTTATATTTTAAATATAAATCTCTAAAAATAGCCTTTGAACGATAATTCTTTTCATAACGTATTGCTCCTGTTAATAAAATACTTTTTAGAGCGTTGCTTTTCAAGCTCAGTTAATATTATGTGCATTTTTAAAGTCATATATATGATCAATTCTATTTAGCATTTTATTAATTAAATCCCTCAAATGTCATTTAGTTTTAGGAATTATAATAATATTTCCTTATCTAAAACTTATCAATAATTATTCTTTCCAATATTTTAATTTCGATTATTATTGGCATTATCTATTTTACTTTTTTTATGGCTATTTATCATTCTCACCACTAAATCTTTAGTTTCCTTTTATTCTTTTAGATAATTAACTTTAAAATATATTTAATTTAAGATTTCAAAATTATTTTTGGTAATCGAAGATGTTTATGGACTATAATATCCTATATTTCTAAAATTTGATTGGTTTAAATATTTTTGTTATTCTATTATGTTATGTGGAATTCTTAGTTCATTAAATATTTCCTATTCTTTCAATTCAGCCATAATTATTATACAATATAATTAATATAAATTCAAGATTTTATGAAAAATAACTATTTGATGATTGAATCAAAATACAAGCTAATTCAAAAGAAACAATAAAAAATACATATAATCAAAATTGGTAAAGCTAATATAGTTATTAATCAAAGTAATCCATTAACATAGTTATTAATTAAATCTTCATCTTCTTCTTAGTTTAAATCATCATTTTTCCAATAATTATACTCTTAATCTATTTTCGATTATTCATTTTCTGTTTAAGTTATTTTAGATTATTTTACTTTTTCAGTTTAAGGTTCTTAAAAAAAAAACCTAGGCTTTCTGATTTCTTTCTCTTATTTTTAATTAGTTTTTGAATTTGTCGAAAATCCAAACGACTGTTTATACATATCATGCTAAAATCCTCCTATTATATATTTTTTAGCTTTCAAATTGTTTTAAACAAAATATGGTTCTAGTAATAAATTATTGATCTCTTTCTTCTCAATATGCTCATTATGCAGATTTTTAGCTGAAAGAGATTTTTGTTATTTATTTTATCCTTCTAATTCTTTTAGTCTACATTTTAATATTCTTTCAGAATTTTATTTTTGTTTATCTGGCAAAGCTTTAATTCCTCTTACTTCAGTAAAATATTCATTGTAATAAATATTGTTTGGAGATTATGATTGAAATTAATTTATTTTTGGTAAGTGAAATCGATTGTTTGATTTGTATATTCTAGAAATAACTAAGGCTGGTTTATTTTAGAAGCTTATGTTACAATCTTTCATTTAATTAAAATTAAATAATCATATGCGCTTAAGATCAACAATATAATCTTCAAATAGATTAAATCAAAGACGTTGGGTGAATATATTTTAGAAAAGTATGAATAAAAAACAAAGAGTAATATTTATTATAATATTATTACATTTTGAAAATAAATAGTAAAATTTAGTGCATTACTTATTTAAATTTTCTATAATTATAACATTTTCATGATGATTCTTATTATTATTCTTATTATTTCTTTTTTTCTTCATTTTAGATTTATTCCTTATGTTAATCAATATTTTTTCTTAATCTTTCTTTCTTTTTTTCATAATCTAATTTTTCTTATAATTATCTTTACTATTCTTCCTTCTTTTTTCTTTCTTCTATTTCCTTTATAATTTCTTTAATTAATAATAAATACATACATTATTCACGTTCATTATGTAAATTTTTGATTTAAGCCAATTATCTTTTTGTACTAGCCATATTACTATTTTCAAATTATTTCATATCTCTAACAATGGTTGTTATTTTTGACATATCTAATTCTTTATTTTCAGCTTTTCTAGCTTCTTTCATCATTTTTATATCTTATTTTATTTATTCTTCTTTTCTTTATCTTTTTTAAATATTTTCTGTTCTCTCAATTTCTCTTATAAGATCTTCTTAAAATCCTATTCTTCTTTCATATTCAGCTTTCATTTATCCAAAATTATTGGCTGAAACATGTTTTGGAAAAGTAACAGCTGAAGATGATTTGATTTTCAAACTATCTGTTTATAATTATTTAAATTTTTCTAATTTTTTATCAAGTTATTATTATTTAATTTCAAGAGATTATTTATACATTGCTTATTAAACTTCTTTACGAGTCTAAGAATAAATAAATATATACTTTATTCTTAATAACTTAGATGATTCTCTTATGATCATCTGTTTGATGTTATTATTTCATATAATTATGATATTCATCTAACATTTCTTATCTAATTTAAACTTTTTCTTATTTAAGTAATCCTTTTAGTTCTCTTTATAATTCTTAAAATGTTTTCATGTTTTTTTCATTGTCCACTTTTGAAGATAATTCTTACAATTTCTCTAGTCTCTCTATCATATTTAATTCTCTTTTAGCTTATAAATCTTCTAACTCTTTGATTCTCAAATCATTCATGCTTTTAACTTTCTCAATCTTTTCTCTTGGATTTAAATACTATCTTTGTTATTATGTATCCTTTAACTCACTTTTTAAATTTTCAACAATTTATTTAGCTTAATTATAATTGGAAGACTCAGCATCAGATCTATTGTGTAACCATTTCTAAATTTCTTATTCTTATTGAGTTTACATATGCTTTTATTTAATCTTTTATTATCTATGTTTTTCTAATCTCTCTTCAAGCTCTTATTATTTATGTTAATATTCTATTTATCTTGACAATATTTCTTCTTCCTTCTTAGCTTTATGCAGTTCTGCTCTCTCTTTCTTTTTGATTTTATCATACATCTTAAACTCTAATTCCAAAGGTGACAAAGATTTTGTTAATATTGATTTACTCATTGATACTATCGATTTATCAAGTATTATAGACTTCTCTGCTATAGAAGATTACATAATAGATTAATCTGCTACTGACTACTATTATTTCTATTCAGGAATAGGAATGTACTATATTTCTTTTTTTATTTCATCTATCTTCTATTTTCTTGAATGTTCTAAATGATTAGATAATGCATCTATCAATTCTTAATTTATTTTATTTCCCAAAGGATCTACATTTACTAAATTATATATACCTTTTGTTTTTATGATTTAAATTACATCTTTTCTATATTTTTTTTGTAAATCTTAATATGTATACCCAAGTACTTACATTGCTCTCACAAATCTTGGTGTTAGATCAGCTTCATCAATATCATATGGACCTATTTTTAAATAAAATAAAAATATAACCTTTTTCTTTTTTCTATTCCATCATCTCTTATTCATTTTATTATGATTACTCTCCTTATTATTAAACTTATTATTCCTCTTTTTATTCATTTTTATTCTCTTAGCTTTGTTGATTTTATTAAGTTTATTCTCCATTGTTATTTTATTATTAATTTTCTTGTTTCTACTCTCCTTGATTATTCTCTTATTGATTTTATGTTTCTGACATTTTGTAATAAAAATTAAATAATAGATTTAACTATTTAGTGTTTTATATAATTAATCTTTATAGTTCATAATAATTGTGATAACAAATATAAGCTAATTATATTTTTTTAATTTATATTAAATAATCCGAATATTGAATTATAATTCTTTTTTGATCTTCATTCTCTCTATAATTATATAAAATGATATATTTATATATATATAATGAATACATGAATCTTTTTTTAGAATTATTATTTGAATAAAAACAAATCAATTTATTCTGTTCTTTAAGTATCCTGAGGCACCTTCTAATTTAGTAGCCAAAATTTCTTCAACTTATCTAATGATTCCTACTTCCTTGGTTCTTTATTCACTATCTCTAGCATATTAAGTTCTAAGGGCTTCACAATCATTTTCTTTTTAAGTTTTTCCAGCAGTGGCAGTTGCTAATTCTCTACCAGCATCTTCTTTTCTCTTCTTTTATGCTCCCAAAGCATTTTAAGTTTAAGTTAATTTAGCTTCATTATCTTTCAAAGCATTTTAGCTATAAGAATAATAAAATTAATAATTTACAAGTTCTTTCTTTAATCAGCAAATTGAGCCAATAAGTTTTAATAATCAATTTAAGCTTAGATTTCAGCTTCTTANTACTGACTACTATTATTTCTATTCAGGAATAGGAATGTACTATATTTCTTTTTTTATTTCATCTATCTTCTATTTTCTTGAATGTTCTAAATGATTAGATAATGCATCTATCAATTCTTAATTTATTTTATTTCCCAAAGGATCTACATTTACTAAATTATATATACCTTTTGTTTTTATGATTTAAATTACATCTTTTCTATATTTTTTTTGTAAATCTTAATATGTATACCCAAGTACTTACATTGCTCTCACAAATCTTGGTGTTAGATCAGCTTCATCAATATCATATGGACCTATTTTTAAATAAAATAAAAATATAACCTTTTTCTTTTTTCTATTCCATCATCTCTTATTCATTTTATTATGATTACTCTCCTTATTATTAAACTTATTATTCCTCTTTTTATTCATTTTTATTCTCTTAGCTTTGTTGATTTTATTAAGTTTATTCTCCATTGTTATTTTATTATTAATTTTCTTGTTTCTACTCTCCTTGATTATTCTCTTATTGATTTTATGTTTCTGACATTTTGTAATAAAAATTAAATAATAGATTTAACTATTTAGTGTTTTATATAATTAATCTTTATAGTTCATAATAATTGTGATAACAAATATAAGCTAATTATATTTTTTTAATTTATATTAAATAATCCGAATATTGAATTATAATTCTTTTTTGATCTTCATTCTCTCTATAATTATATAAAATGATATATTTATATATATATAATGAATACATGAATCTTTTTTTAGAATTATTATTTGAATAAAAACAAATCAATTTATTCTGTTCTTTAAGTATCCTGAGGCACCTTCTAATTTAGTAGCCAAAATTTCTTCAACTTATCTAATGATTCCTACTTCCTTGGTTCTTTATTCACTATCTCTAGCATATTAAGTTCTAAGGGCTTCACAATCATTTTCTTTTTAAGTTTTTCCAGCAGTGGCAGTTGCTAATTCTCTACCAGCATCTTCTTTTCTCTTCTTTTATGCTCCCAAAGCATTTTAAGTTTAAGTTAATTTAGCTTCATTATCTTTCAAAGCATTTTAGCTATAAGAATAATAAAATTAATAATTTACAAGTTCTTTCTTTAATCAGCAAATTGAGCCAATAAGTTTTAATAATCAATTTAAGCTTAGATTTCAGCTTCTTAGTCATCAACTGCGGATTATTCAATTGATTATCTAAGTTCAGCAATCTTATCTTATGTTTATTATAATCTTTCCTTTGAGAAAGCTGAGGCAATTGAAACCAAAGCAGCAATTGGATTACTCTTACCCATATTGTGTAATTCTAAAAAGACAGCCTTTGGATCTTATTCTGGTTGAATTGCTGATAATTTAGCTGCTACAACATTCAATGCTTCAACAACATCAGCTGTAGACTTAATTCTTTAAGCAAAAGCTTCAGCATCCTTGGCTCTTTATGTTCTCAATGTCTCTTCTTATTCATTAAGAATTCCTAATTAAACTTAAATATTTTCAATTTCAGATTCTAATTATTAAACTTAAGCAGTCAAGGCAGTGATTTCTGTTGTTGATTCACTGATTTCATTTGAAGCATAATCAATTCTTCTATTATAACCAGCTATTTCAGCAGCACAATCAGCTTCATCAGCAGCATGTTTTAATTCAGCTTATTATTATTGTAACAATAAGTTTTCTCTTAATTCTTAAAGCATTCTTGCAATATCAGCCAATGGGGCTTAGTTTTTCATTTAAAGAGCTATTGTATCAAGTAATTTTCTTCCCAATGCATGTTCTTCAATCTATTTTATTCAATAATTATAATACCTCTTCCAATTCAGCAAACACTCCTGCATTTGGATCAGATGGCTTTTTAACGAAGACTGCATTTAGTGTTACTAATCCCAATAAGAAGCAAATTGTGAATTTCATTAATATTAATATTTATAAAAACGGATTTTAAATTACCTTAAAAATTATTATTAAACTATTTATATCATATTCATATACTCAAACATCTCATTTTCTTTTTATTTTTAATTTAAATACTACTATTCAATTATTTAATTTTATCAGTATTCATTTTAAAACTAATTTCATAAAACTATTAAAGCATCATATTATTATACATAATAATATTTATTAAAATGTCTATCATTCATTTACAGTATTAATTTTACTAAACTTAATCTAAAATTTTATATTTTATAATTACGATCATATAAGGAATATTTTTAAAACCAATAAATAAATTACTGATAAATATTTTAAAAAAAAAATCTTATTTAAAGGATTCTTTTTTTAAAGAGCATTTTTCATAATATTAATGCTGGCAATTAAAGAATTTATAAAACATTAAAATATAATTAAACAATTTAAATTTTTTTCTTTTATATAGACAGATATAGTTTTTCTAAAGAATATTTTATGAGAATTAATATATTACAATTTTTTTATTCATTAATTACATCAACATATGAAAGAATAACAAATAACAACATAATATTCATTTAGAAAAGTATTCTAAATATTGATCTTTGTTCATTTTAGTAAATCCACCTCCTAATCTTTATTATAAACCAATTTTTTGATCTGGTATATTTTAATAACTAATATCTTATTCCAAAGACCATCTACTGTAATTAAGATCTGAAAGGATTGATTCTACAGATTCTTTTTTTTCAACTGATAATACAGGTAAAATATTTTTTCCACTTTTCCTGTGACTTATTACTTAAACTTTTTATACTGCCTATCTATATTTTGAAGAATATTAAGATTCATTTAATTATTTATGAAATGCTTTTATTTGCACTCTTTTATATATTTTACTATATTCTTTTATCATTTCTATTCTATTTTGCTTAGCAATTTTACCTTCTATATGATGAAATTTTTCTGTAAAATCAAATTTATTAGGGGAATAACTTTCTTATCTATCAGTATAAGCTTTATTTGCTTTAATTTTTTAATCCAAAGTTAATATTCCATAGTTTGCATTCATTTCTTCAGGCGTAGTATTTTACTGTATTTTTTTACATCTTATAACAGATCCACCTTTAGTTGGAAATTATAAAGGTTTAAAAATCATTTATTATTCTTTATTTCTTCTTTTTTCTCTATGCTTATACATTTCTTCATATGATTAGAATATCATGAAATCTTTGTTTTAATTAGCTATTTTCATTAGCTCTTCTTTAGCCTCTTTTAAATAATTTTACATTTTTAGTCTGTCTTCTAAACTTTGTTTATGTTCATCCTAAAAATTATTTTATTCATCTTATTCTGTAAAAATTCCTTTTTTTTTATAACCTTGTATTCTTTTTATAATTTTCTTTCCTGGAGATTATTAAATAACTGTTTCTGACAACATTTAATAATTATTCTTGCTAAATTTAATTTGTATGTGAGTTGCGAAAGTATCGCATTAAGAACTTAATATAGTGTACAGCAAAAATCATAGATTTGGAATTAATGGTCAAAAAAAATATTATGAATCATTAAGTTTAATAATAAATTCAAGACTTCACAGATTACGAACTATTTTTAAATCCTATTTAATCTTAACTTGCTGAATTCGAAATAATTTTTTTAGGAACTTCCTCCAATTATACTGGAGTTAGAGGAGTAGATGTAGTCATGTACTTCATTATTTAAATTGAATCATTATTTTTTGGGGATGAAATTGTAGTTGACTATTCAAAAGAATTAGATTGTATAACTGATAGATTCAATTGAGCAATTATTTTCTAAAAATAAATCAATATATATTTCTACTTAATATATTCTTTAGCATAAATCGATTGATTATTATGAAAATTCATCATCACAAATTTCTGAGTTTTATAACGAATAAGTGTCTAAAAAATGTTGTGGCTCTTTAATTTCTTGAATATATTGCTCAATATAATCATTTAATTTCTATTATAAGTCTTCTAAAGAGCTTGATCTTTTTCGACCAGTTGGAGAATTCACTTATAATTATTCCTATTGCTACAATTTTTCTTATGATTTTTCCAGTAGCAATTTTACATTAAACTCTTGAATCTTAAACGATTATGTACAAGAACTTTACAAATCATTTATCTAAATGTATTTCGAAATAATTGACCTATTCATCCTTCTCAATTTATTTGCCTTTCAAAACTTATGATGAAGTTATTTCTAGTTTATTATAAACTTCGTTCTGAAAGTTCAAGCATTTCTTTGAATTTTTCATAAAAGATTAATAAATTATTATTAAGCTTTAGATCATTATGATCAAGAATATTATTAGAATTTAAGTAAATATCAAAGAAAAAGTAAAATTTCAAAGAGCTAACATGATTTTGAAAACAATTGAAAATTGTTGTCTTAGAATTAACTCAACTATGAATACAAATAAAAGTTCACAATATTTATAAATTATTTTTGGCCATTAGAAGATAAATTTTTACTTCATGTTTAATAAGTATTATGAGGCGAAATATTCAATAATTTTACGTTTAACTTTTAAGTTTTGTAAGATTTAAGTAATTATATATTTTAGCTTAGATACAGGTTGATACTAAAAATATTGAAATTAAAACAAATTAATTTCTATGAAGGGGAATGATCCAAATATTAATATTATATTATTTAAGAAGAGATTCATTCAAGTAATATTAAATATGAGATAAATATTATATAATTATTTTACAATTAAAAATTAAATGCAACAGGAAATCTAGGAAGAAGAAAAAAAATATGAAGTAAAAATATAATTTGAATAATATCATTCAGAATTGATTGAATAAGTATTATCAGTTGATAATGAAGATTGTATATTACAAATGAATAGCATTGGTAAATTAAAGAAATAAATTTAGGAAATTAATTGGTGTTAACTTTTAAGAGTAATGACGCAAAAAAAGTGAGATCTTCTGTTAAACATACAATCGATTAACTATTGCTTGTTCTTGAGACTATAAATTATGCAAAAAAATGAGTATGCTTAACTTAATAATCAAAATTTTATTATATATCAATAGTGAAAATCAAAATATGCTAATATAGGTAGGTGATCACTTGGAAAATCTCTATTAGGTAGAGCTACTTCTTATTAGAGTAAGCTTTCGTCAGGAATTCTTAAGATCTTTTCCAAATTAGCATTATGATAGAAAATGTAATCTATACAGCCTTTAAACTATACTAATACAAAAAATTTACATCTTTTGTATAATTAGTAAATTTAGGGAATGGATGATAAGCACTCTACCAATTCAATTTTGGAGGACCATAATGTTCAAATATCTCCTTTTAGAGCTTAATTTAATTTGAGGACTTCTCAATTCTTTCAACAATTGGTTTATTTTTTTTTATGTATTGAATTGAATTAGAATGAGGAAGGCTATTAAAATCACCACAAAATATAAGCATTTAATTATCTGTTTCTTTTTCAGCCTCCATCTTTTAAACAATTTGAACAATTTAAAAGAATTTTAAATCATCTTGGTTAGGATTCCAGAAAATATGTATGTTTCCTATTACTAGCTGTTTTTTTGTTAATCTTTATTATATCTCAAAAAATAATTACATATGTTCTAATTTAACAATTTAAAACACATTCTGCCTTTGGTATTAAAGAGGTAATCCATAATTTATTGCCATCTTATCAAGGGAATACTCTGAATAATTTAACAGCTTAAATTTTTCAATTTTGAAAGCAATTAAGCATCCATCTGGTCTTGAAGGTCTTTACACGTAACAATAATCATAATTTAGTTTCTTAAAATGTTCTTAATAAAAGTCATAGTTATCCACCTCTTAAAGGCAAAATATGTCAGGATTTAAATTTTTCAATTAATCTATAATTTTAGTACTTCTATTAGCAAACTACAAATATTGATTGTGTGCGTAGCCAAAATGTGACTGTTCGCAATAAATAGCTGCTAATATATTATAAGATAATATTGAAATTGTGTGTCTAAAATTAATGAATTCTGGCTAATATGAATTTTACATAGTTAAATTATTACTATGTTTCGTTTTAATACTATTTATTACTTATCCCATTCTAAATTATTATTAATTAATTAATTGTAGAAATAATTAACAATGTTTTACATTTCAAAATCATAATTTGTTGATATCTCATTCAATTTTTAAGATGAAAAATATTTATAACTTGGAGAATTCTATGCATTTTTAATACTTTTAGGTAAGATTGATAAATAACAATGTGAATATTTTGTATTAACAAGTATTTAATTGAATCTAAAAATAATAAGGAATTCTTTAGATTTCAAATAATATGGTGTTCTATTGTTTGTGATAATAAATTGTATTATAAATTAAATCTTTTTTTAAAATAAAAAATGGTTAAAAACTCAGCATAAGACCCACAAGATAATTCCTTATAAATGAAAGTACATAAGAAGAAAATAATCTATAGATTAGACAATACTTAGTCTCAGGTAGAAGACTTCCATCAAAAGAAGATCCAAATCCCAAAGTTATAAGTATGAGAATTTTTGCAAGAAATACAGTTGCTGCAAAAAGTAGATTCTGGTATTTAGATTATGCAATATTCTAGGTGGAATTTAAGAAGATTAAATAAACTTAGACCCTCTCATGGTTAGATTTTAGCAGTTCAAGAATTATTTGAGAGAAGAGACACAAATGTCAAAACTTACGGAATAGTTCTTAAATATCAATCCAGAACAACAATCCACAATATGTATAAAGAATTTAGAGATACAACATTGAATGGTGCAGTCTCATAATTATGTATTAAAATAGTCTGAATTTTTAGATTAGGAAATGGCTGGAAATCACAGAGCTTAACCATAAACTATTCATATTCTCAGAACTTCTGTATTAACAAAGAGTGCTGATATCAAAAGAGGAAAGACTAATTAATACAGAGTAAATAAAATCAAAATATTTTTAGGGAGATTCAATTAAATTCCCAATTGTTAAGACAGTTCCTAGAGCTAGTCATAAAAAATTCAGAACAATATTCAAAGCTAAAAGACCAAATCTATATAGATCATGATCAAATAATTATTTAGTACAATAATAATAAATTAAATAAATTATGGTTAATAAAAATATTGATTTATTGCTCTGTATTTTCATGTATTCAGCTATGATCTACTTTTTAAAAAGAAAAATGTAATAAAATTATTTAACTTTTGAAGAATTTTAAAATATTTACTATTTATTCAAACTAAATAAAAGTTATAATTCAAATGAATCTTTTAAAAATGAGCCCCATTCTTAATCCATTAATCATAGCCAAAGTACGGGCTGGTTTACACTCTTCATTTTTTAATTCATTTAATATTCGTAAACTTCTTTAATGCCATAAATCATAATTACTAAAACAAGTAATGGAGGCTATGATTTTATAATATAATATACTCTATTTATTAATCTTAAGTAAGGTTTTAAAACCATCAAAGATGTCAGAAAATTCAAAGATGTAATTCAAGCTACACATTTCGGAGACATGAAATCAATGCCATATTCTGCTCTTCTTTTTTTCATGATAAACAGCAAAAGACGAACAAATGAGCGAGTTAATTAAATAAAAAGCTAAAAACTAAGTGTTCTTTAGAATTGTACTCATTTAATAGAGAGAGTATAGTATTGCTGGACTTTTAACTAATAAAATTCCCTAATAATTTTATTATCATAATACATTAGTTTAAAAAATTAATAGGGCTAGAATTAAGGGATGAAAATAAGATTTCTCTATTACATATTCTGAAATAGTTTAGTGAGGAAATACTTATACATTAGGCAACTTTCACCAAAAAATATATGAAATTAGTGATTTACCTATTAATGTTAAGGGCACATAGTTTGCTTTAAAGATTGCCCTACTTTTTGTGAGTCTTGCAATTTATTCGAATTTTTAATTCATATATTATTTTATAATAATTTTTCATTAAAATATTAAATATTCAATATTCATAGTTAATTAAACAAAATTGTGAGTCTAATCATGCTTACAGATCTTAAGACATTATTTACATAAATCAAAATCTGGGCATTCACAACAGTAATATCTTAGGTTATAAATTGGTTTAGCATAACAATAATCACAAATAATTTAATCATGTATATTCTTTTTATGTATTTTAAATTTTTTCATAAGCTTATTTTTTTAATCCATTAATTTAATTTATGTATGTTATTTAAGTTTATTCCAATCAATAAAATTATTACATAAAATAAAAATATGAGCAGCGCAATGCTCTTTCTCTCTTCTTAACCCATTACACTTCTCGCAGATTTAAAAGAAAAAACAAACTATACATCTAAAATAATTATTTTTTTCCAATTTCTAATAGCAAAATTAACATTTGTGATATTCAGTCTCATCTTAATGATAAATTTAAGATATTGAAACATGTTAAAATTATTCATTCAATTATTCAATTTCTTAATTATCCTCACTTAATTATGAATACCTCTTAGACAATTTTTCTTACCATACTTCAGCATCTTAAATCATATCCTTAGAAACAAATTCATCCTATTTTAGATTAATGATATAGAGCAAAGGATAATTTCTAAAAATTATTGAAAATTGGATACCCTTCTTTTAGATTTTAGATCTTATTCAAAAATAATTAAAAATCTAGTGGACAAGCAAGATAAATGACTCTATCTCTGAAGTCGAGACAATAACACAAAGTAAATTTAAAAGGTAAAAGAAATTTATCATTTAAAGAGTTCAAGAATGATTTAAAATCATTAGTTAATTTGATTTAGGCTTGCTCTTTATCTATATTGTTGTGTACTGTAATTGTAGCTGATTAAGGTAATCTATAAAAATTCATTTAAATATATATACATATTCATTATAACATAAATTCATTCTAATTCAATATCATCTAAACAAATTTTGAAGAGATCAGACATTTATAATGTGGCAATAGGTTCTTAATTTTCATTCAAGCACACTAAACTACCTCTAGAAGAGAGTAATAGATTTTCAACAACCTAAATAAAATTAATGAATACTTCTTTTAAGGTTTATTTCATATGAAATAATTCTTTATTACAGATAGAAAATCCAGCAAATTGTTTTTTCTCGATTTTGATAAAGTTTAATAGATCTATAGCTGGTCTATTCAACTATTAATAATACTTAGTTATACCATGTCAAACACTTAATATTTAAGAATAAATAAGAAGTCTCTTCTATCAATAAGTCCTAAATATCTATTATTTTAATCAACGATTGGAATAGCATTACGTTTGATAACATAGATCAATTTATAAAAAACACTAAATATTTGGATATAATTACTCATATACATTGGTGTCAAAAGGAAGTTTATCATTTAATAGTAAAATGTTATCACTAAAATAATTGATTTCTAATTCATGTTGTTCAGATTATTAATTGTTTTGATGATGAACTTCAACTTTATGAGATTTCAATGATAATTATAAATGGAAATATTAACTAAATCCTTTAACAAGAAATGCTAAAATATCTTTTTATTAGAGAATGCCTACGATAATTCTAGATTCAGTATCAATAACTACAATTCTTGTTACACCCTACTTTAATATCTTTTTCATAGCATCATTTAGATTATCAGCCATGTCTGCTTAAACTAAACTACTTTGATGAAGACTTTCACCATAAGAATTGAACCAATCTCTAACTGAGATTGTCTTCAAATCAATTAACAATTTGTTTATTTGCTCTTATCCTATTAACTATTTTAAATGCACAGGAGTAGTACGATCTTCATCTTCTTCTTCCATAATTGGTTGAACCTATATTTTACTATTTCCCCACACTGACTAAAATATACATCATAGATTACCATTAGGAACACCATTCAAAATATTTTAATAGCATTTAAGTATTATTCGAATCAAATCTGTTTAGGTGAATACTCCATCATAATAAGCTACATCTGGATTCCAAAACAATACTTCATCAATATGTGTATCAATAAACACATTAAAAACATCAAATAGCGAAAATGATTAATCAATCACAGCCACTTAATTATTGATAGATAAGCAATCGTAAAGAGTACTATCCTATAAGAAACAAGTTAGAGTTTTCATATATTGATCCTTGATTATGTCTTCTTTACTTTACATCCTTTTCATTCTTTATAATATTTAAAATTGATATAATTTTTTATTCAAAAATCACTTCCTTCCATAATGATCATCATTTTGATAACCATACTAATCTTTCTATTAATATTATTTCTAAATCTTGTTATTCGAATTCAAAAGTACTTGTTACCTTTTATTCCATTCTTCTATTGCCTTGTTTCTAGTTATTGGGTTTTCTCTATCATAATCTGTATCAAATCCCTAACATCCTTCGTCATAGGGTTTGCTCTAATAATTTTATTTCATTTTATACTTATTCATTGTTAACAACTGGAAACAATCTTTCAGAAATATCTTCCATTGGTAAAGATGCATATACGATAGCAATTACCATTAATGTAACATCTAACAAACTTATCTCTTTGAAAAATGCATAAGTCATAATCATTTCTCCAAATGCACTCCATACTATTATGTATTCTAACATCTCGATCATTTCTATAACATAATTCAATTTTTTTATTACCTGTTGATAATTAAATGCTTATTGATTCTTTTACTGTTCTTCTTCTTAAAATATTGTAATAGTCAACATAATAATAAATCAAAATACCAAAGGCACTACATGCAGTTCCTAAAGGTATAGCTGTTCCATATAAAAATGTAAACCACATTGTTTTCATTATGTCTGAATATCTTTTTGCTGATAAATAATCAGGCTCCTCCATTAACTTATTTGCTTCCTATTATGTTAACAATGCTTTTTCTCCTTTCCTTATTAAATACCATCTCCATATGTTTTTACAAACACTCCAAGGATCTACACACCATATAAATGGAGGTAACACAGCATTCAGAATGAAAATTTAACTTTCATTTTATAAAAATCCTCCTGCTCCTTCGACATTTTTTAAAATAACAATATCCACAAGGAAACTAATTATTGCTGCATTTAAGAATAATGCTAAGGCGTACTTATAAACAAAAGAAATTTAAAATTTTGTTTTACTAGATATTTTTTCATCATCAACAATGTAATGAACAATTTTTGCAACTCCAAATTTGTTAAAAAGCACAATACTCAAAGAAATAGCATAAGATAAAATATTAATTTTTAACATGGCATCATGATCTAGCTTACCTTTGATTTCTTCTTCTCTTGCTTCATCACCATATTTAGCAACTTTATGAGCTATCAAATAGATTGAATAAAATGCTATAGCTTCAACTAAAATATAGATAGCCCAAGCTTTGATTCTTTTACTAATTTTTTATTCAGTTTTAACATGTATGAATTCCCAATCAACTTCATTGGGTTCAGGAGCTTGTTCTATAAATAATTTTTAATTATGCCAAGCTAAATCATTTGCTTACAAATTAGGTAATTTACCTTGATTCAAATAAGATTTCATTCTTTCAAATTATGTATGTGGATTTTCACTTAATACTTTGTTTTTCATTTCTTCATCATCAAAAGAAATAAATGCAATACCTGCAAATTTTTTATAATCTTATTAATATTTTTATTCTAAATGATGAACTTCATGTTCTTTTTCTTCTATTTTTTAATTAATTTCTAAAACACTTGAATGAGTATAGTTATAATTATGTTCAACAATCAATTCTTTCTTTTTTTCAATTAATTAATCTAATTCTTTTTCTATAACAATGACATCCTCAATATCATATACAAGAACAACTTTTTTGACAACGATTGATTCTCCTACAACTGCTTCTTTTTCAAACAAATTTTTGAGTTCCTATTAATAGTCAACTCCTAATTCAGTAGGAATATTTTTGACACAAACAGTGTAATCAGCAGGAGTTAATAATTCTTCATCAATATTTGTATCAATTTATCTTTAACTTTTTCTGAAATATAATAATACACCCATAACAATAAAGAGATTTAAGAAATTAAGGATTTGAACATGTTCCATGGCTTGTCGATTGCTAAATTTTGATTATAGATTACTCTAATTTATTAGCTAAAGATAACTTAAGAAACCAGGAGTCAGAACAAAAAGGTATTTCCGCAATATGGCCTTCAATTTTTTCTCTCTTGGTGTGACTACAATAAGAGCCTTGATAGTTAGTGTATAAATTGTAAAGTTGTTTTGTCAATAAAGTGATAAAGAGTATTAGAATGCAATAACGTAAATAATTATAGAACAAAGTGAATCCTGAGCCAAGAAAAGACAAGGCCATAGGATCAGAACAATAAGGAATTTATTCTCTATCAACTTCAAAACCACAACATGGACAAGTCTCAACTTAAAAGAAAATAAATAAAAATTACCACTAAGAGTCTTAGTAGGATCTTTCTACTTCTCTCTTGTAGTTTTTCTTGATAGAGCATGTTTTCTAGCTATATCCCAATTACAAGGCATCTACAATGGATGGTAATGTTATCCTTCATGTTTATTATGATTTTAATGAGTTTAATCAACATGACTTTACAAATGTTCTTGATTATTTGGTTATTAGTTTTAAGACATTCTTGAATGATTGTCTTGATTGTGCAATTAGACATTCTGGGACTAAATTAATTATTATGAAATTAAACCTAACCGATTGCATTAGAAGGGATTTCATTAGATGGTCCCATTTAATGTTATTAATTAGATGATGGTTAATTTTGATTATGATTCTGCATATATATTTATAGTTAATAATTTTTATTAAGTGAGATTTATGATAAATATTTTATTATGTAGTCATAAAATTCTTTTACTTTATTTGGTAATGCTCAAGTAAATGAAACAGAGTCAAACAGTGAAGTAAAGAAAAAAAGAGATGATTTTGCTACAGAAATCAGATCAAGAGATAGAAACAATCTAATTAATCTAAAAAGATTAGCTTAAAATGTAGTTCATGTATTTATTCAATTTTAGAATTAAAATACCCAAATTTAAGATTAATTTCCTTTGATTCCATTAACACTTCCTTTAGATATCTAATAAACTTTAAAATAATAATAAGAAGTCTTATAAAAGACATCATTTACATTTGAAGATTTCCCAGATTTAATAAAAAAAATCTATTCTTAGGATGTCGTTTAACTTCATTATGGAATTACAGGTTTAAGAAAAATGCTTTCAGTTGAAGTAAATATTAGATTTAAATAAAGAGTGGTGCTCCTATCTAATAAGTAATAGATGCAAATTTAGTACCAAAGTTAATAGAAATAATATAAAAAGAATAAATTCCTCAATTAATCCTTGAAGCTGCTTGGGCATTAACCAATGTGGCAAGTGGAACTACTTAATAAACCTAATCAATTATAGACAAAGGAGGAATCAATTTGTTCATAAAGTTGCTGAGTTCACAATATAGAGACATAGCAGAATAAGCAGTTTGGGCCATAGGTAATATTGCCGGAGATTGTACATAATATAGGGATCTAATTTTAAAATTTGGAGGAGTTGATCCACTTATAACTATCATAGAAAACGCTCAAAATAAAAATACAATCAAACATTGTACATGGTCTTTAAGTAATTTATGTAGAGGTAAACCAATTCCTGAATTCAGAGTAATTATTCAAAATTAATATTAAATAGTATGTCAAAAATGCATTACCTATATTCTGTAAAATAATCATAAATGAAATTGATCCAGAAGTATTAACTGATGCATGTTGGGCTCTATCATATCTTAGTGACGGAGATAATAGTAGATTATAAACTGTTATTGATTCTTAAGTTGTCCCAACATTAATCAAATTATTAGATCATTCTTCACTTTAATTAGTTATTCCAACATTAAGAATCCTAGGTAATGTTGTTACTGGGGATGAAAATTAAACTACCTATGTACTAAGCCAAGGATTGCTCAGTAAAATTCCTAAGTTGCTTTCTCATGATAAAAAAGCTCTTCGAAGAGAAGTATTATATTTTAATTATAATAGGCTTGTTGGACCATTTCTAATATTACTGCTGGAAGTAATAATCAAGTTTCTCAAGTTGTTAGAGATGCACCTATTCTTGAATAACTCTTCGCTCTTATGACTAATGATGTTGAAGAAATAGTTCGAGAAGCTACTTGGGCCATTGCTAATTCTACCAAAAATGGAAGTAATTCAGATATTTAACTTCTGGTTTAAAAAGGATTATTAAATGTTTTTAAACATTTACTTTAGGGTGAAGACATCTAAATATTGAATGTTGTTCTTGAAGCCCTTTTTAATGTTCTCAAAAGAGGTAATATTCTATTCTATATTACTTAGGTGATTAAGATTTCTAAGATGATAATTATTATTTAACTACAATTGAACAAAATGGAGTTATCAAGAGAATTGAAGATTTACAAAAACATTCCAATCAAAATGTTTATTAGAAATGTTTTAACATATTAGAATAATATTATGAAGCAGAATCTGAATTATGATGTATTGTTATTATTCAATTTCAATTGTCAACTGTGTGTTATTTCTTATTTCGTATTAATTAACAAAATAAAAGTTTTAATCAATTTATGATCTACTTGAATATAGAAATGAATTTTCAAAAATTAATATTATATTTATAATTCATTCAATTTTTTAAACCTTAATAATCACTGAAGAATCATTGAGTTTTATACCACTATCATCAACTGGTTTTTATTTAAATGAGTCAATCTCAGTATCAAGATTTTATTCTTAAATTCTAAACTATCTAAACTAATATATCACAACTCCAACTAAATAAATAAAATTAATATTAGATACTAGATGTTAAAATGATTACCCCTAATACAATTAGTAAGATTCTGATTAGTTTCCATTATTAAGAAAATAAATAGGTTGTTACAACTTGCACAGTAAAATTCTTAGTTCTTCTGATGATTTTATTAGGAGATATATTATTATTAACAGAATATGACTGATTATATTATAATGTATAATATTACTTAAGAGATCTATGAGCATCTAATTTAAGAATATAATTACTGTTATCAGAAAAACAAACAACTCTTGCTGGAACAAATCTGAATTTAGTAAGAAATGCATTTGTAGCAGTGACACCAAAGAAAAAATCATCATATTAATATTCATCTTGATTAGCAACTTTTAATTTATCTTCTTCATAAGTATATTAAAAAAACTAAAAATCCCTCATTCCTATTTAGGTGAACATAATCTTTTCTTTATGTGGAGCAAGAACATCATATCCATTATTAAACACAATTTAATGATGATTTACACCACTGATTATAGCAAATTCATCTGTAGCATCAACATCTACTATTCTATAATTACTTTCTTTTTTTGTAATTATTGAACAAGATTTTTCATTAAAATTGACTAAATATTCAATATAAAAATAGTTGCCATTAACTTCATAGGCAGCAAATAAATTCTTACCATTCTTTGTATCAACAGCAATTCCACCTTTTTGAGATTCTACCTGAATTATTATTTCAAATTAAAAACCTACTTAATTGACAAACATGTATGCTAAGATCAATCCTAATTTTGCATCAAGTAAATATAATTAATATTATCCATCTTTAACTTTTACAATTGAAAAATCTTTTAAATCTAATAATTCATTTTTTAGATTAAAATCTTTAAATGTTACTGTTTATTTATGAAAAACTTCAGTTTCTGTAATTTCATAAATATCCATTCCTTCTTTTCCAACTGCTGAAAATAGATATCCATCAATTTCTTTTGTTAACCCTCTTTGCTCTCTTTTAACCCAATTTTAAATCTAACTAACAATCATAGATTTAAAATTATTCTCCATCTCTTTTACACTAAAATATTATGCAGAATCAGAATATAAAACAAAAGCCCAATTATTTTTTTTAGAATATACTAATTAAGGTAATTCTTCTCTAGCCTTAATTGATGGAATTACTGGTTAAAGATTAGCTTTCCATGTTACACCTGCAAAATCTTTAGCATTTCCATACATTGTAAATCCTTATTTTTATAGAACATTGTCATAATTAAATTTTATTAAATATGCTATGTCATCAGAAGTTATTGCTAACATTCCATCATTTATATGTACCATTCCAACAAATTCTCTAAAATTTAATGGAGTATCCATCTCAAATTCATAACTAAAATTTTATTCTCATAATTTACTCTTTAAAATCATCCTATTAAATTATTGTAAATTGTTATGTTTCTGTTTATACAGTTTATTGTCTAATCTAACAAAAGCTATTCTATTAAAATGGCATTAATAAAGCATCATCTGCTTCAGGCATTTAATATATTATATTTGGCTCTCCTAAATGAGTAATAAATGTTTCAGAAGATTCTTTTATTTCTACAATCTCTAATTCCCCTTAGCATATGTTAATCAAGAATAGTAAACTTAAATAAAACATTTTTAGTTTATATTATATCATCAAAATTTTGTTTAATGCAAATTATAATTAATAATCCTTTATTTTTTTTTGACTTTTTGTTCTAGTTGATCCAAACTTAATATATCTCAATGTCCTTAATTAGTAATTTATTATTTATATATATTTTTATGATTCAAAATACTCAGAAATTTAGAAACTGTGGACATGGGATATCATTAAATTTTGGACCTAAAATATTATTACTCATTGCATAAGTTTCTTAATCACTATATTTTCTATTTTATCTTTTTCCATTTGACTTTATTTATTGTTTCAAAATTGTTACAACATTACCATTTAATACTACTTATAATTCACCTATAGGTTCTCTATCTTTCTTTAAATATTGCCAATTCATTTCATAATCTGTTTTCCCTTGTTTATTTTAATAGTCAACACAATTATCCAATTAAGAATTGCAATTTCCTTATTAATTATTTCCATTATTCTAATTCTAATCCATTCTCAAGCTATATCCTTCTGAATTTACATTTTTGCCTCTTTTTTTTTAATAGTCTATTTGCTACATTTATTCAAGCTTCCATTACTCATAATTTTAGCTCACTACATTTTGTATAAAAGAATTACTCTTTTTTATTTTTTTTTTGTTTTCCTTTTTTTTAATAAATTTATTTCTTTTTATACTTTTATCTTATCTTTTTCTGAAATTCAGTTTTATAAATTATATTTGAAAAACAACTGCTTTCTTATAAACTATTTAAACTCTTCTTGGCTATATCTAAATAATATTATCTATAATCTAATGATAGTTATTAATTAATTTTATTTAAACTTAAAATGGAAATATGCTCATCTAAGCTCAATTGGCTTATTCGTATTAAGAAATTATTCTAAAAAGACAATGTTCTCAGTATTTCTGAATTGATTAGTTAATTAAAAGATGAAACTATTATGGAATGTACAAATCTATAAGATGAATTGTTTTCTTTAGATGAAGTTATTGAAGAAGTATATAAATTCAAGAAAAAAAGATTAACGTATGATGACTTCTTTAAAATTATTGGTAATCTACATTAATAGGATCATTAATTATCTACTTGTGTCAATTCTTTAGCTGATTCTATTAATGATTTAACTTTAAGTGATACTAAAGGGAAATAAGAAATTAGAGTATCTTATAATGATCCTACAAAACTCATAAAAACATAGTAAAGCTATTAAGTTACAAGGCTATCAAAAAGTCCTAGATTAAAAATAGAAAATTTATAGGAAGCATAAAAAAAATTATTAGCTAAAATCACAGATATTGAAAATGAAATAGAATATGTATTTATAGTAATTATAATTCAAAGTAGAAATAATAGCATTAGTTAAAGAAACCTCATTAATTATTAATTAAAGAATTGACTAAACAATTAACATTAAATTCAGATGAAATTTTATTAAATGGTGTGTCGAATTTTACTTTATAGGATTTTTATCTTGTGTTTCATAATCTTAATAAAGCAATATTTAATATTTCGATATTGATATTTTAAGAGAGATGTTAAGAAATTAGAGAAGTCACAATGATTTTTAAAAATCTCTAGGCATTAAGCATAAATAATCTTAATATTTAAGAATTAAAATTAGAAGAACTCACAGAATTAAAAGTCTTATCTGTTGCTGGAAATCAGTTAAAAAATTTAGATGGTTTACCTCCCAATTTGATAGAACTTTATGTTTAAAATAATCAAATTTCTTCATTGTCAAAAACTAAATTTCTCAAGATCTTTAATATTAGTGCAAATAATCTGATTTAATTGAATTAATTAACTTATATTAATAAATCCTTAGAATTTATTAATTGTAATCATAATATGTGTTCAAACTCTAAAGATTATAAAAGATTATTATTCAAAATTTTTCCAAATTTAAAAGGCGTAGATAAAGAAGATTTATTATTACATTCCACAATCTAATAGCCTGACTTTCATTATAAAAAATAAATGATGGATTTTTCCTTTAGTTAATCCTGATTATAAATTAATTTATTTTATAACCAATTTAATTTTATATTTTTTCTTAAATTTAGAATTATAAATCAACATTTCTTAATTTATTTAAACTATTTATAAAGCATCATTATTTATAATTTATAATATTCAGTTAGTTAATTCCTTAAATTCAGCCTCCAGTTCAGAAACTTGATTTTGTTATTGTTATTATTAGGATCCCGATACTTATTACTAATTATTTATAATTTAAGATTAATTAATTGAGCTTTAAATCTATACATTTTAAAATGTAGATTATTAATAAGTATTTGGAAGATTAGGTTATTATACATAGTTCATAGTAAAACAATTTGTACAATTAATTAGATTTGATACTTAATAATAAAAACGCATATTTACTTCCTTATTGATACATAACAGTTATTCTGCATGTACCACAAATGAAATAGGCAAAAACTAATTTATTAATTTATTTGCAATTGTAACATATAAACGCATTTTTGTTTTTTGGAATCATTTATGGAATCAGACAAAAAATACATGTTGTCTACATTTAACTAAAATTTTAATTAATTATTCACTTGTTTGCATTAACATCTTGAATTTTAACTTGAGAATTTTAGTTAGAATTATCAGAAACAATCTATATTGCAGATAGAGTATGATGTTAAATTTGATTAAATTATTGATGAGAATTTTATATTTGATTCTATAAAATTAAAGAAATTTAGATTTACTTATGGAACTTATTACATAGATTAAGTGGATTGTTATAATTAGTTTTATTGATTAATTTATTAACTTTATCCTGATCTTAGATTTGAGCTCTAGCTACTTTTTAACATAGGAATTGGTTCTTAATTTAAATTAGTCAAAACAACATTTTTATTTTATACTCCTAAAATATATTATAAAAGAATTTACTTGCATCATCAATTGCAAATTAATCTAAATCATCTCCAAAATCTTATAATTCAAATATTCCTTCTTCTTATTGAGAATTTGTATATTTAGAGTTTTATTAATTAGACAGCAACCCAAGCTTAGGATCATTAGACTGCATAATGATAAAATAATTAGAATAATTATAATTTTTGATTTTTTAAAGAATTCTTAAATAATCCTAAAAAAGCCTTTATAACTATTGAAACTTTTATAAAAAAGAATTCTAATCTATATAAGAGTAGAAAACAGAATTAATTAAAAATTATATCATTTTTAGAGTTTATATCTAATGAAAGAGAGTCCAGTCTAATTATATTTTTAATAAATAAGTAAATCTTCGTGTCTCTAACTATTAATAATAATAGATACTTGTATATTAATTTTGTCTTGGATTGTGTCACTATATTTAAAATCTAACATAATAAATTTGGAAGCATATTAAATTATGTCAATTAAATCAACAAGATTAAATCCAAAACTAATTTAAGCAAATTCTGTAAATAATCTATTAAATGATTTCTGAGCTAGTGATTATAAAAGAAATTTACAATCAGCAAGGATAAATTTACTTGTCTTTGGAATTTCATAATAAATGTATTCTTTTGTGAATTATTCATATTCTAAAGCTAAAACAAGATACATAAAAGAGGCAACAATTTTTCTTGGTTTATAACTGAGAGTTTCAATATCAAGATAGCAACAATCAATAAATCCTTGTAATTTTAACATAACTTAAAAATAATATAAAATTAATACTTTTATATGAAGAATTATTATTTGATCTAAATTTTTTGTAAACATCTGTAATAAAATTATCCCATTGATTTGTGTAAAATTCAATCCATAAATTAATAGTTGGAATATTCAAATGCCATTATAAACTCTTACAAATTTCTTTCTCCATTTCATATATTTTATTTAAAGAATAACCATAGTTACTAGCCTTTTCAAAATCTTTTGGGTTTTTTGCTTCAACTTCCTTTAATATATATTGATTAATTATTATACCTCCATTTTAGATGCTATTAACATAGATGCAGTTCCTAATAATTATAATTCTGATTTTGTTATTGCTTTTTTAGATAAATAACTATCAACATAAGCAACTGCCAAATAATAGGTATCTCTCTTCATAAAATAAACAGAACAAACTTCAATCATCCAATCCATTAAAATTGCTCTCATTAAAGGAGTGATTTATGTTTATATTGATTATAGATAATCACTATTTGGAGCATATTCAATTTCTTAAAGCATTAAAACTTGCAAAGTTTCCTAAGAAAAACCACCTATTTGTGAATTTTAATAATTAGGATTTTCATTTTGTAAAATATTATTATTTTTTGAATTTGTAGAATTAGGTAATATGGTATTAGCATTATCACTAAGAATTGTAATACTTGATTCATCACATTCTAGAGTAAGTCCTATTTATTTTTACTCTCCCATTGAAATACATCTAGTATTCTTTTTATGTTTTAATAAATTATTAGGGCTTTATTTTTTTATTGTTCTTTCACTTAATTAATTTGAATTATCTTCTGGTATGAAAAATTTAGGAACATTTATTTTTTCAATTTGTTTTTCTTCTCTCTAAGAATTACAACTATTAATTTAAATTTATCTTTACTTTTCACAATTAGAATAATAAGAATTAGTTGTATTAGTATTAGTATTAGTATTTTAAGGTATATTAGAAATCATAAAATAAGCACCAGAATTGCCTTAAACAACATGACTATATTATCTATGATTCTTTTTAAAATGAGATTTATTGCTATTATGCTCAATTGAATTATTTCTAGAGACATTTTAATCTTTTAAGAATGACTCAAATGTTATTTATTAATTTTGAAAATCCTTTCTTTCCCAAATAGCTGATCCCTTCAGATTTTCATTTTGTATATTTTTTTCTATGCATTTCGGTTTGCTGAATATAGGTTTCAAACTTAATTATGCTACTTTTGTTAAAGTTTGATTAGACGTTTGTTAAGGTACATTCATTTAAAATGGTACACAACTTGATTGTTTTTTATTTATCTTGTATTTTATATTCTCAGGTTAGGATGTTGGCTTTACTATAAATTAAATTTACTTAAATCGATATTTTTTTATGAAATTGATTCTATTTATTGTATAATGGTTATTGTTAATTTTCATCAAATCTCATTAACGATATATTCTGAATTAATAACTATATATACATTAAGCTGTTAAACATTTTCTTTTGGATTGAAATAAGGATTCCACTAAAAGTTCATTATTTCAAATTTAAATATAATTATTGATAAAACATATAAATTAATACATCTCCAAGTTTTTAAATTTATCTTTCCTTATATACTAATTAACCGCCTAATCAATTTATTCTGAAAATTAAATACATAATACTCTTTCATTATAATAAACTTTGAGCTCTTAAGATGAAATTTAATTTTTACTCCTAGAATAATGCATTATTTTGGAATAATTGAGACTACTCTTCTTGTTCAATTCAATTTTGTTATGATTTCAATTTAATTTTCCAAACAATTGATTATAATAAATAATTTATCTTTGAAGCACTTTTTCTTTTTTATACAATTAAAATGTTAATCTTGTCGTCTTGTATAATTTTAAAAAAATAAATCTATTTTGTACATAAATCTTATATTACAAAACATAACTAATAAAAAATTGAAATGTTGAAGTTTTTTGTTGTCGAAATGAAATTTAAATTTTGATTAGATAAATAAAACACCAACAATTTATTAAATTAACAAAAACTATTTGAACAACTTAAAGTATTACAAATTTAACCAGATATTAGTTTTATATTATTTTCCTTAAAATTTTTGATCTTATTTTATTCATTTTATGTACTATATTAATTTTTTTAATTATATGAATAATATATCTGTGCTTTCATAAACAATACACAATTATTGTTTACAATCATATACTGCTGGAGATTTTGCGGTATTAATTCAATTTGACTCTTTTAGAAGAATCAATAAGTTTTAGAACACTTAAGAAAATTCATATTGGATTGGAATAATTTACAAATATTGAAAAACATAATAGAAGTTGATTGTAAATAGGAGACTACTTTTGTGATTTACTAATTACTCCAAAAAGCTATTGCTTCAGGTTGTAAATTTATTAATGTGCTTCCAACTCCATAAAGAAAATCTTAAAGTTATGAAGAATATGAAAGGTGTATAAATGTTCAATATTTTAGTAATGAAAGATAGCATTTTACTACAATTGTGACAACTCATTTGGAAATTGTGATTAATTATTTTTCAAAAGGTGTGTAGCATCAAACTTATGTTTAAAACACAGTTTTGTTTGCCTTAGCCTATATGATGAGAAAATATTGGTCTGAAATTATTGCTCCTGAATAATTGGTCGAGAAACTAATTAACACATTTTTTTATAATTAAAATCTCTAAATTTTAACTTTAGGATGCAAATTATTTGAAAATCTATTAAGTTGTATTCGATAATATTATTATGCAACTGGTTATCTTGAATTTAGAAAAGTCATGATGGGATTTCAAAGGTTATTATTTATATAAATAATATTTATAGATAATCTTTATCTACTTTATTAGAATAGACTCATTAACTAGTCTAAAATTAGTTAAAAATTGGGACCTTTTTATAAATTTATTAATTAGATAAATCTTATACTGATTAATTAATATAATTACTTAATTCATTCTTTACATTTAATTTCAATTTAAGTTTTTATGAAATTGATGTTGATTATGATTCAAAAGAAAACTTTATAGTTAATGTATAAAAATAATATAGTGATTTAGTTTCCTGATTGTTATTTTAAAATAATAAATGACGAAAAATTGAATCAAGAATATTTTAGAGCAATTATTGACTTTTATACTGTAGATTAATCCATTTCATTAAGAATACTTAATATAATCTAAAGAATTTCATCTGCAAGATTATCTTTATTTTTTGCAAAACATAATTTTAAGAAAATTGTTAGACGAACTCTATGGGATGGTTTATTATACCTCTTAAGTAATTATGAACTTTACTTAAATAACAGTGATTTTTCTAATGAAGTTTGTTCTTTTGCTATTAGATTAGTTGTATGTTTATAAAAGTTATTTATTAGTCTAATTTTACTTTCAAAAAACTACGAAAATTTTAGGATTTGTTTGATTAATGTGTAAACTAATTAAATAAAATAAATCATATAATTCTCAATAATTAAGGAATAAAGCTATCCTCTAATAGTACTTTCATTAAACTATAGGAAGTTTGGCATTAGTTTTTATTCTAAATTAATATATACAGTTCTCTTTATTAGCAATAATTTTAACTTTTGTAAAATTCTGTTAATATGAGTTTTAAATTATTAATTCATGCATTTTATAATGGAAATCCATTTTCTGAAATACCATCCAATTATCCTATTAAAAAAATTAAAAAATTCTTGGAAAAAAGTTTTCATTTATGTGTTTAAGTTTATTAATAAAATACAATTGAATGCATAAATTTGATTTCTGAATTATTAAAAAATTTACCCATATATGTATTAAATATTAAATATTTTAGCAAGTTTAAACATTGTAACCATAAGAATAAATAATTACATTAAGTATATAATTAATAAAATTATAGAAAAATTTAGTGCTTTATTATGTCTAATTTCAGCACTTGTGTTAAGTCCAGCCTAATTAGAATTATTAAATGGAGAATCTCAATTTCAATAAAGTAAATAAGAGGGTCAACCATAAGCACGTATATTATTATAAGGAATCCTTGATTTGATTGCATTTACAAATAAAATTAATATTCCAGCAGATGTAAAATTTAAAATAAAAATAGAATTATATTTGTAAATTGTACCATACTAGTATACTAATATTTATTCAAACATATATTTCTTAAACAATAGAAAATCTATATTATGAAGAAACTTAAAATATAGTCATATCTTAATCGTATTTGTAATAAATAAAATTTATAATAGATCAATGAGTCTGGGGAAAGACAATATATAATCAAATTATTTAATTATCATAGAAAGTTGTTTAGAGAAATGGTAATTTATAATTAAATTTAAGCTTTTAAATATTTACTTTTCATGATCCAGACCTAGTAGAATATAGTTTTATAATTTTGTAATATACATATGAAAAGTACTTTAGATAATAAATAGTTTAGACTGAAGAGATAATTAGATCGAAGATTTTTTAGACAGTGTTCTATTAGTAGTATGTTGAAACAATTCTTCTTATAAATGGATTTGACATGTTTTAATGAAGTTTAGTATATAAAAAAAAGAAAACAAGTTTACAAATTAGTTTCTTTAGTTTGGGTTGATGATTAATTAGATGATTATGTACCTGCACTAGTTGAAATATATAAATAAATAAAAAAATCCCTTACAAATGAAACAAATAAAATAAATATGTTGAAATATTTATGGGATATGATTGGAGTAGTAGATGAATTAGAAGTAGATAATATATACAGAGTATTCTTAAGAATTGTGTAATACAAATAATTAAAATAGTTTTTCTGATTTATCTTCTTTATTATCTTCTGACAATACTTAGATTTTTGTGACAGATTATGATTCCTCATTAGGATTAACAGCATTATTATGTTCAATATTTAAAAATAAGTAATATATTGTATTTATAATTTAGAAATACAAGATTATCAAATGAAAATATTTAAATTTTACTTTATTAAATTTATGGTAAAGCAGCAACCTTCTTTATTACTTCTATTGATTATTTATTATAATAAGTCTAAACTAGTTTATAGCAAGGTGAATAAGTAAAGGAAGGTATTTTAAAGAGAGCTGCTAAATTATTAAAAGTTATGGGATAGATTTCAAATTCTAAATAAATTAATTAAGGGTTTTTTGTAATATACTAAGATTCTTCATATTTAAGTTTATTTAAGAAATAATTATAACTTATAACTGTTTTTAAACCTTTATTTCTTAATTTAATAAACTATAAAAAGTATTTGTTTGAATGTTTGGAAGGAGTTTGTTCAGAACATAGTGAAACATTAGCATATAGATGTGGTTCAGATGTTTATTTAGAATTATTGATTATAGCAGAAAGTACTTTATAAGAAATACTAAACTTCAAATAACTTAAAGGCGATGAATAAATTAATGAAGAAGCACTTTAATTATCATAAATTGCTAGCATATTATGCAATGTGATGCAATTTTTAATTTAAGAAGGAGTAATTGGTGAATAAGTTGATACAGAAATGATTAAGAAAAAAACATTAGAAGTTTATACTATTGGTAAAAAAGTGTTAAATTCCATTTTTTCATTATCTTTTACAATCATTGTTGCATTTCCTAAAATCTTAAAATTTTCAACTCCTAATAGTGAGATTTTATTTGCCATTTCATTATTTAATCCAACTGAGGTATGTATTTGATTTAATTTAGTATTAATAATTGTTGGTTCAATTGGTTTTAGAATATAAAAATACTCTTGTATTGCCATCATAAACTTTGGAAACTATTTCATTAGGATATCAAGGTATAATAAATAATTTTAATTAGTTTTGAACAATTATTTGAATAGTACTACAAAAGAATTATTTACTAAATAAATTAAATAAGCATTAGAATAAGTTTGTTCATAAGAAGAATTCTGAATTATTGTATTTATCAAATATAATATTATTATTTGTTCTCTTCCTACGTATATATATAATATAAATATTTTTATAATCAATTATTTACATTCAGATATTTATTATAATGTTGAATAGTTCTTATTTTTAATAATATGATTATTTAAGATCTTAGAATTATTAGAAAGAATAGATAAAATTCTAATTTTTATTAAGGACTTCAAATTGAATATTATGAAACATATTATTTAAATACATTTATATTGTTAACAATCATAAAATTATATTAATCAATGAGGTAATAGCCCTACTTCATTAAACCTGTAAATCATTTGTCATGTAGAAATCAATCATCAAAACAAAGCTTTAGTTAATAATAAAGTGATGAATCAAAATCAAAAAGTCAAAATAAATTATCAAATATTAAAAAACCTGCTCCAATAATAACCTAAGCTATAACATCTCCTCATCTAAAAAGGGCAAATAATTAGTATAAATTATAGTTATAATATAGATTGAGAATTTTAAAAAGTAATAAAGTTGACTTACCTTCCTTACCTTCTCCTTAATTGTAATAATAATGTGATTAATCATTGTCTAAATTTAAAAGCTTCGAAAATCTTAATATTCAATTGAGATAGCCAACCCCAAGAAGATTTAAATCTGATGAACCTAATATAAGTGAACTCGGTACTTAACCAAAAAAAACTATACGCTTCAGTTAGCATAGCAATATAAGATTAAGGAATGATTCAGCAAAAGCAAGAAATAGATCTAATCATATTCCATTTTAAAAAACTAATACTGAACCAAGCGAAATTGTACATTCTCCAGAAGTACATTTACCAAGAAGAAATTTTGATGATTCAAGAGAAATTTTGTATTAATTGCATAGAGGTTACTCAAAAGAAAAGTAATCAATTTTAAGAACTGAACCAGATGATCCTTATAGAATTGGCAGTATTTGTGAAAATAGAAACTCTACAAATCTGAAAAGATAGTTAGGGCATTAATAAATTAATGAATCCCAAAGATTTCCTACAAAACATCATATAGATATGCCATGTGATGATGAATTTTCTTAGTTTTTTAAAGAAGATGATAATTAAAATAATTTTAAGAATACACAAAAAAATAATAACCATTAAAATTAAATTAGTCAGCAAACAAAAGAAAAAATATTAGATTTGCTATTTCTTTCAACAGGAGAATTGAAAAAAAAATTTAATGAATAAAGTAGGATTTAATATTCAAAAATCACAAACAAAGCATAATAAAATAAACCAATAGTACCAAAAAGTAAATTTCCAAATGACTTTTTTAATGTTTTGAATTCTAATGAATCTCAAATATTTTGATTAGTATAACTCATCTCTTATTATTCTATTTTTATATTTTTAAATAATTATTTTTTCACTCAATAACTATTAAAAAAATTTTAACAGTAATTGAATCTAATAGATATGATATTTAATTCATATTTAAATAGCAGCATATTTAAATATAGGAAGATTTAACAAAAAGAATTGAATGAATTGATTAAATATAGAAATAAATATAATTTAAAATTTTAGGAAGGTGCATAAATTTAAATTATAAAAGGATGAGATTAAAAGTAGGAAGTCAAGTTTGATTAAAAGCAAAGATATTAATGGAAATAAAATAAAATAATAAAAATTAGTCAAATGTTTGTAAATAAAATGAAATAAGACGTCATATAATGAGGAATAAAAACGCCTAACTTTTTTTTTGTTTTTCAATAATATTATAAATGAAGACAATAATCCTTGCCTTAGCACTCATTGTGTTAGTCTCATCAACATAAGCTGATGTTATTGCTACAATCAAGAAGATTGACAAATCACCATTCGGAAGAACATTGTTCGATACAATTTGGCTCGAACTCTAAACAGGAGATCCATTGGACAGATTAATCTAAACATTGACAGATTTGGAAGACAGATATGTTGCTGAATAAAAGGAAGATGATGCCAGAAACCACGAATACTAAGATGCATGCACAGTTGTAAGATATTTTTCTAATACTTTTCTAGGACATCTCAGCTTTCGATAAAGATTTGGCTGAATCTAACAGAAAGAAGATTGAATTAGAAGCTAGATTAGAAGGATAATTATACCCATAAAGAGGAATCTTATAAGGATTAGTTGCCTAAAAATAAGGTGAAGTCAAGGGATACTAAAAGGATTTGGATGAGCTCGATGCTTAAAGAGCTGAAGAAAATGCTGACTTTGAAGAGAAAGTCTTAGAACACTAAGAAGCAACAGCTATCATTGCTGAAGCTAGAAGACTCTTCGCTGATAACATTGAACACGAATCTTTCATCTAAAAAGGAAAAGCAACCAGATAACCAGCTCACAAATTCACCAAGGAAGTTGCTAGTATGATCTAAAAGCACTTCACATAATCTGCTAAGAAGGCTGCCAAATTCTAACACAGAAAGGGATATAGCAAATTATTCAAAGCTTTCGCCACAATTGCCTCAAAAGTTGAATAATTAGCTGATGCTGGAGCAGTCTCAAAGATCATTGATTTAGCTGATGAATTATTAGCCAAGATTGCTGACTCATTATCCTTATTGAGATTCGCTGAAGACAAGAGAGTTGAAGCTTATAAGAAATCAAGAAACTTTGTTGTCATTGCTCTCACTGTTGCCGGAACTGCTCTTGCTAACGCTTAATCAGATTTGGCTTCTTTGAACGATGTCATTGCTTAAGTTGAAGCCTCACTTGACACCACCAACTAAAGAATTGAAAACGTTACTGCTGACAGAACCGATAGATTCACCTAATGTGAAGAAGCTGTTTAAGATTACTAAGATGCCAGAGCTGCAAGAACTTCTGACAGAGATGTTGTTTCATAAACCATCGGATTAGTCAACAAGGAATTAAGAACCTTAAGAGAATAATTAGCCTTAAGATAATCAGCTGGAGAAGAAATCTGATAATGATTCATTTATCATTAAACAATTCTAAATAAACATCCTTATTTTCTTTTTTTATTATATTATCATTATTTATTTTTACTATATATTATAATATTAATTTAGTAAAAGTTTCAATTAAAATCCTCATCTGTTAACTTTATATGAATTATAGGTCTAACTAAATTTGGATATTCTGTAAATATTTAATTTAAAAGATCTAATTTTAATGTTCCAGGTTATTTTTTAACTTTATTAACACTCTTCTCTTTTCTTTATAATACTCTATCAACTGATGATTTACTCTTAATTTATAATTAAAATAATATACAATTGCCTCAGTAAACTCTTAACCTACTGAATTTATTTGTATATCATTCATCTGCTATTATAATTATGATTTTTATTATTTAAGATTTAAGATCTCTTAATTAGCTAAACCAAGTTATGATTCTAATTAGTATATATGTTTTTCCATTTATTGTAGTTTTTAAATCATATATTCTTCATTTTATGGTGTAACTATATGTTACTAATGCATTCAAATTCGTTAATTATTTATATTTTTTTATAATCAATATATATTCATTTAATATAAACAGAATCAATAGAATAATCTCTTCTTGCATATTTACAATTTTCCAATGACTTTACTCTTTAAGGTCTTTTTCTAGTTATTGTTTTATTTATTTCTTTAAATGGATTATCTTTTAAAATAGGTATGTATGAATAAGCATCATATCCAATTATTTTTCTTAAATAATCTAATTTTATTGGACTTTGATTATTTTTTATTTTAAGTTTTTATGAATAGCTCTCATCCAAAGTTATTGTTGGTTTACGAGCTCTCTCAAAATGAACTTTGTTCAATAAATACTATCTTTCAAATCCATCAAGTTCTCTTGGAAGTTTTGAAACATCAAAATCTTAATTTAATTATTTAACTTTACGAATTATATCTCTAAATTAATTGAATTATTTACATTATTGCTGCACCTCCAGAATTCTATATATTACATTAACTATATAAATAATCTAATAAACTATCTTTCTTTTACTTTTCCAAGGTTATATATTTTTATAATTCCTTCTCTAAATTTATTTTCTTTTAGATGCCAATCTAATTTTCTATTTTTATCAAATAACGTTCTTTTTTCTTTTTGTTTATTACTTTCCATAATTCTGTATATTACTCATTATATTCATTCATACATTAATCAATAAATTATTATTGTTATTGTTTTTGAATACATTCATTTCGATATTTCTTTTGTATTTTTTATAGTTGATTTCCATTTTATTTAGAATTAGTTAAATATTAAACGATCTAACTCATCTCTCTTGCTAAATTAGTTGATTTTTCTTCCAATTATTCTATCTTAATTAAAATGTATTAATACTTCTTCTTCCTTTTTTTACAATTTATTAGATAAATTTTCAATTGCTGATTTTTATTAAGATAATTTCTATTTTATTGAAGATATTTCATCTTTTATTTTTTACAATTAAACATTCATTTAATCCTCAAAATCTCCAATGGAATTTGTTTTTTTAACAATACAACTATTTTAGATTGATATTTCAGTCCTCACTCTTGATTTCTTTGTTAATTAACTATTCCAATTTTCTATTTTACTATGAGATGTTCCAAAATCTTCTTGTTGATTATCTGATACAATTGTTTAAAAAGTTAATCTTTTCATTATTCTATATATGCTTTAATTGAAATAAAATAAATATAGTTAGATAGCTTAATTAAGAACTAAAATTCAATAAACTATTTTGGATTGTATTAGATTAGAAAGATTAAGATAAATAATTTAAATAACTTAAATAATCAAATAAGCATAAAAAAATTCAGAATATAAATATAAATAAAATGAGTAAATAAAATATGTAAATTTATCTATTATTCTAGTCATAATATAGATAATGGAATATCAAAAGTAATTGATTCAACAAAATAATCAATTTCTAAGGAGAATGGTAATGAATTAACAACTTTTTAACTAAATCTTACAGATATTCATTAAGGAACTGAAAGAAAAAGTAGTAAATCATGTAGAGATAATTCAAGTTACACTCCTCATCAAAATAAATTTTATGGATATTGTCAATTCCCAAAATAAAAGTTAAATTCTACAAAACTTAATTAAAGTCGAATGACAACGTTACAATAATAATCCACTATTTCAGTTGATAAAGCCTAAATTAAATCATAACCTTAATCAGCCTTTATTATGAATGGTAAACAATTAAAAGTTAAAAATTGTGAATTACTATTTGAAGATAATCCTTATCACTTAAGTGGCAACATATAAGATGTTATATAAAATTATGAAAAAAGTACTATTCAGAGCTTTGTTTTCAGAAAAGGTAGTTCCTCCATAAATAGAAATAAATCTTAATCTAACCAAAATCAATAAAGGTTTGTGTGCAAGTATATTAATAATAGGCAAATTCATTCACCTCCTATTAAATTAATTAACAAATTTATTATAAATTTAGATCAATAGTAATTATAAAATGAACAAACCAACTATACAGAAAATCTTAAAATTACTCTTGGAACTGATAGAGGAAGATTAACTATTTAAAATGATTTTCATGATGATAAATAAAGCAGATCCTTATCTAAGTCTCTATATTAAACTTTAGATTTCTCTTTACAAAATGATAAGCAATAGCCAATGTTTATGAAGTCTTTTAAAACAGATATTAATCCAAGCACTATTTTATGTGACTAAAATAATCGAAAGGTTAGTGAAATTTATTAATCATTTATATTTAAATCAAATTTTTCAATTGATTCTAAAAAATTAATCACCACTAAGAATTAATTAGAAAACTCTTCTAGACTAGAAAAAGAATTAGAATTATATCCTGAAGTCAAATAACCAAAGGAATAAAAGAAAATTAAATAATATAAAACAAAAATATATACTGAATCAGAGTTATCATAAAAAGATAAAGACTTAAATACAAATTATCTTATTTGAAATATTATAAATACTTATAGAAATATAATATTATATTTTAAATTACTTTCATGGTGGCTATTATTATTAATCAGAAAATTATAAAGGTTTAGTAAAAACTTAATAGAACAAAAAAAAGTATTTTAAAAATAAATATACATTAAATTGATTGTTTAAATATAAAATATTAGTTAATACTTATCTAACATTTATTTAGATTTTTGCTATATTAGTCTTCCATTTTTATAAAATATGAAAGTTGTTTTTTGATTAGTTTTTAAGTTTCATATTTTAATTTTCTTTAAATAATATTTAGAAGATAATACAAACTTAACTATATGATTAAATCAATTAAGATTCTTTTTTGTTATACAAATATATTATGGTCTGAAAAATTAATTATAAAATCATTTCATTTCATGTATTCCATAAAGTACAAATGCAGCTCCATTTAAGACTTTCAAATTACATTTAGGCTTAGTTTACATAATAATTAATTCTGGTTTCAGATCTTAATTTTTGCCATATTCAGTAATGAAATCTAAAGCATATTGATCAGCATCTTTATCAGTAATAGGCCAAAGTGATCCAAATAGAGATGGACAACCTCTAAGTAGATATGAAACTGCCAATCCATGCCAATCTACATGGTCTAGATAAATTTCTTAAAAAGATAGATTAGTTCCTTTAAATTTTCCTAAATCAATCATTTAAGCACTACTACAACCTAATAAATATGGTCTACCACTTAAATACATTTAAGTTTAAAATACTTATTTTTCATTAATATACTATTCTCCTCCTCCATGTCCTATATAAAAATAATAATCTTTTTTTTATAAACATTCTACTATTAATTCTTTATTAGGTTTTTCTCTTACAATGCCTTTTAAATTATATTATTTTAATAAAGGAAGAATTTTCTTTTCTGATTTTTGTAAATCATTTCCTGGATTCAGAACATAAAACAAATCTTATTTTGGATCTGTTGGTAGATTAGTTAAATCTAAAATATGTCCTAAAGATAAAACTCGATTAAAGACTGTATTTTTGATATGATCCCATGGTAGTAATTATAATTAAGGACTCAAAATAAGTAAAGGACTATCAGATTTATAAATAAAATCAATATGTTCTTATAAAGCATATTCTATACTTAATTATCTTTTAAGTAATTATTATTCATAATAATCTCTTCTTGACCACCATTATCCTGGCGCACTAGAAGTTTCATCTAAACAATCAATATTTTCTTAAATTAAGTTTAGATAATACATCAAAGCATCTTTAAATTATAAACATTTATTAATTAAATTAACTTATTTATTAAGACATTATTTAGTAAGATGACAATATTTAGATATTAATATTATTTTTTCACCATTAAACTCAAAGAAATTTATTACGATAATGTCTCTTCTAATTGAGATATCAAATATACTTGCTAATTCAGAAGTTCTACCTAAATTTTCACATTTCATTATAGATATATCTTCTTATTATAAAAGTATTCTCTTTTAATTCATTTAAAATGAAGCTAAAGTTGCAATTAAATCAAATTCAAATTTATTTTTATCATACTTTTTTTATAATGGACATTTACATTGTATCTATTAAACAAATTAAGGTTAAGAATTTGTCAAAAATTCTTTTAATCTTAAATATAAATACATATATAATTTTGATTAATCGATATTCTAATGAAGTGCTTATGCTAATTAATTTTATACTAAAATAAACATCTAATATCCATAATTACAAATATTTTAACTAATTTATTATTCACATAATCCTAATACAAGAACAGGAATTATCTATTCTAAAATTACTTAATCTAAAACTAATTCATGTCTACAATTTTCATCAACTAAAAAACAATATTATTTAGCATCTGTGCATCTAAATAATTATTTTAAAATTATGCAATTGGTTTTTAATTCAAATGATCTTGTTTATTTTAACAATAACTTTTCATATAAATAAGGATTTGAATGATTTAATAAACATAAATATTCTAAAGTAAAATTAAAATATGCTCTATAAAATTTTCCTTTTAATAAATTATTGTCATCAAAACATTATACTAATTTAGCATGTGATTCTTTTAATTTAGCCCACTAACTTCTTCTCTAACGATATAATGATTATCTTGCATTTTCACTTGTTACTTATGCATAGTCTTGTTTTTTATTCAAATATTTAACAACATTACAAATACCATCTGTTATCTACTACCATTATTAAGTATCAATCAACCATGGTATTTGAGAATATATATTCACTAAAACTGTTATTCCTAAAGCTCTTTAGGAAAATAAAATTATTTAATTAGAAATAGTATTTATTGCTTTGTAAAAACCTAAGTATTTTAAAAATTTTAAAAGCTTGTAACATATTTATAAATAAACATAAATAGCCTCTGCTCTATAATTTATAAATAAAGCTGGAGTACATAATTCACCATTGCCTAAATAAAATGAAATAAATTCTTTATGCTCTATCTTAAATATATGGATATCTGATTATTAGAATAATTCATCTTAATATTTAGGCTTTTCTTAAAATTCAAATAAAGAACTAGTAAGTTGAGGCATTAATTATTCCAATATTTATACTTTAGTTATTATACTGACTTATTTTTAAAGTAATAATTTTCGTGCATGCTTTAAAAATTTATTTAACGTAGGGATTCCCTATAAAGATTTTAATTTTATATCTGAACCTAAGTTCTTTTTTAATTTCTCTATTTTTGAGTAAAAATTGATTTCTTTTATTACTAATGTATTTGGATATTATTTTTTTAAATCCTTATAATTTTAGGAAGATTTTGATAATTATAAAAGTAAATATTCTGGAACACTATCATAATAAGATAGAATTGACAATTTCAACAATAATATTTAACGATTATCAATCTTATGTAATTTATATACTCTTTCAATTAAAGCTAAGTTTAATAAAAGTGTCTTTGCTTTTTTTAAATCTACAATTTCATTATTAAGTGGGTTATTAACAAGTTTGCCATTATATTTATAATCAGATTCCTAAGGTAATTTCTTATCAAAATTATGTATAAATTGCATCTACATAGAAAAATATTCCATATAAAGATTTTTATTTTTTGGATTCTAACAGATAACTAAAATTAAATGAAGAAGCTTAGATATAATAGATATATATTCAAATGAAAGACTTTAAGGTTATTTGATATTTACATCTATTTCTAATTATTGATAGATCATCAATAGTGTACTATTTAAATCTTCTTAAGAATAAGAAAAGAATTCAGTCAACTTTGTTTGAAGAAACTTTTAGTCATATCTATATTACAATAAGTACACTAATTCAAGGAATTCACAAATGTCTCTTCTGGGATTATTTGAGTCAACTAAATTTGTATAAGTTAATTACCATTACACATCAATTCATATAACTTATCAAAATTGGCAGCAAGATAATCTTTATCCTATTTAATAAATATTGAAGTAATTAAATTATTTATTGTTTTTTCTTTTGAAACAGTTGAAAGATCAATTTATTAATTACTAAAAATAGCAAATTTATGATATATTTCAGGCAAATATTTTTTAAATATAGGTAATAAAGAATCTATTATTTATTAATTTGGCTATTGTTTCAATAATAAATTAGCTGATTCATTAACTTTTTACATATCCTCTATTTTACTAAATTTTAAATTATTAATTAAGGATAAAACTTTAATTATAATTTTATCTTGATTTAATTGAATTAATAATGTTAGAATTTAAAGTAAATAAGGTAAAATCTATTAAGGATCATTCTCCATATCATTATGTTAAAAAGAGAGATCATAATCACTTTTATATTTATATAATAAACTCAGTAATTACATATTAAATCTAATTATTTAAATTGAACAAATAAAACTTAGTTAAAAATTAGAGGCAATTAATTTATATACTGTTATCTCAACATTAAAGTGATTTATTATTTTTTTATCAATATGTGCAAATTCTTTTTTTTTAATTAAATTAAGAGTGTTTCTCTTATTAAATTGAGAGAAACCAAATTCATGATGTTCTGATTTTTAAAGTCGATTGAATTCTGCTCTTAAAAAGTATATTGCATCATCATTAATAACTATTTTTGAATCCATAATAAAAAAGCGGGTAAATTTTAAAATTTCATTTAACTATCCAATTTCTGGATCAGGAACTTCCATTATAAATGCAAGATGACATCGACATAAATATCTAATTCTTTAATTCTTAATTTTAGCTGTTTCTTTCATTTATTCTTAAAATGGTTAAGAAAACAATAGATGAACTGAGCAATCTGGTATTTAATAATTATTTGCTATATCAATTAAAAGTTGACATTGCTTTTGAATACCCAAAATTTCAAAAACTTAAAAATTTATAGCTGCTGTATGCATAACACATTTCACATTTTATGATTCAAGTCCAATTAAATCTAATAATAATTCATATGCTTCATCTATGTTTTATTAAAATAAGATTAACTATTAAGCTAAATTGGCTCTTGCAACAACATTCACCATATCATTTTTTCTAAAATCCCTTATTTAAGAGATGACATTTATTTTTTCGTTGTTACATTAGCAAAAATAATTTAAAAGGGTTTATTTCTACTTTTAGTTCATAATATTAATTATAACATAATTATAATTATTATAAGATAAATAAATCTCATTTCCAGATTTTTATTAATGTTTCTCTCTTTTTCATATTTAAATTCATAAAATGATGTTTATTGTAAATTTAAGTAAAAAAAGCATCTAAGAAATTTTATAACAAAAAAACAAAAATTTAGTTTTCAGTAAGTCTTGATTATTATTATTTTTACTATTTGCTTTTATAATAATATCAAGAAACCTATTATGATAATATTATAAAATTAAAATGAATTGTTTAAAATTACATTATAAAATGCTATAAAAGTATTAAATTAGAGATTGTTGTATAGAATAAGTCTTTCAACTTTCAAATGAAAAAATTAGTGCATTTTGAAAATCAAAAGAAATCTAAATCTAATTATAGAGTTTCAAGCATAAATAAGAGCTATGTCTGAAATTAAAATATTTTCAGCTAACTAAATATTTTAATGATTTGTGATATAGCTTATATCATATTGATATAGATAGATAGAAATATTTGGAATTATTATTGTTGAAGTAATTTTTTTAAAGTCTTAATAATATTAGTCAGAACATAAGATGATCAAAATCAAATAATCTTTCAACAAAATTAATGAATTTCGAATATAACTTGAAAATGGATTACCACTAACTTCAGTTTGATATTTTAAAGAGATGGAATACTTTAAAAAGTTGATTAAACTTTGAACTCATTGACTAATAAATTTAAATTAATCCCAGTTACTTTTTTACTTATTTGATATTTAATCAATTCATGGAGTATAATTTAATGAGAATTAAGTACCTCATAATATTATGTTTATAAAAGCTATGTTAATTCTAAAATATTTTTCAAAAACAGTTAAAACATAAATACTTATTATAATAGGAATAATTTATTCAGATCTTAAAATTAAAAACCAAATATTCTTTCTGGTTGAGAATTTTTGCATTATCTTTAATTTGCTATTCTTAAAGAATTTGCAATTCAACCGAATTACCTTGATTCTATTAAAAATTACCTTAGTTATCTTATTTTTATTAGTCACAAATTACAATTAAAGAATAATAAATAATATTATTATTTATAATTAAATAATTCAGATCATAATAATGATAATGTAATTGATTAGTACTAAAATGTATAATAATTTTAGACATTTTTACATATTATTAATATTTTTAAAGTAAATCAGCTTAATCTGAAGAAATAAGAATGTAAAAATTTATAATTAGATCAATGAATCTTGTATTCATAGTCGTATTTGCAACTTTTTATTTAATGGTAATGAAAGCTGCTAATTAAATAAATATTTTAGTTATATTTATAAATTGCATATGCTTTCAATTATTATATACAATATTTAAAATATCTTAAATTTTTAATCATGAAATATTTACTATTCTTAGCAATCATTTTAGTAGCTTTGGCTAAAAGACACCATTAACCTGATGTTGTATTAGAATGCCTTTAAGGAGATTGTAGATAAGAATTTGAAGTTTGCGACAACTCTACAGGTTGTATGAAATAACTGAAAAAATGCATGAAAGTATAAGAAAGAGATCCATTGAATTACTCTGCTGTATATTTATAATATAACAAATTAGGGATATGAATGTTTAGAGAGATAAGGAGATGCATTGAATGCCTTTGAATGCATTTTTACTAAATGCCTAGGTTTACATGGAGGATGAGATTATTTTAAAATCAAAACATAATTTATTTTTTATATCATAATTAAGAGGTTAGTCTTCATGATAAAATTTCATTTTTAATTTTGTCTATCAGATATCTCTTCAATATAAATAAGATTTTTTTTAATTGCAATATATATTAAATCGGACCTAGATTCATCAAGACTAACTATTTAATTTTTATGATCATATCTTATTTTAAATATATATGGTTGATTTTAAATGCATTATATCTATCTCTATTCTTTAAAGAAGTATTAGATTTATAATTATAATGCGATCAATTTAAATAATCAGTACATTAATTGCAATTAATTATAAATTTACAAGCAATTAAGCCAAATATATTTATAAGAATGATATCTATATATAAAGAAGAAAATTATTTAATTTCTTTCTTGTAAATTTTTTAAGAAATTTATCTATGTTTTTATATAGAAATAATATTTAAAATATAGAATTACATATAATATATTTAATGTATCTCAAATTCAAAATTATGATGATCAGCTTTGCTTTGGAGAAGTGAATTATAAAACAGAGCTTTATTTTTTTAATGAAGAATTCTAAAGCCACATAATTGAATTATGCAGAATCCCACTTTAAAACAATGTTAATTTATCAGCATTAGAAATTTAATCAACTTATGATATATTCTTGTTTGTGTTAGGTTAATTGGAATATTCAACAATACTTACAAAGTGCTATTCTTAATTTTAACTTTAAAAACTCTCTTATTATGATTACTAAAGAATATTACTATTAATAATTTATGATTTATTATTTGATTATTAATTACAGATCATTTTAGGATAGTTTAATTTATAAATCACTTTTTAAGGTCTAATTACAACTCTTTAATTAGAATTAAAATTTTATAATCTTTAAAGATGATTTTTGATTTTTACAAATACAGGCTGACTCCTATTAGTAAAAGGATTATGTAAAATTATTGGTTCTTTGAATCTATTTTTTATTAATTATTAAATTTGAATAAAATCAGGTCTTAGTGCAGCCTCTTTTTATATCATTTTACCAACTAATTATAATAATTAAATTGAATAGATTCCAGCCATTTATTTAATTGATTCGTTCAAGTTTAGTTAATTAGCTTTAAGCATAATTATTCATTTACCTCGACCTGTTATCATTTCTATTATTATGATTCCTAAATCATAGACATCCCTTTTAATCTAATCATAATTAGGGTTCTAATCAAGCTTATCTAATAGTTTTATTTCATTATATTAGTTAAGCAAAATTGATTCTGTTATCAAATTACCATGATATCTATTCAATCCTTATAAATAAGCCAATGCATTAACAATTTATTCAACTATCTTCAAAAATATTCAATAATATACATTCCAAATTTCAGTTTCTGGCAATTTCTTTTACTTAGTTAACTTTTATCTCAAATTATTGGGATAATATGCAAAAAATAGTTATTAAGTACAAACATTTCCAATATTTTAAGCTTTTGATTTTGTACATGCAAAATATGATAAAATATTTGGATGAACAATTTAACTACGATAATTATGAAATTCAATCAAATTAGAATCTTTTTCATAAATATGGACATGCTAATTTTTAAGAAAAGTTTAATTTACATATGAAAATATCATTGGTTAATTTTATTGTTTAATCTTCCATAATTAAATTGATCCAAGACCAGGATGATTTATCATTCCTTCATCTTCTATTTAATCATTTAAGTCTTAAATATAAGAGAAAGGTGAATGATAATTAATTAATGTTTATAGATTTCCCATAAAATAAATAAAATTTATTAAAATAATCACTTTATATTGAAAATCAATTCTTTTTTTTGAATTTTATTTTATTATATTTAATGTTCATTATTATTTTAAAACAAAATAAATACTTAATTGATATCTTAAATGAATTAAAGATTATTAAGAAATAAAGTTTAGATAAATTGTTAAATATTAAAAGTAGAGAAGGATGTAAATAATAAATATTAAATTCTTAATTAATTTATAAATTAAATAGAAATGATTTTCATCTACATTAACAAATTCATCCATTTTTTTAATAGGAATTACGAATAATATTTTGATTTTTGTCAATTAATTTTTAGTATTTGTTTTTGCTTTTTGGTTAATATTTTACTTTATGAAAATTTGGTTTAAAATTCTAATGATTTCCTTATTTTGGATACTTTTAAAATTTATTAGAAGAAGTATGATTAATATAAAAAGGTATTTATATTTATGTTGGTATAGGAATAGAATACTATTATAAATTTAGGATCCTTTAATCTTAAAAGATTTAAATATCCTAATTTTATTCATTAGTTTTTAATTCTTCTTAAATATTAAATCCTTTATCATTCAAGAGTGTTATAAGTGGTTAATTTAATTTTCTTTATCTATCAAACCAAATATCTTCGGCTAAAATTTTAAAAGAAAAAAAATCATTTTTACTGATATACCTATAAAGTTTTCTATTATGTAAATTTAAAAGAAGATTCTACCATAATGTACATTATCCCAACTAAAATAGTAAATATGAATTATTACTGTAATTGCATTTCCAAAAATATATAATGCATTTCTAGCTCTAGTTAATGCTACATTAACTCTTCTACCATCTTAAAGAAATCCAATATTTCCAGTAGAAGAAGAGCGAACACAAGAAAATAAAATAATATCCCTTTCTTAACCTTAAAATGAGTCTACTGTATTAATTTAAATATCATCAATAAAATCTCTAATTTATCTTTTAATTTCAAATTTAATTAATCTAACTTATGCTTTATATGCACAAATAACTCCAAGACTTTAAGTGGGATATGAATTTTTAATATTTTTAAGAACTTCAACAATCATATTACATTCAATTTAATTTTAATATGATTTATCATCTTTAGTTTCTTCACTTTCTACATCAATAAATAATACTCTTTAATTAAAGAAATTATCTGGTATGAATCTTTCATAAACAGAAAAATGATCAATAAGTTTATTATCATAAAAATGTAATGATGGAAATTCCCTAATTTAAGGATGCATTCTATATTGCATATCTAAAAAGAAAGGTTTAAAATCATTATCTAAAATTCTTTCAAATAAACTTCTATTGTAATAAGTATTTTATGAAACTGAAGAAAAAGTAGTAGCTGGTAATTATTTAGGATCACCAATTAATATCATCTTTCTCATTCCTAATCTTAATGGAATATTATTTGAAGGTTCAGTACATTATGCTGCTTCATCAACAATTAATAATTCAAATGAATCTATAAATTTACTTAATTTATCAGTTCCAGCTGTACTTAAAGTTGAACAGATTATTTCTGCTTCACTTATAATCTTTTCACAAAATACTACATAATTTTCTTTTTAATTTCTTTTATTAGTTCTTACTTATTCTAAAAATTTCATTAATTAATTTCTTTTATTCCATAATTCATTTAATTATTTTTTTTATTCTTCATCAAATTTCTCATTTTCTTTTATTTTTTTAATGGCCTAAGTTATTTTACTCAATTCAATTCTTAATTCACCAGTTGTCTTTTAATCTGAATTAGCTTTAAATTAACTTTTATTAAATAATTAATATTAAGCAACATCTTCTAATGAAACCTATTTAATTATTTCACTTTTATCATTTTCTTCATCTAAAACTCCTAATCTTACTAATTTTACTGTTCTTGATCTTCCCTCACTATCAAATAATCCTCCTTATAATATTCTATATATTATCTCATCTATTGCAGCATTTGATGGAGCACAAATTAAAATCTTTTTTTTTGGAAATTTATTCATTATTTTCATATATTCATATACTCCAGATAATATACCTATTAATGTATGAGTTTTTCCTGTTCCAGGAGGTCCTTATAATAAACATATACCTCTCTCTTATAAAATCAATTATTAAATTGCATTCGCCTACGAAAAGTTATAATTTAAATTGATATATTAAAAAAAAGGATTCATCACTTTCCCATTTTAAATTATATTCTATAAATTTACATTCCAAATTTTATCTTTACCACCACCTATCAAATGTTATTATGATTTTGGATCCAATATTAAAGGATATAATGGAGTCTATGTGATTTTATTTATCATCAAATACTCTCTTAAAAATATACATTTTTTTACCTTATTTAAGTTGTAATTTTTACAAAAGGAAATAAATATACTGTAATCCAATTCTAATATAATAAATCTCTAGGTACAAATGTTTAAATCTTAATTTGATTTACATATTGATTTGCTTATGGTTCTATCAACATACCAAAAAATAACTATCTTTTTTCTTTTATTCTTTTTATATCAATATATATATATACTTATTTATTTTTGCAGGATTAAATGAATATTTATTGCTTATTATTACAATATAATTCTTCAAAGATGTCAAATCACAAACACTTTCTTCTTTGTGTTCACTTTCATCACTTTAATTTTCTTATTTTTTTTCATTTAAATTTTTTCGATCTTTATTCTTCTCTTTTTCATTTTATTAATACTATCTTATCTAAAATATTAATCCATCTTTATCTATTTCAGCTTCATCTTATTTTATTTAAATTCTTCTAAATTTCTATTTATTAATTCTTTATAATTCTTATTTTATTTAATGAAATGATTCATTTAAAAATAAGTATTCAAATATTTTACAATACTCTTAATCTGATTTAAATTTTTTAGGTATTTTATTGTAAGTTTCATTTTCAGATTCTTTGCTATAATCACTTAGAAATAAAAATTTTATTAATTAATTGAACTCAAATATTGGTTTACCTATCATCGCAAAAATCCCGCATTTTTCCTAAAACATTCCTTAAAATGTTTTTTAATCTTAAGTTATTTAAACATTTGTTTTTTTTAAAATAGGACACTGTTATTTAGCTTTTTCAATACTTCTTGATTTTTTTTATTCTTTTATTGTTTCCTATCTAATTACACTCTTAATTGGATTTTAAGTAATTTAACGAATTTTATCAATCTTTGGTTATGAAGAACTTATAGTGAAACTATTAATCTATAATAATTTAGGATTCATTATCTATTTTTGTTAGAATTATAAAATTTATTATTTTTTCTTATCTATTAATTTACTTTAATTTAATTAAGGAGGATTCTCTATATATAATTAAAATTGTCTATCAGTCTTTTCTAATGATTTTGATTTAATTTGATTCTAAACTTTTTATATATATAATTTACTTCAGATATATTATATTTCTTAATTTCAATTAGTTCAGGTTATAAAGTTATTCGCTTTTCATTTTTGATTTATTTTCTATCTTATATAGAAATAAATGAATTATCAGTTTATTCAGAAGTAATTTAAGAATTTTAGATTAATGAACTTGATACAAATGAATCCTAATCAATTTAAATCTTTAAATCAATTTCTGCCAAAGGATTCTGTTTATTATCATATTTTTCAAAAAAGGATACTAAAGAGTCCTTTTAATTTTCATAATTTTTATCTTTCATGATTACTATTTAAAATTATCCACTATTTATTGTACAAAATTAGGCTTAGAAAAAACCATCTTTTATTTTGTTAATTATAAAATAAAATATGAATTCAAAAAATATAAATATTCAATACTAATTCCAAGGTGATTAACTTCTTTAAAATTTATACTTATTAGCTAACTATCTGGATTTTGCATTAATACAAGGTGAAAAACTATAATTTTCTTTTTAAAAAGTAAAACTTTGTCGAATAGGCATAGCTAATCGATCTGCTTAATCTACAAGATAGAGTCCACTTTTTTTCATTTTTTTATCAGCAATTTCAGCAGATTTAGGATTTATTAAAGGTTTAAATGATTATTCATTTTAATTTTAGATTTCATCTGCTAATTGTTATTTCTTAAATTCCTTATATTAAACCCAATCCTATGAATCTTTAATAAATTGAGAAAGTGATCTTGAGGGTAATATTTTATTAGATTCAATTTCTTCTTCTTATTCTTAAGTAACCAAAATCTTTTATAATTCAGCTCTCATTTTTTTTTCTTAAACTAATTCATTTTATCTTTCTAAAAAAGGTTTGAGATTTTTAGTATCAAGAATTTATTAAGACTTTTTACTAATAAACGAAACTTTAATAGGTGTTAAAGATCTTTCTTAATCCTATTTTAATTTCTATATTTTGTTTCTCTTTTTTTCTTCTTATTAATATAATCTATCTACAACATTTAAACTTTTCTGATTTAAAACCTTTTAATCATTAGGTTATAAGAATTGATTATTTGAATCAATTTTAACAGCAGGTTTGCTGGGGTTATACATGGTTTTTTATTTGGGATATTAAAGAACAATAGTTTTCATTAAATTACGTTAAAATTATATATATATAATACTGTCTCTTAATTAAAAACATAAAACAAAATTTTCACTAGAATAAAATATTGTTTAAAGATGAGATTTATAACAATATTTGTGAGCTAAAAACCAAAGAATAAGTTTAATTTATATTTACTATGTCGTAGTATAATAGTAATTAAATAGATTAATATTTATAAATTTAGAAATGAAGCCAGGAATTTTTAATTTATTTTTCAAAAAGATTTTGAAAGATCAAAATATCTGTGATATATTTAAATAATATGAGTATTGTCATCCATATTTAAACTAATTAAAAAATATAGAAAATTTCTAAAATAGATACTTAAATTTAGGGATAATCTATATTATCATTTTATTTTTTTAGAACAAAAGGTCTTTACAGGATTATAAATAGGTCCAGGTGATTAAGAATCTTCATTTTTGATTTTTTCATCTATCCAACTTATCTTTGGAGCTTGACCAATTGTTGCATTTGGAGAGGTTTCTCTTATTACTATGTATAAATAATATTTTTTGTTTATTACATTTCAAACTCTAATCTAGTTTATATTTTCCAACTCCTGGAGAACTTGTAGTTAGACTATTATCTAATTATCTTCTAGCCTTAGGAAATGTTGTAGGTGATCCATTTGATTAATATGACATTTCACTTAAAGGAATAACTTTAGACGACATTTTGCTAGGTGATCTGCTACAAATTGATTGATTTGATGCAAATTTTTTAAAATCAGAAACAGATTATTTTGTTAAATCATTTACTCTTTTAACAGTTTAAGATGTATCTATATTAAATATCTACGACTGTTAATCTTAACTTTAAACATTTAATTCAATTAAGAGTCTATGCCAAATTTAATTCATTGTTGCTGTTACTATTACATCAAAGTTTGATTTGAAAATTTGTAGATTTCTTTATAATTACTAATTATATTCAATCTTTTATCCTTATTTTTCCATTACACTAATCACTTCTTTCAGTCCTTTGAATTGAAATTAAGTTTACTTTGTTGTGCAAAATTGATTTCATTCATAAAAATGTCTTCAAATTCTTTTGAAATTTGTGCTAAGTATCCTTTCTTTTATACTGTTTCATATACATGATTGATATCCGCAAATCTAATAACATCTTGCTATATATTTAACTATAAATTCATATTTAAAATAAATTTTTCATTTTAAACCATTCATGAACTAATTTTTATTAATATACTATTGGTCTATCTGATGCTTTTTTTGCATAACAGCTATTGATTAGATTTATTAATAAGTCATCCTAAACTTCTAATTATAATGGTTAATCTCTAGCTAATAAATCCATTTCTAGATCTCCTTATCCACAAAAAGATAACTAATAATAAGTAAAATAAATACTTTTTCATATATATAAATAAATAAACATATTCCAAATGACCATATATCAAGTTTAAATAGTGAATAATCATCATTTAAACAAAATTATACTTCAGATGCTCTAGATCTTAGAGTTTTTCAGCACAATAAAAAAATATACTATCATTTTCAGCTATATGTGATGTTGAAAAATCAATTAATTTACAACATTCATTTATTGGAACAGATTATATTATCATGATTTACTAATTGTGTTCATGAAGATACTTTATTGCTTCAGCTATTTATTTGAATAGTAATTTCGCTGCTTGCATAAAGTTCATTTTCAAAATAATCTAAAATAGGCAGATTTCTTATATATTTGAATGTCCCTTCCCACAATTTCATTATACTAAGTTCGCTAATTACATTATCAAGTATATTTTCTATTATTAATCATCTTCATCATATTATTTCATATAATTTGCAATACTTGGGTGATTTAGATATTTATGAATATTAATCTCATTATCCGCAAATTCCAATAAATTTGTCATTTTGGATTATTAAAATTGCAATCATAAAAAAAAGTTCTTTGATGTGCTAATGCTGTTTTATTAAATATTTTCATTGCATAATCACTTTTATTCAATTCTATTAATTCTTCACTCTTTTTATAGTGTCTAATTACTCTTTTTACTTTTCCAAATGATCCTTCTCCTAAATCTTCAATTAATTCTTATTCATTTACGATTTTTTCCCATTTTATTTTTTATATTCTACTTTATTTCTAAATATTGCTTCATATATTTCATTATTCATCTTGTTTAAATATTAATAAGAAATATTAAACAATTTTATGACCTTTAAAGACTTATAAAATTAATTAAATGTTTTATTCATATTCTTTGTATTTATCCTTAATTCTCAAAAATGCATCAATTTTTATTAATCTAGTAATATATTTATTTTTAATCTAATCGTTATGAAAAAAACAAATTTGAAGATAAATGCTAATGCTACTTAAAAAAGACAAAATAAAGAAAATTCAATTAAATCTCCACGGAAAGCTATCTCCCCTAAAAATTTTAGATAAAAATTAACTTGCCCTGATTTATGGGATAACATTGAAAAATAATCAATCACTTCTGAAACAATATTTTAATAAATATTTCCAAACCCTAATAGAAAGAGATTAACTTATTTTTAGTTTGATTAAATCAAATTTTTGAGCGCAGAAAAAAATGAAATTTTTGATTTATTATAATAAGATGATTGGATTGAATACAATAGAGCTGGTAAAATTCTAGGAGAAAAATATGGTTATGAATAAAGTCAATTAAAAAAATGGTTTGATGACAATTAAGTCAATTAAACTATTAAGAAAGTAGATCTACTCAAAAAATATAAAGATAAAAGTAATTTTATAACTAAGTATTTTATTTGAAGAAATTATTAGATTATTTGAAGAAATTGATTTTAACAATACATAAGAATTATCGTATTGGGATGTATATCTTCATAAAGATATTTATGTGCTGAAATAAATAATTCCACTATGATTATAAATCTAATTTTATGATATTTTATTTCAAACAGACCAAATTATTTACCAATTAATAATAAATATTGGATATTCTGTGCAATTTTTATTTAAATTATGATCCCTTATAGATCGAAAAATATTAATTTTTGTTATGAATTTTTTTAAAAACTCTATTTAATTTTTCACCAAAAAATAATGTTGATAGTATTATTAATTTCAATTAGAATTAATTTAAACATTTTTTTTTATTTGATTACCTTTAACAATTAGATTTAGAAAAATAAAATATTATGAATTGAAATGAATTATAAATATTAGTTTATAAAATATATCTAAAATTAGGCTAAATAAATTTAGTATTCAGTTATCAATTTAAATATTATTATATGATTTAGCAAATTAAAATTTATTGATATGATAATGTTTATTTTTCTATAAGTGGTCTTTTTTCTCTATAATTAACTTTTTATTTTTTAAAGATTATTTAAATTAAAAATTTATATAATTTATGATATGAGGAATAGTATTTAAAAAAATATGAAATTATTAGGGAAACATAATAAAATAGAAAGATTGTGTTTTTGGATCTAAAAATAAATAAAATTTTTATATTTTTATGAATACATCAATTTACATATCTAGATGATTCGTATTTTCCACTTTTTAAATATCCACTTCCACTCAACTATGAGTTTTATTCATATTTATAAGGAATTTAAGCTTGATATTGATAAGATCTTTATGAACCATTATCACCTTGTTGTGAGACTTTTTTATCTAAATTTTAGCCATCAGTTTATTTTGAGTCATTCAAAGTTTTTACTCTGTAGTAACTGTTTAATTAAATATTATTATTTGATAAATCCTAGTATGAGTTTCTTTAAATCATTTAATTTGAATCTCTTTACTAATAACTTTCATAATTATTTTAATATTCTTTAACCTATGTTACTTATTGAATTTTAGATTGACCTTCATATGCACTTGTTGTTAATAATCCTTTTATAACATCTTTATCATGTTACTGTAAAAGTAATGTACTATTTTAATCCCTCAAATTTGATAATTCTGCCCCCATCAAAACAATTAAACTTAATAAATCCTCCTCTCGTTTCGGTAATATTTAAGTGGTTACTTATATATCACCATTATTAAAGCTAGCTGCTCTAGGTTATAATTTATGAGTAATAGGTATTGATTAATATGACGAAGAAGCTTATTATTTTTTCAATCTACTCAATTCCATTGTTAACATTACTATTTTATTTTCATAATATTCTTTTAATTTATCTATTTCATTATCTTAAGTCATTTAAGATTACAAAATTAGTTATTATTATAATTATTGACAAATTTGTTCATTCTTTTATTTATAAGTTTTTATTTAAACTTATAAAGATTCATTCTCATTATAATATTTATCAATTATTATTCCTAATCTCTCTATTTCAGCTGATTGTAATAAAAAATTCAACAACAAATTTGATGGTTATATATTTTAGAATAAAATACTTTCCTTTATATTTTTACCATTAAGTTTTCTCTTTTTTGGATCCAAATCATCATCTGTTAATCCAAATTCATTTTTAATCCATTCAATTTTATCATTAGCCTCCTTTAATTTATTACCTAAATCTTTTAATTCTGAATTCTTTTTATTTAAGTCTTATTATAAATCTTTTAATTTATTATCTTTATCTGATAATTGTCTCATTAAATCGTTTAATCTATTTCTTAAATCATCATTTTCATTTTATAATTTATTTTTATCATCATTTAATTAATCAACTTCTTGATTTAGTTTATCATTTTCATCTTTTAATTGAGTTGCAGCTTCTTTTTATCCATCTGCTGAATCTAATTCATCTAAACAATTATTTAATTCTGACTATAATTTTTATTTATCTTATTCTGCTTATCTATATTTATATTATAAATCTCCTAATTATCTTAATTAATCTTATAATTATCTCTATGCATCTTATAATTATTTTTATTAATCTGCCAATAAATTTTTTAATTAAGCTATTTCTTAATCTTTTTTCTTTAATAATTCTTTTAATGATTCATATTCATTTCTTAATTGATCTGCATCTCTTAATTTATTTTTTAAATCATTCAATTATTAGTTTAAAAAGCCATTTTCCATTTATAAACCTTATGCGTTTTTCTAAAATATATAAAATTATATAAAATACTTTTAAATCATCAAGTACATCTAAATCGTTTTTCTATTTATCATTTTCTCTTTGTTATTTATCTAATTCTTTTTTTAGTTCATCTGCTTCTTTAGCCTTTTTTTTTAATCTTTCTAATTCCTAAAAATTAATTTTTTTATTTTTTTTACTTTTAATAAATCTTCTGGACTTCCACCAAAAGACTTCTATAATTTTTCTAATTCTTTAAGTTTTTTTGCTAAAGTATCAGGATCCATTCCTCCAATTTTATTTTATAGATCTTCAAATTACTTAGCTTTTCTTTATAAATCATCCAGCATTCTTTATAATTCTTCTGGACTTTTGCCACCAAACTGTTTTTCATAATCACCTATTTTTTTTTTCAGTTTGTTTAATTAAGATCTCAAATCATCTATAATAAATCATTTATATAGTTTACCAACATCATCATCACCTATTTTTTTTTACAATTAAACTAGCTGTTTTTTCTATTGTTCTAATTCTTTTTTCCAATTAGGATCGTAATCTTTTAATTAAGTTTCATATCTTTATAATGAACCTTCTAGATCTTTAACAAGCTTTCTCAGTCTTTCATTATCATTTCCTATTAAATAATTGTCCCTTTACTTAAATATATAAAATACTGCTGCAATTATTGTAGCTTCTCCATTAGATCTCTTATTTACATTTCATAATTGACTCTATCTAGCCCACTATCACTTTACTATTTTAAGGTAATTTTCAGTTCCGTGTTCTCAGCAATTAGTCTCTATATTTCTACAGCCATTAAAAAACATGTCACATCCATTTATCCATTAAGATTACGTTAGATTCCTGTATCCCTTTCATTAATATCAATACTTACTGATATCTCACTCTTGTTCGATATTAAGGATGATTAATTTCTTCCTCATATTTACTATAATTGAACATTTATTAATAACACATACATATTTTATCAAAATAAGGTTAAATTCTTTTTGAAATTACGTCTGCACTATTTCATTGATATTATGAAATATGTGATTCATCTTCTTCAATGCTTTATTCTTATATAGAATTTATTAACTTTATTATGATGAACATTTCCAATAACCTAATCCCATAACATTTAAAAACACATCTATTAATCTTTTATGATTAACATCCTAACTCTTCAAAAAATAATTAGTTCTTTTAAATTTATTCCATTATATTTAAGGATACATCTTAATTTATTTACTCCATAAAAAATCCATGTTTTTAAAATAATTCTCTTTTCTATTCTTTACTTAATGTCTTCTAACTAATAAGAAATATATAATAAATTACTTTGCAATTTATTCTCTAGTTATATAAATTTGCAATTTTATTTTATAATTATTCTTGAAAACCTATTGACTGTGTTAAAACAATATTCATCTATAAGGAATACAAACTAAATTGACTTAAAGAATCTTAGCAAATATAAATATATCTACTTTCATTTACAATTTATAATTAACAGAGATATATGTTTATAATTAACAAAGAAATATCAATTCAAAAAAAACATTTTCTTTTTGGTTGTTTTGATTTATTTTCTAATTCTTCATAGTATATTATAAATATTGTTTTAATGTTTAATTAATATTTTGATATTATTTGAAGATAGAAAGCATAATTAATATTTTGATATTATTTGCAGATCGAAAGCATAATTATAATTACATAAATGTATATTATAAAAAATAAAAAGATTGTATCATTAATCATTTTATTTGATGGTATATGCATCTTAAGATAATTTTATTTTTTTATTAATTTTTTCTAATTATTTGTCTTTGATCTACTTTCTTTTTTCTTCAAAATAATCAATATCTTTTTAACCAGCTTCACAAATAATTCCTTTACAAGTTTTTCTATGAACTAAATTAAAAGATTAATACTTCCATGTTTAATAACCATATCAGCATTTGCTCCAACAGCCTATGTAGCCTAATCCTTTTTTAAACCAATTGTCATTCCTAATGCTACTAAATCATAAGGACTTCTATGATAGAGCCAATGACTAGTATCAGAAGAAAATAAGATATTTCTGCCTTTGGTAGCATTAATAATTATTTATGAATTGGAAATAAATGATCTTCTTTTATTAGGATCTTAAATAGCATCTCCATAGTTTATTTCAAACATTATATTTTTCTCCAAAAGCTATTTACATATTTTTGCCTTTGGAATAAATGGAAGTTTCTCATAACAATCAAAAGTAATTATATCAAAAAACTATATAGTCATGATTTTAATATACATTAAATGTTGTGCATAATGATATAAATACAGCTTCAGTCTTAGGTTTGATAGCAATAATATCATAACCTGATAAAAATTTATTTTCTTATTTAATAGAGCTTAGAAACTTATTATCACTCACCTCAAGAGTGAGTCTTGAATATTATTTTATTTTTCCTGTGAATTAAGAAATGTTTGCACTTTATTGTTATTTTTATATTAAGAATTCTTCATTATATGGTTTAAAATTGCAAGCATGTTGTTAAGAAATATGTTAATCTTTTACATAATTTACAATAGCAACATTATGATAATTTTCTAATTGTAAAATATAATACAAGTACCTTCAATACAAGTGATCAATAATTATATTAATTGATTATCTTTTTATGAATCTCCAGCATAGAATGACCTTAAATTTAAATCGCTCTCCATATAAATTAATGTATTTAATACTAATATTTGAAATATTGATAGTAACATGCTTAGTAGGTTATTTGATTTAGAGTTACTGTAGCAAGGATGTTAGCATTTATGTAAAAGGAATGGCTCTAGTTTCTTGGTTAATTAATTTTTTGCTGATACTATTTTTACCATTTGACATATATATCACATATAGAGATTAAAGCGTTGGAGATATTTCGAATGATTACTTAAGTTTAGCTGAAGTATTGATATTAATATGATGATAGACTTATTAAATCTTATATTGGACTAATTTTATTTTATGTTGGACTGTGATTCCAATAATGTAAGAATATGAAGAATCAGTTGAGTTAGAAAAGTAGGCTAAATTAAAAAAAGCTTTAAAGAATAATATGAAATTTTATATAATAATATCTGTGGTAGGAATAGTGTTTGTTTTAGCAATTTTCTATACTGGATAAACAGAACAATGTGGTTTAGGTACATTTTTGAAGAGTATGGCAAATTCATTTGGAGTAGCTTTAATTATATTATTGTTGGGTTATGGATTAGTGATTATCCCAAAAGCATAAATGAGAACATCACAATTAGATGTATAGTTGAAGTATTTGTATTTCAGAACAGCAAGTATAAATGGAGAAAAAGATGATGCTCATCATAAATTAATGGAAACATCAATGAAAGTATTAAAAATTAAAGATTATCGATTTGATAATGATGATATGATGTATTACTTAAACAAATGTTTAAATAAAATACCTAGAAATATGCATAAGATATTAACAAAAGAGGAAGAGAAGAGAAAATCTTAAATTCTTATGGCCATAACAGGAGCAATCTTTAAAAACAAGGCTCCAGAATCTGTTGAAGAAATGATGAGTTTATATTAAGAAATAAGAAAGAATTCCTTAGAATATAAAAGAATTAAAGCTTAATGGAAAGAGAATTGTAAATCAGCTTATGAGATGGAAGATATCATCAAGGCTATTAATAGTTAAGATAAGAAGATATAATTCTCTTTTAAAAAGGCAAGAGAAGGAAAATTAGCATAACAATTAGACTTATTAGAATGGTATTGGCTTTGTGTTATTAAACCTTAATTAAAAATAATAATATCATTGATTTTTGGCATACTCTCTATTTTAGTATTGATTTCTGAAGTCACAATATTTATGGGTACTTAAATTACTATTTTTGGATTGCCTTTAAGATATGTAAATGGATTATTGAGTATATCCTTTTTCTCTTTTATTCCTTTATTATACATAGCTTTCTGTGTTTATTATGGTTTATTTAGAATCAGAATCTAAGGGTTTTATGGATTATATGGAGATCATTAAACAGATGCTCCTAGTTTAATGTTTGCAACTATCAATTTTAGTAGAGTTGGAGCACCATTATGTTAAAACTTTTTAAATATGATTAAATTAAAATAAGAAACTGCTTTCAGATATGCTATGGGAAATGTATTAATTATTCTTTATGTATTTTTAGATTGAATTATTACCTATATTTGGTATTAGTATTACAGCTTTGATGCCATGTTTATTAGTTGTATTGTGTTTGATTAATTACTTTGATTTATTTGATAGAACTCTATAACTTATTGGAATGAAAAAATTTATTTTTAATAATACATTTTCTGATAGACTCATTTATGAAGGAAGAGATACTCTTAAAATTAATAGATAATATTTTGAAAGAAAAATGAAACCTGAAGGATGGTCTGATTCATCTGAACCTTTAGATATTGAATTACAATCGAAATTAATTTCATGAAAATTAATGTGTATAATTAATTTATAATCTATTTTATTTTCATTTTCTCAGATAATTTATTATTTTTATCTAATTCTCTTTAGTTTTATAATTAATAGAAAATTTTTTATGTAGAGCAATTCAAAATGTTTAACTTTCAAATAAGACTCAAATTAAGTAACTTTTTTTCAATTTTGATACTTTATAATAGACTTTATTTTAGTAATTAGACTATCTTAATAAGTGATAGATTATAGAAATAATTCAATTTTATTAAAAAGATAGAATATTCTTTTTAAATCATCAAAAAAAAGTACATTTAAAGTAAGCAAAAATAACTTCATCAAAATTTGTTGATCTAAAATATGTCAAACTAAATGGTTATGGAATAAAATTAACACAAATATATATACAGTCGATTTATTATTATTAAAATTTTATCTGGTTACCCTCCACATTTTAGAGATTATAATTAAATAGAATACAAAATAACTCAAGTATTCCTAAACACATTTCATGTAAATATTTCTTGAAATAATTTTTCACAAAAAATCAAAAATATTAAATATATTAAAAAATAATATTATTATTACTGAAATTGATTAGTCAAAATTATAAATATCATAATATATATCAAGAATGTTAAATAAAAAGACATTAATAAGCACAAATAACCAATCTTATTAATTGATCATGTCTTTCCTTAAGATGGTGAAAAAATCAATGAAGTTTTTGGATGGGCTTATTCTTGTATTATTTTGAAATTTAAACTAAAATCATTATTTGTAGCCACTAGTAGCTCCAAAATTTTAAATAAAAATTTTGATTCAATATTGTTTGCTAATATCAGTAATTTAAAAAAATAAAAGGGATAGATGTTTATTTTATATAATAAAAACATAAACCTTTACTCATTAATTGACAATAAATGGATGATGTTATTACATTTAATTATTTTACATCTCTATATTCTATTAACCTTCAAAATTTATTAAGACAGGTTCAAATGTTTAAGGATTCCAATTAGATGGCTAAGGAATTGGTTAAAAGTAATTTGATGGAATTTTAAATAATAAAACTATTTAAAATGATATGATTGGTTTTTCTGAACAGCAAATACAACCTTATTATAATTAAAAAAAATGATACCTTCAAATTTCGGTATAACTTTAATATAATATTGTTAATTCACTATATNGAAAATTAATGTGTATAATTAATTTATAATCTATTTTATTTTCATTTTCTCAGATAATTTATTATTTTTATCTAATTCTCTTTAGTTTTATAATTAATAGAAAATTTTTTATGTAGAGCAATTCAAAATGTTTAACTTTCAAATAAGACTCAAATTAAGTAACTTTTTTTCAATTTTGATACTTTATAATAGACTTTATTTTAGTAATTAGACTATCTTAATAAGTGATAGATTATAGAAATAATTCAATTTTATTAAAAAGATAGAATATTCTTTTTAAATCATCAAAAAAAAGTACATTTAAAGTAAGCAAAAATAACTTCATCAAAATTTGTTGATCTAAAATATGTCAAACTAAATGGTTATGGAATAAAATTAACACAAATATATATACAGTCGATTTATTATTATTAAAATTTTATCTGGTTACCCTCCACATTTTAGAGATTATAATTAAATAGAATACAAAATAACTCAAGTATTCCTAAACACATTTCATGTAAATATTTCTTGAAATAATTTTTCACAAAAAATCAAAAATATTAAATATATTAAAAAATAATATTATTATTACTGAAATTGATTAGTCAAAATTATAAATATCATAATATATATCAAGAATGTTAAATAAAAAGACATTAATAAGCACAAATAACCAATCTTATTAATTGATCATGTCTTTCCTTAAGATGGTGAAAAAATCAATGAAGTTTTTGGATGGGCTTATTCTTGTATTATTTTGAAATTTAAACTAAAATCATTATTTGTAGCCACTAGTAGCTCCAAAATTTTAAATAAAAATTTTGATTCAATATTGTTTGCTAATATCAGTAATTTAAAAAAATAAAAGGGATAGATGTTTATTTTATATAATAAAAACATAAACCTTTACTCATTAATTGACAATAAATGGATGATGTTATTACATTTAATTATTTTACATCTCTATATTCTATTAACCTTCAAAATTTATTAAGACAGGTTCAAATGTTTAAGGATTCCAATTAGATGGCTAAGGAATTGGTTAAAAGTAATTTGATGGAATTTTAAATAATAAAACTATTTAAAATGATATGATTGGTTTTTCTGAACAGCAAATACAACCTTATTATAATTAAAAAAAATGATACCTTCAAATTTCGGTATAACTTTAATATAATATTGTTAATTCACTATATGACCATTTGTTGTAGGGGTTAATTCAATTTATGGGTTGTTTTATTTCAAGAGAGTTATTTAAACATTTCTACATTATGATCCAATTTATTAGGTTCTAGCTTAAATTCCTGGAATTCTTTGAGTTAATATTTTTTATTTTGTTTTATTTGTATAAGAATTAGCTTTCAATACTAATACTTTTTCTAATTCTATATCAAAAGATTCAATATTCAAATTACAATTCTAATTATCAATTTCAATAGTCAATTATGCTTATTCTCCTGGTAGATAATGATTCTTATCACAAAAGCTTTTAATTCTTGAACTCTTATATAAAATTAAAAAATACTCCTTTTTCAAAACAACAACAAACTTTAAGATTAGAAATTCTTTCCTATTATTAACTAATCACCATTTGCTTGATAGGTTCTCTAACGATGAATTCTTATTTATTTCTAATACTTGGTTTGTTTGGTTATGTTGTTGAAAATTTTGCTTTAACCTGATAACAAATAGAACCAAATTCATCGAAATTTTTAGAATAAAAAGAACCTGGAAGATGTAAAGGTAATTAAAATTGAAAAGGAAAAACATATTATCCTACTTATGCCACTTAATTTTAGAATGTATAGATTGGAACTGTTTAAATATAAAATTTGTTTTTCCCTCTATAAGTTCTTGTATCTTCTCCACTTCTTTCATCCCATTCAACTTTTTCTTTTCCTTTTATGGTAAGTTGAACAATATTTCCTTAATAACCTGCTTTACATATGTTTAAAAAGATATTTCCTTAAATTTAGAATAATTTATTTACCTCTTACTAAATCACCTGCAAAGTAAAATGGTTTTTCTGTTCTTACTGCAATAGCTCCATATTCAGATATTTAATTATTAGAGTTACCCATTAATTATATTAATACTGTAAATTAATAATTATTATTTCAAAAATCTAAATATTATCTTAATATCAATTTAATACTATTCTTTAATATATTACAATTTTAATACTCTGAATATCATTTAATATGAAAAAAATTTAATTTCACTAATATTTATTATATATTTATATCAAAGATGCTTCTTCTACATTAAAATCAAATGATAAATCAATTATAAATATAAAAAAAAGGAAAAATTTGAAATACTTTGCTTAAAGTGAATTTTTAATAAACTTGCTTGTTGATTGAAATTATAAATAATATTATTTTTTATTTTAATAATTCATTTCTTTTATTAAGCTTCATTTTATTTTCCATTTCTTACCTTTTTGAATTAATTTTACTAATATATTCAATATATCATGTCTATCAACAAAAATTATAAGTTTTATTTTTTGAGTCTAATTTTTAAATTTATGAATTAAATTTGCATTTTTATTGAAATTAATTTTATAATTATAATCATAATAGTTCCTCTAATATAAACAAGAGTAGAGGACAAAGATGATTTCTTGTTTTTATAAACATTAAAAATTTTAATATGATAAAAAATAAAAACTTATATTATTTGATCACATTATTAAATTTTAAATTATGTTCATTGTCTTATCTTCAATTCGTAAAAATTTTTTTAAAGTTTAATAGTTTTTTTTAATGAATACCCTATCATAGGATTTAATAAAACTATTTTAATTTTCAATTTCAGATCTTTGATATAGAATTTCAATTTCTTGAATATTTGAATTTAAACTTGAAAGTTCATTTTTTAATTAACTTTTTTATAATCTTTTCCCTAAGGTCAAGAAATTTAAAACAGAAATGCTATCCTCATTAAAAATTTCAGATGAAGACATCCTTCTGTCTGTTATAGTAATCTTTCACATTATAGACATTTTGAAGTATTTCAAGCAACCCAATATTTTTTTGACTATTAATACTCTAATAATTTTTTCATATATCATATAAAATTGAATAATGTTTTTCTTCTCTAGATTTAGAATAAAATTTTAGGCCAGAAAGAAATTTAATAGGATAAGAATAAGTCAAATATTTAAAAACATTCTCAAAATTTAACCCTTACATAATAATAATAAAACATATCTTAACATCATTTTGTTATTAAATCATCATGTAACATAAATCTCTTCATTAATATTTACTTGTAATTAGGATATTATTCTAAATATGAATTTGATATTCTTTCAAAACATTCATCTTCCTAATGGTATTTAACTTCAAAATTAAATGTCTTTCTTTTGTTTCCAACAATTTTAATATAATATATGAATATAATTTAAACTAATTCTTTAAGTTCCATTCTATTCACATATAGAACATATTATATTATTATGATATATCACTTTAGATTCATTAAAAATTCCTTATTCTTAAACTTAAATCTTCATTTTATCAGACTCGTTATCTAAGAACAATTTTTAATAAATGATCTATTCTTCAAATTTAAAAAAGTTTAATATCTAGATATCAATACTTAAATAAATTTAAAACTATTAAAGATATTTCTCCAATCTTATCTTTTATTTGATCTAAACCTGGATAAGATTTCTTTATAAAGTTCATTTTAACCTAATAATGTTTCATTTTTTTAGAAATCAATAGTTTATATTTCCTCTAATTCTGAATTATATTGCTAATCATAACAACAGTTTATTAGTAGCAATAAAATATTTATTTAAACTAATAATTATGCTTGTATAGGATATTGAAAAAATCAGTTATATGGTCTTATTTTTTAAATTCAAATTCGATTAATAATTTTAAAAGAGATGTGTGATAAATTGTTATTAAGAATACTATAATTTATATTTTATATTTTTTTGATTTTAAAATAATTGTAGTTTATCGAAAATTGAATCAGGAATATATTATTAATAAGAAAATCGCTTTATGAAATATCTAATACGATATAGAAACTTAATTCAATATCTTCTGCTTCCCAATGTTTTTATTAATTGTTAAATTTGAACTTATTAGGCGTTAAAATAAAAGTTATCTTTGTTTCTTGTAGTGTAATCATTTTAGGTTTTTATATAGTTTCTATTTGTAGGTTATTGAATTAAATTTTCCAAAGAATCGTATCTTTTTATTGATTATAATTCATTTAATCTTAAATTAGTTGTCTCTCTTTTTTTTCTATTTTACATTTAACCTAAATATGTTTGAGAAATTGGTAAATTAGAATGAATTTCTGCTAAAGATCCTCTTTTTGAATTTATTTATAGTTATTATTAAGTTTATGATAATGTAGATATAAATAAAGTAGGAGTTTTAGTATTTTTTTATCTCAGTTATTAAAGTTCTACATTTCTAAGTTTAAGATTATTTTAATATTCAACTTAATTTTCCTTAAAACTAAAATCTTCAATAATAATGAGAGAATCTATTAAATCTGACTCTTAAGTTCTTTATCTTTTTGGTGTGTTGTTCATTAATAACATAAAGGAATAATATTTATTTGAAATTAAATATAACAATCCAAAAATTATCAAATAAATAAAAATCAACAAGAAAAGTAGTTAAAGTAATAATAATTAAATTATGCTACAATTTAAGTGAAATCATAAAGTTATCAATAGCATTATTAAAATTTATAAATTATAAAGCTAAAAAACTAGTATGAAAAATAGTATAAAGAATTAAAATAAAAGAGAGTTTGAACCTTAACAAATTGAAGAAATCAAATTGATTGATATATATGGTAATAATAAATTTAATGTAGAATGTATGAATGATTCAGATATTGAATAATCTAGTGTGATTATTAAACTAGAAGATTTATTAATAGAAAGCTAATAAGGAGTTTTACTTAGTTTTGTGTCTTTATATTTAAAATTAGTTGGAATGAACTATTGCAATCAATATTTAAAGGGATTATGCCTTAAAACTCTTAACTTGGAAGAAATAATAAATAAACTAGAATGTCTTTAACTTGAAAATTAGTCCAATTTAATTGATGAATAATAATGTTAATAAATTGAAAATAATAAGTTATTAAAGTCATTTTTTGATACCTTATTTTCAACCCAAACTTAATTACCATTCTAATGTGAAGGCTTTTTCAAATATACATATAATTGGCTTACAATAATATCTTAAACAAAATTTCGAACTGCAAGATTAGCAGCTTTAGAAGTGATAGATTTAATAATTTATTCTATTTCTCATTACTTACAATTTATAAGTAAAATATTAGTATTATAATTAGAAAATGAATAAGATTTAAAAGAATCAACTAAATTTATAAACAATATATTTGAATATTTAGTAACAAATAGAGCCTAAGATGTTTAAACTATAATTAAAAAAAAAACTGTACAAATTCTGTTTCATGCATTTTTAAATCAAGATATCCCAATAGACCCATATTATAGTTATTTAGGTTGTTTATTTTTAAGTGAAAATCATGAATGTAGAGAAGCTGCTTTGAATGAATTAGACAAAATTTTAAAATCTTTGATTGACAGTAAAAAATCTTTATAGAAAATAATTAATTTTGTATAAGATGAACAAGAGGCTGTGATGAGTTTAATATTTGATCAAAATGAAAGTATACAATTAAAATTAATCAACTTCTTAAAGGTAAAATTTATTAAATTATAAAATTTTAGCTATTCTCAAAAAATGCAAATGTTGTGAGTAATTTTTTTAAAACCAAAACATGTTAAGCTTTTATTAGAATTTTGTTTGCAAAAAATTTAAGAGTACGATATGAATCTACTTTTGTCTTGCATTTATTTGAAAAGCCAATAACAACTGTATTTAAATTGACAGAATTTTATTTAACCTATGCACCATTTGAAATTTAAACCTACGAAGAAAGCTAAAATTTTATATTTTCATTTGTTCATAGTCACCCTTTTGTTTGTTCACCAGAGCAATATTCTTCATTTTTTGAAGTTGATTAATAGGAATAATTTTAAATAATGGGTTATTATTTTTATGCTTCCATTTTATAATATCAGCTTAAATAGAATAAATTTTGGTGGTTAGAAACAAAGGAAGAAGATTCTAGTTATATAGATTAATTTACAAATTATTTCTTTACAAAAACAAAAGCTTCTATTGATTTGATCGATGAGGTATTTATATTATAATATAAATTTATAGAATATACTTTTTCCTTATTTACAAATCTATTAAAATTTAAATTCAAAGATAATCCCAATTAAAGAAATGAAAGCAATTCTTATAAGTGTATAAAAGATTTTTCAAAAAAGTCAAAATATATAAATAATTAATTAAGTATGCAAAATAATGTTTATATATCAATAATAATTGTCGGATTCAGAAGGAGTCAAAGATTGCATAAAGGAATTAATTAAATACGGAATAAAAGTATATAAGGAAAAATTAAATTTTTTAAATATTTAGAAAATAGAATGTTTAATAAAGTAAAATTTGGTATTTCCTAAATAAATCTTAAATCCTATAAGTTCTATTTTCGAAATTAGAGATGAAAAATCTTTGATAATTAATGCAAATATATTAGCTAGTTCTCTTTAAAATTAGATAAGAAATTTATTAAATTCAAATAAGCCTTAAGAAAATGATCATGAAGCTAACTACAAAGAAATAAGGGATCTATTTTATAATTATTGCTTTTAAATTTTAGAAAACAAAAATAAGGATCAATATCACATAACAATTTTATAACTAGTTATTAATAATTTAATTTATACAAATAATTTTAAATTGTACAGATTAAACTTATAATATAACATTTCATCTTAAACTTATTAATTGATATATATCCATTTTCATAATTATGTACTAACTGAATTATCTAGATAGGCAAAATTAGAAAAAGAAAAATAAAATGATTTAAAAAAAAAGAAAAGCAATACTTTAATTGATAATTTACCATAAATAAGTAATATGTAAATGGAATTATTTAACAACTCAATAAAATTAATGAATCAATGTCCATCAATACTGATTAATAAAGAATTTGGTATATAATATCTATCTTATTTATTTGAATTGATGAAATCTAGTTGTTACTTTAATAATTTAAAACCAACAATTTTAACATCTATTTCACAAGCTTTATAAAAAGTATTAGAAAGTGATCATTATTTAAAAAAAGAAGAATTTTGGAAATTCATTGTTGATTATACCTAAATTTAATTATAATCTTAAAGTGAAGATCTTTTTAATGAATTTGTTAAACTATGTATCAATTCATATATAGGATCAGTTAATAAATTAAATGTTAATGAAAAGAGGATGAATTTTATCAATAAATGTGCTGAAATGATTTAATTAGGATTTTAAGATATTTCAAATATATATTTGTTTGGTTTATTAAGCCATATATTTCATAAGCCAACAAAATTGTTGAAAACACTCTAAATAGATAAATTAACGTATTAAAAATTTTATGCATTTTATGAATCAAAGAGTTCAGAATATCATTAAAGTAGTAAATAAATGGAAGAGAAAAAAGAAATATTAAAATCAGAATAATAACTTAGGATAAGATTAAAATAACAAACTGGATTAACAACTAAAGAGATTAACAAAATAGTTAATAGAGTATCAAAAAGCCCATAAAAACTTGATGTAGTTTAAAAATGTGTAATAGATAATAGTCAGGTAAGCAATAGTAAGGAGAAAAATTAATAAATTTCTGATGAAGAAATGGAAATTCCTTTTTCAAAATAGAAAGCATCATAATGATTTTTCGATTATTCACTCTTATATATTAAAAATTAAATTAAATAAATGTGTTCAAGAGGCATATTTTAATTAAAATTCCTTCAAATATTTTATTGTGATTATGGAGGAAGCTCTGCAAAAATAAGACTTTTCTTGCCAACTTTGATTGAGCATCCTTTATTGAATTAACCTAAAATAAACCTTCAAATGTATATGAAGAGAAACTCTCATCCTTATTTAAATGGAATATATGTAAATGGATATTAGAAATAAATATCATTAAAAGATTTAGAAGATGATCAATAAATATTAGATAGAATTGCTTTATTGAGAAATTCATGTATAAATTTTAAAAGAATATAAAATAGTTGGCTCATAAAGTTTAAGACATGCTGGAAGAAAAGTGACAACACTAACGCCATCAATATAAGGTGGTTGGAATGAGAATTTATTTAAGACTAATATTTATCCAAGACATTAAATGGAAATAGCTAGGACATATCCAGCTGTTGAAGCTCCAGATGCTAGAATTATTCCAAGGGATAAACCAATAGATGTTTATAAGAAATAAGCTGATCCATATTAATTAATCTAAAAGCCAAGATTAGGAGTTAAGAAAGCATCAAATATTTGATAATAATATTAAATGTTAAATTTATTGCAAATAAACTAGCAATTCTAAACTAAATTATATTCACCATATAAAAAAGAGAAAATAGAACAAATAGTTCAAAAACTCAAAGATAAAACTATCATTATTGAAAACATATGTGTAACTTAATTATTAACTTGTTTAAACTAGTTATAGTTAATTCTAAGTCTATAAACGTATATCTAATAGATATTGATAGTAATCAGTACTTAAAGCTTATTATAAGAACACCAAATGTAATTAAATTTGATTGCAATATTTCAATATTCCAAGAGATTTTAGAAAATAATTGTGAAAAAGATATTTTTATAGAAAAGCTTTAATATTTAGAATATTTAGATGTCAAAATATTAAGTAATGGCAATAAATAACTTTAATTGAATCCTAATTTTGGAATTATAGAAAAATTAGCAACACCATTTCAGACTCCAAATCTGGATGAATTATTAGCACAATTTCTTAAAAATTAGGATATATAAATTTAGTTGTTCATAAAATTATATTGCATTATTAGTATTTTATAATGCTAATTTAATTAAATAATAATAAACTAAATAAATTTGCATTTAGAAGATTAAGATATAGAAGAACCAATAAAAAATCGAGTTTATCTAACAAATTTATAAATAATATATTAAACATAAAAATAAGAAAAAGATTAAATGGAAGTAAAACCTATTAACTATCAATATTAATATAATAAATTACTAATTTATTAATAAGCAGAAAACAATTTAATAACTAGAGCATTTGATCTTTTAGATAACACAATGTATCCAAAAAGAAAAAGAAGTTTTGAAAAAGATAAAGAATCTGCTTATTAAAATTTTTCTTAGAAAAATCAATTTGAAATGTCGATGGATATTTTTAGAGTAGATCCTTACATGTCATATTAAGCGTTATTTTCAGAAGTAGCACCACCTTAATAATCTCCAGTATTAACACATGTATCGACATTCCCAAAACCTAATAGTATGTGTTTATCTCCAACAAACTCAGATAGTCATAGTTTTACATCACAAAAGAATAAAGGATTCAATTGTTAGTTTAGTTAAGTTTATTAACATTTAATTGATTAAAATTAATATGCTTAAATTAGCTAACAAAATATTGATGCTTAAATTAGATAAAGAAAAATGTTAATAAATGAATAATAAAATCAAAGAGTATCTAGAAGCAAATCAAATTCAACTGTCATAATGCCTGATATATTTAAGTAAATTTGTTTAGATAGTGGTAAAAATGATGAAAAAAACGACGAAAAATAAAAATAGAAGGTAACGAAGAAAACTTTAAATTTAAATCAGAATCCAAAAAAATGTATATAAAATAAATAATATATAAATAAATGAAATATTATTACAAAATATCTAACTGAAAATAATCTATAAAGATTAATTTCAGAAATAATGAGTTTAATTAGGACTCTTGTAATGCAATAGGAAAAGATATCGATACAGTATTGAATTTAATAATAATATAATGATAATCATTCTTATCTGATTCTTTTTCCTTCAACCCATTCAGCTTCAACTTCTCTTTAATCTTTATCAACTAGAATACCTTTGCCATGTTATTTTCCATCTTTCCAATAACCTTTATATTATTTTCCATCAGACCATTTAAATATTCCATAGCCTTCTTTTTTATCTTCCACATAATCCCCTAAAATATGAATAAATATAATACCACTATATTATTTTCCATCTGGCCAATTAAAATCTCCTTTTCCGTGCATTTTATTATTTTACCATTATCCTTTATATTTTCTTCCATCAGCCCATATATATTCACCATGTCCTAAAGATTTAAACAATAAAAATACCTTCAATATTATTATCTCTAAAATCTCCTTCATAAGTAGCTCCATCACTCCATTTAAATTTACCTTTTCCATCTTTTTTACCATTAACATAACTTCCTATATATTAAGCACCATCTGGCCACATTTCAGTTCCTTTACCATGTTATTAATCTTCTAACCAATCTCCTTCATATTTAGCTCCATCAACATGATAATAAGTTCCTTATCCTTAAGCTCTATCATCTACCCAATCACCATCCTATATTTATATAATATCTTATTACATAAGCATCACCATCAGCATGAATCAATCTACCTTTTCCATTAGCTGTGTGACTACTCCAAAATCCTTCATAAATAGATCCATCTGGCCAGTATTATTTTCCTCTTCCCCACCTTTAATGATTTTTCCATTAACCTACATATATAGCTCCATTCTCAAATTACTATTAGTTAACAACTTGTATTTACATAAGGTTCCAATTCAATACAATCATTAAACTTTGAAAACGATTCAGAATCGTAATGATATTCTCCAAGTTTTTCTAGAGTCTTACGTACCATTTCATTTTCTATTGTTGGTATTTTTTCATATGGTTTTGCATCTTCTGGGTTAGGACCATGAGAACTTATTTGTTGTCTCTGTTTTTCTCTAGAAGCCTAAAATATAAATTTATAATACATCATCTGGTGGATTTCCTGGAGCTGGTTCCTCAACTGGAATATAAGGTGGCTCTTCAACCAGTTTCACATGTTCTAGTTCCTCGTTTTAATTATTTGCTTCTTTAGGTTTCTCTATATCAATGTGTTGATTGAACTCCTCAGGAGCAGCATTCAATATTTCCGTATTTGCTATTTGTTTTGCAGCACAACATGTAGCTCCCATTACTTTAATATTTTTTTTAATAATATTAATTTATCTAAAGAAATTAAATAACACTCTTAAATTGTTATAATTACAAAAACTTTATCAGATCTTATTACTTTTTTTACCTTGTAAATACAAACTATAAAAAATTGAACTTTTATCATTTAATAAATTTTAAGGCTCATCAAATTCTTTCGCCTCTCCTTGATCAATCACTAATATTCTTATTTTATTAATAATATATTATACTTATCACTATGCATTATAGTATTAATTCTGTGAGCAATCGTTATTACTGTGCATTTTTTAAAAGCTGTTTAAATTGTCTGTTAGATTTTTGATTCTGTATCTACATCTATATTAGCAGTTGCTTCATCTATTAAAATTATCTAAGACTATTTCAAAACTGCCCTTGCTATGGAAATCAGTTATTTTTCACCAGCACTCAAGTTATCCCCATTTTCTTATATTTCAGTATTTAAACCATTTTTTTATAATAACAAATCTCCCAAACAACATTATAAAGCTACATCATTAAGTTCTTAATCTGTATGTTAATGAAGAGGATCAAGATTTTCTCTTAAAGTTCCTTCAAATAGAGTTGAATCTTATAAAATCATTGTGATGGATTCTCTTAGTTATTTTAAATTTAAGGTTGATATATCAACTCCATCAATTATAATAGAACCATCTGTAGCTTCAAGAATTCTTAGAAGAGATAAAGTGACAGTTGATTTTCCAGCTCCAGTTCTACCAACTACTCCAATCTTTTCTTATCTTTTTATTACAACATTTAGACCTTTTAAAGCTGGTTATAGATTTTCTCTATACTTCACAACTAATGAATCTATTTGTATATCTCCAACTTAAGGCCAATTCAAGACATAATCTTTTTTTTGTTTATATCCATTTTCATGTTCAATTTTAGCAAATGCTAGACATCTTTCAAATGATATGAATTAAGTTTCAGCTTATGTTATTGAATTAATTGCTGATTACAAACTATTATCAATTACTGTTGCTACTGTCATTAACAAACCAGCTAATGCAGGATTATCACTTCCAAAAAATAATACAAATGCTATAGCAGAGATATTTACTATAAAACTTGTAAATGTTAAATTCATTGAAAACCATGTCGTCGTTTACAATTAAACTATTTGAATTTTTCTATTTAAATCTATATTTTTAGTATGTCTTTCTAAAAATTACTCTTATTTTCTGAAAGCTCTTATAATATTCAATCCATTAACTGTTTCTGAAAAAAAACTAAGGATTGGACTTTTACTAATTGATTCTAATCTATATAGTTCTCTATTTGCTGCCATATAAAATCTTTAAACTTTCCACACAGCATATAAAAATAAGAGAACAGGAAATATAATATAATAGGAACTACTTATAACATTAATAAGTGTGCTAGCTAGTAATAATTAATAATTGAAATACCAATAAAATTTGTACAACTAATATACAAAATTGAAATCGTCCATAAAATTTCAGTATCTATAACTGATTAATCTTTAGTTAATCGATTCATTAATACTCCTAATGGAATTCTTTCAAAAAATTAACAAAGTGGTGCATAAAGTAATGATCTATAAAGAATATAATAATAATTACTCAATCATTCGAGAATGTACTTTGTTTGCAATATTAATACTTTCTCTAGAAAGAGTTAAAATGCGAATTAAAGCAAAAAAGCCAAAACTCAAAGAAAAGAATGAAAAAATCATAAGATTATGTTAATTATCATCGTATGTTAAGTCGGATTATCCAGACCATTAAGCTAACCATATTTATGATCCAAATCTAGCAACAACTTAAATTATGACAATAATTAAATTAAAACTAAAGAATAGATAACCTCCACTCATATGAAAATATTCTTTGAATACATCCATTTAAACACTTCCAACTTTTCTATCTTCTAAAATCATTAAATCATCTACTATATCTTTTTTAGTATTATCAATTTATTGAGTAGATGATTTTTTTTTTTTTTATAATTTTAGATTTTCTAATTATTCATCTTAATCATCTTCCTCTTCATTTTTATGTTCTTTGAAATATTTTTAATATATTTATTCAAATTTTTCACATTATTTTATATCTTCAATTGTGCCTTCCTTTATAATTTATCCATTATCCATTAAAATTATTCTATCAGCATATTGACAAGAATAAAGTGCATGAGTAATTAAAACAATAGTTTTACCATTTAAATATTCACATAAACATTTTTCTATAATAAATTTACCAACATGCATATCAACTGCACTTATTAAATCATCTAACAAATAGATATCAGAATCACTATATAATGCTCTGGCAAGACTAACTCTAGCCTTTTATCCTCCACTTAAATTAACTCCTTTTTCTCCTATCATAGTGGCTTCCCCTTTATCTAAAATTTTTATATCTTATTCAAGACAAGAATATATTAAAGCATTCTAATATTTCTTTTCATCATAAGGAAGACCAAATACTATATTATCTTTCAAAGTTGCGTTTTATATCCAACTTTTCTAACTTACATATGCAATGTTTCCATTTATCTTTATTGTTGGTGGCCATCTAGAAACATTATAAACCATATCTCCTAATATTGCACTTATTAATGAACTTTTACCACTTGCAACACTATTTAATATTAATTATTTATTACTCTCCTATTATTGTAACAAATTCTCCAATGTCTATTTTTAATTTTATATTTTTTAATATTGGTTCAATTACTTAATTCTCAGGTATAACATCAGTAGATTTGTTTGGCTTTTCTTAATTTCGAACTTTGTCCCAATAGAAAGTTCCTTCTATATCAATTGAATCTCCAAGAATATCATTTACATTTTATATGCAATCATTCATCAACTCATCTGTTAATAAATAATTTTAGATTCTTTTAATACTTATATTTGCTTCTATTATTTAATTAATGAATCTTGGTAAACCAATAGCTGATTATTACAATATACTAAATAAACTAATTATAGAAAATGTTTCAGCAGGTGTTAAATTATGTTATAACCATATATAAACAGCTAAAGTAATATTTAATGTTATTTATGGTGTCATTAAAAATGCAAATGTAAATAAACCAGTCACAATATTCTTCTTATTAATCGATTCAATTTCCTTTTTTCTAAATTCAAATAACTTATTTTTGAAATATTCTTCAAAAGCATTTGCTTTTATAAATTTAATCTATGAAAATATTTCATGTGCTTATTTTGTTCTTTTATCTTTTGCAACCATAACTTATTTTTAGAGTTTCCAACCCCATCTTCCAAGCAAAAAATTAGCAAGCAATCCTAAAATCATTACACCTAAACCTGCTAAACATGATACCCCTATAAAATCAAAAAGTAAATAAAAGGATATCCCAATTTAAAATGGTAGAAATATTACCTAAGATACTGCAATATTTAAATTCAATATTCTTTATAAATCTACTTGCATTATATTTATTATTTCTCCTGCTTTGTATTGTTTATTACTTTAAAAAGACACATTCAAGGTTTTTTTCATTATAAAAACACTCACTGCTGAATGCTAATCACATGATAATTTTCTCTAAATTTTAATATTATCTAAATTACCAACATATAGTAACTATTCTAATACGACAAAGCATTAAAAAATCTCACTGCCATTATTATTCCCAACCATTCAAAACTTTTACCTAAGGTATGTTCAGAATAGTCAATATAAGAGAGAGTTTAACGAATCATTATAGGACCATACATTAAAGAAACATTCCATAGTAATACTACGATGAAAACTATAACAAATTGTTCTATGTTTACTATTACGAAAATACTTTTAAATGTTATAAAAAGAGATTTGTAAAGTGCAAATCGACTATTTTTTTAAAGTTAAAATGTTTAATTCATTCTTTTAAACAATGATTCACTTTAATCATCTACATTTAAGTCTTCAATCATATCAAATTCCAATGGAGTTTTGTTAGCTTTTCTGAGTAAAGGAAACACATAAAGAAAAAAAACTTTAGATATAAACCCTGGAGGTCGGGAATTTGTAATTTTAAGAAGAGGCTCTTCTTATGACATTTTTATTATATATTTATTTAAATACACCAAATTTAGAAATATCCCACAAACATTAATATGGAATATTTTCAATAATTACAAAATACATCATTAAAGCAATTATTCAATAAAATCTGAAAATACTGATAATTACTTAGCAACTAATGTAAAAAATTTCTTTTATATTTTTTAATTCTTCAATTTTATAGGAATTATCATTAATTCCTACGATGAAATCAAGGAAATGTTTCTCTAAAAATTCAATTTTCTAATTTAATCAGGAAAAAATCTTAGAATTCTTTTTTTCTTCATGAAAATTGTTCAAAAGTGATTAATACTATTTTGAATAAAAATCTAGTTATTATTATAGGATTGTCTAAAGAATCCTTAATTATTAATGATTTATTAACTTGTTTGAAATTTAAATAAATTAGGTTTTTATCATAATAATGATTAAATATACAAAATTTAAGAGAAGAGAATATTCTTTTCTCTGATATTAGTAAAATTTTCAATATGATTTAAGTTATGCAAAAATTTATTTATTAGTTCTTTAAGTGAATATTTTAGTGATTTACCTTCATATTGTAATTATGAATTCATAAGGTAATTAATTTAAATATCAGAAAATAAAGAAATGTTTTCATTTTTAGTGAAGAAGATAGGGATGTTAAATTAGGGAAAAGTGCATAGCATAGCATGGAGTTAAGAGGAAGGATGGATAGCAATAGGAGGAGAGTAAATAAAATTATTAAAATAGACATGCGCCATCAGGTTAGAAGAAAGGTTTATTGAAAATAATAAAGTTGGATGATTAAAAAGCTGGTATTCAAGGATAGGTAAGAGTTAATATAATTTTGTATAGCAAGCGAAATTACCATATGAAGTGGCATTAGAATAACATATGGGGAAAGTGAATATAATAATTTGGAATGAGAGATATTAGAAATTGACAACTTGTGATGATTAAGGATAGATAATAGTTTGGATAAATTTGGGAGTAATAAATGATTCTATATAAATAGAATGAATGGATGGAAGAAATGGTTAACAATAGATAGAAATCAAATGTAACTGATATGAAATGGTCACCTGATGGATTTAAGATTGGAATTATCTATGAAGATGGAGCAGTAATAGTAGGTTCAGTTGAGGGTAATAGATTATGGGGCAAAGATTATCAATATAGGTTAGGATTGATTGAATGGTCACCTGATTCAAAATTGATGATATTAGGAACAGCTGATGGATAAGTGATTATACATGATTAGAATGGAAATCAATTGAATTCATTAAAAATGAGTTGTTTAATGGGATTAGTTGATCCCAAAAATTACTTTACTCCTAATTAATAGATAGCAGCAGTACAATGGTATGAGTATGGGAAAATGTATACTGATGAGACACCTCCTGGATTGTTAATGGCTTATACATGTGGTAGAGTGTAATTAATGAAGAATGATAAGGATGAATCACCAATTTTGATAGATACAGTAATGACTATTACATCAGTGAGATGGAGTCCAAATGGTTCTATGTTTGCTGTGGCTGGTAGTGCTAAGGATAAAGATGAATAAAGAGCAGTTGTTTAGTTCTATTCAAACATGGGTGATCATCTTAAAACTTTGAGAGTAGCAAACACTGATAAAGTCAATAGTCTAAGTTTTGAAGGGGATGGACTAAGATTGGTTATGGGAGTTGGCACTACTGTTTATGTTGCCAATTTAAAACTAGATTATAAATGGGCTTATTTATCATAATCTGAGACTCTTATCTTTGCTTATCAAAGGTAAGATAGAATGGAATTTACCATAATCTTTTGGGATACTAAAAGAGAATCAAAAACAATCAGATATTTGAGAGGATTACTTGATATCAAAGGATCTAGTGATTGTTGTGTTTTAATCAGTCTTGTAGAATAAGACACATGGAAGGTAGAACTCTGCAATTCTATTGGTAGTCCATTAGATACTAAATACATATCTATTGAACCTAAATATAGTTGTATGACTAAAACTCATATTATAATTGCCAATAGTGATTATGTATATTTATGGTAATACAGAAATTAAGTCTAAAGATTGACCACCTTTGATTCTAATTCTAATACTGGTATCAGAAAAATTGGTAAAGAAATGGCTTGGTTTATTGATGAAAATCCAGACACTCAAGTTATATATGATAAAGATACATTTAACTTAGAGAAACAAACTGAAGAAACCATTTGTGCAATATAGGCTAATGAAAATTATTTGTTTATTGGAAGAATTAATGGCAATATTCTAAAATTTACTTTACCTTATGTTAGTGTAGAACCTAAATTCTTTCTAGAAAATAGAGCCAATATCATTAATATCAATTGTAATTCCACTAGACTATCTATAATTGATGTCATGGGAACTTTATAGTTATTAGATATTTCAGTAAATGGAGGAAAGATATTAGATTTTGATAAAAAAGAATGTTGGTAAGTTGTTTGGTCTGATAATGATCCACTTTAATTTGCAGTAATGGAAAAAGGTAGAATTCATCTAGTTAGAGATATTACTGCAGATGATCCTCTTCCTTGTGATGCTTTCTTATGCACGTAAATATTATTATTTAAATTAGATTTTCAGAACTTACTGTTAAAGGAGCATTATTAGATGATATAATGTTAAGTCCAGATGGTCAATTAAGAGCTGATGAATTACTTGTATAGTATGAAAGTAGACTATTTAAAGAAATTAAGGAGTCAATCGATAAAACTCCACCAAAAGAAATGTTTGGAATCATTGAAAAATAACCAGTAATTATTTATTTTTTATTTTAATAGTCTAATACTTTATGGAATCTATTAGCTTAAAAAGCACTTGAAGAATTGGATTTCTAAATTGCTGAAAAGTGTTACTTGAAACTAGAAGATTATGCTGGATTATAATTTATAAAGAGAATATTGGACTACGATGAAAAGGAAAAATAAAAGGCTGAAGTTTTTGTGTTTTTGAAAAGATTTGATGAAGCTGAGAAAATTTTAAGAGAGATAGAAAGAAAAGATCTAGCTGTTTAAATGAGAATGAAAACTGGTGATTATTAAAGAGTTTTATTTTTATCAAAAGATGTTGTAGGATCAGATGAAGTTATAGTGCAAACTCAAAATAAATTGGGAAATTATTTTTGTGATCAAGGGGAGTGGGAAAAAGCTTAACAATAATTTAAATTATCAAATAATGTTGAAAAATTAATAGAAACCTCATTCATGATTGAAGATTATTAAACATTGGAAGAATTAGCAAATTCATTATAAGAAGGTAATGCAGTATTATGTGATTTGGGTGAAAGATTCTAATTATTAGGAATGGCAAAGAGTGCAATAAAATGTTTTGAGAAAGCAGGAGATATAAAAAAAGCAATAGATTGTGCTGTTCTTTTGAATGCTTGGAACTTTGCTGTTGAGTTAGCTGAAAGACATAATTTTGTATAGATTGAAGGATTGTTATAATAATATGCTGCATAATTATTAGAATAAAGAATGAAATTAGAAGCAGCCGAATTATATAGAAAAGCTAATCATAATTCAGATGCAGCACGTTTATTATAATAAATTGGTGAAGATCTTATAAAAAGTGATTAAAGTCCATTGATAGTTAAAAAATTGTTTGTAATGGCTGCCTTGGAAGTTGACTTATATAAAAAGAAATTGTATGATGTTACTATGACTGCTTAAAATAATACAATAGCTCATACTTTAGATTAATTAGTTACAAATGATTTAAATCATTCAGCAGATAAAGTACTTAATAATCCCTGGAGATAAGCAGAAGCTTGGCATTTTTATATTTTAACTCAGAAATTCTTATATTCTGGAAATTACAAATATGCATTGTATCTTAAAAATTATTAAATGTAGAAAATCTGCAATAAGACTATGTGAATTTGAATTAGATATGGATCCAAAAAAGATTTATTCATTGTTAGCACTTGCAGCTTATTATAATAAATCATATAAAGAATGTGCTAGAGCCTTTGTAAAATTAGAAAACTTAGACAATATTACTGAAGATGAAAGAGAGAGATACCAATCAGTAGCAGCACAAATATTTGTAAAGTAAAATAAGATCATAATATTTTAGGCATGCACCAGAAGATGCTTTATGTGATGCTATTCAATGTCCTAAACCTAGTTGTGGTAATAAGAAAATCACTGAATAGTAACTAATATTAATAATTTTAGTTAATTATTCTGTAAAGAATGTGGAACTATTTTTGGAGTTTGTGTGGCATCTGGAAAATCAATATATGGTCAGAAATTTTATACTTGTAAGGCTTGCAAACATAAAATGATTGACCAAGAAGTTTAAAATTAAGCATTAAAATTTTGTTCCCTTTGCCATACACCAATAGATTTTAATAGATTTGGAAAACATGGAGAAAAATAATTATGAATTAATAATAATAATATCATTTTTATAGTATTTGTAATCATGGGCTTGACTATTAATAAAAATTAAATAGATGAAGAAAAACTTCAAAAGAGTAAAATAGAATCAAAAGAATATTTGGAATAATAGGAAAAAAAGACATAATTGGAATTATAGGAATAGAAAGAAAACACATTTTATAGAAATGATGACTTTGGTTATTAATATTTATAAGAAGTTAAATAATGGAAATCAAGATAAGAATAAATTGAGTTTGCAAACCAATAATATACAAAAATTAATCAAAAGTATGAATTTTTTGTTCTACTTAATATAGAGAAAAAGTAAATATATAAGAATAAAAGAAAAACACATTTTAGACTGGAGAAGATTTGGATTATTTTTTAGATGAAGCTAAATAATGGAATAAAAGATAAGAATAAATTCAGATTATTTAGTAGTATGAAATAATTTATATTCTATAAAGACAATAATTCTAACATAATGTATATGAATAAAATTAAATGAACCTTCATGGATAGAATTAAAGATCTTCCTAATAATCATAAATTATACATATTGAATCAAATAGAATAGAAAATACAAATAATTAAGTAAATTAAAATAATTAATTTTTTAAAAGGAGTCGGATTAATTTTTTACTATGATATAAGGATCCTCTCCCATTTTTCCTTTAGAGCTAACACAAACTTAAAATTATTAGTCAGACTAATTAGTTAAGGAATCAATCATTGATAAATTACCTAAATAATTAAAAGAATTATATGATTAATATGGTCCATATAAACCTCCTGATTAATAAATCCAATTTGATTTAGAACCTGTATTAATTAATTTGAATGATAAATCTTATTATTTTGGAAAAATGTAAAATAATATGAAAGAAGGATATGGATATCATTTGACTGATAGTGAATTTTATGAAGGAAATTTTGAGAATAATGAAAGAAAAGGCTGGGGAAGAGTAATAAATTAGTTAGGATATAAGGTTCTATATTAATTAATTCATATCTTAGATTGGTTATTGGTAAGATGATTAAATCTAAAAAGAAATGGAGATAAAATAAGAGAATTATTCCTATAAAGGTTAATGTCAAGATTCAATTCCTCATGGCTATGGTGAATTAGACAAACCAGATTATATTTATAAAGGATTTTTTCATTATGGAAAAAGATAAGGAAAAGGTATAAATGAGTTAAAAAGTCACTAAGAGAGATATGAAGGAGAATTTTTTGATGATAAATTTCATGGGTAAGGAATTTAGTATTAAACAAATGGTAAAAAATATTAGGGAAATTTTAAAAATAATAAATGGGATGGTTTAGGTGAGCTACATTGGCCATCGCCAGAAAATAAATATTACAAAGGTATAAATTTTAATGTATAGTTTTAGGAAATTTTGTTAATGGCCAAAGAGAAGGATAAGGATATTTTAGAGATTCTGATAATTCAGAATATGATGGTTAATGGGAGAATGACAAAAAAAATGGTTTAGGAAAATTTATTAAGGGTGGGATTGAAATTTCTGGAAAATGGAAAGATGAAGTATTACTTGAGGATGAAAATTAATGATTACTTTCAGAATCTAAATATAATCGATATTATTAATAAACTTTAATTTTAGTTTACAAATTATTTATTAATATATATTTATATCTATGTTAATAATTATTTTTAGATAAATTAGATTGAAAAACTTTTAATCTTGAACCAAACCTTTACTTAATTAATATCAAAAACAACTTATTCTCTTAGATATAGTTAGAGAAACTGAAATAAATCAACTTACTATTTTTACATTATTGAATCTCACAATTATTATCCAAAATAGGATATTTTTTAAGAGTTCCTACTTTTGAATAAGAAATATAGTTATGTATTTTCTTTGAAAATGAAGAATTAAAGATTTCATTTCCAAATATAAGTCATTGATCTCATAAATAAAAAAAGATATTAAAATGTTGCTTAATCTATGAACATATCTATAAAAAAAAGAATAATTCTATTTGATATGATAATTTTATTCGATTATTTAATTAATATCAATTTAAATCTTTTAATAATTATTGCTTCAGTATATCAATTAAATCAATAAAATTTTGTTAAATCCATTAGGACAGTAGATAAAATTCTTTTGAATTTAATATTATTTGAATTTTTGTTATATGGGATATATATTTATATATAATAAAAATGCAAAGTGAATAAAATTAAGAAGATTAGGAATAAATAAACTAAGCTACAGAGCCTAAAAAATATGAATTTAAGTATCTTTTTATTTTAGAAAAAGAGATTTGGTGTTCATAAGAATTAAAAGGATTTAAAGTTATAGCAATAATTAAATGTAAATGGAGGTGATGTATTTTCTGTAAGATACGATCAAGATGATCAAAATCTAGCTATAGGTATGTCAGAAGGATTAATACATCTTTTTAATTAGAGTAATAAGATGATTTATAAAAATAGATAAACTAATTCATACATTAGAGTAATTCTAAACACCAGTAACAGCTTTAAGATGGAGACCAAATTATGGTTTAAAGGCAAAAGGGATATTAGTATCAGCAAATGCAGAAGGACACATTATTCATTGGCATGCTCATTCAGGAAAACAATTACATAAAATTGTAGAAGAGAATAACAGTGTATTATGTTTAGACTTCAATTTTGATGGCAGTTTATTCGCAACTGGTGGTAAAGATTTTTGTGTTAGAATTTATGATGATGATATAAAGAGTGTATAGCATAAATTCTAATAAGCAGATTGGTATATGATATTGAAATTATAAGGGGTTAGAGAGGTCATGCTAATAGAGTATTTGTTGTTAAATTTATACCAGATTAACCTAATATTCTTATATCAGGGGGTTGGGATGCAAATGTTTTGATTTGGGATATAAGAGAAAAGTAATGTGTTGGACAATTTTATGGGCCTTCATTATCTGGAGATTCTCTTGATTTTTCTGTAAAAAGATAATTGATTTTAACTGGATCTCATAGAACAGAAAATTAAATATAATTATGGGATTGGAGAACAAGAAAACTTTATTAGGAGATTTTTTGGACAGGATCTTAATCAGATGATAATAGATCATATTATATTTATGCTACTTAGTTTAAGTATTACTCATTTAATTTTAATTTAGCAAAACTAATGAAGATTTTATTTATGCAGGAAGTTCAGGAGTTCATGAAATTAAACTTTTTAGTTTAAAAGATGGTTAAGCTAAGGCTTCTATCTTAGGTTTACCAAAAAGCATTCTAACCTTAGATTAAATGAATACGACTGATTCTCTAGTGTTTAGTGGAATTGAAGGAATTGTAAACATTTTTAAGTCATGAATTTAAATAAATATTCATTATGATAAAACATTTGATTAAAAATAATTTCTCTAAACTCTCTAAAACTTTTTATTATATATAAAGATAAAAAAAAGAGACTAAATTATTTTTCACTTAAAAAGCCATAATCAAAAAAACAAAGGTTTCAAATTAGTTTATTCAAAATCGATCCAAGATTATAGCTGCTAATTGATTAATTTAAAAAAGAAAATCAATTTTATTTCTAAAAATTCTTTACTTTGATGATTCATTAAATGTACTTAAATATTATTATTAAACTTATTATTGTTATTTATTATCTTTTCTAATTATTCTAATTATATAATTAAATATTTCCTTTTTTATATCCATTATTAAATATTTATTTATTATGATTGAGTTAAGAGATAAGACTATTAAGATTATTAAAGTTAATTTCTATTTAATTATTTAAAATTTATTGAAAATGCAACCTAGTAGCATTATCTTCATCTGTAACTAAAAAATTATTTATTTCAAATTTTAAAGTGTCAATTCATTATAGGCTAATCCTAACCTAATAAAAACTCTTATTATATTATGGTTCAATGACCTAGTCCATTTAAGATATGAATTAGGAACTCTGAATAAAAAATAACAGAATTAGATCCTTAATAAGATTAATTTTTAAAATAGTTCTGTTGAATTTATACAACAGGAATTATAAAAGTTTGAGTTTTTTAAAAAATGTAGAAAAAGTAAAAAATAGATTTCTAAAAATGCTAAATTAACAAAAGACAAATTTAAATTTTGTTTTAGAATTTAATTTATAGTTTATGATTAAATTAATATTTATAAATATCATTGTTCGATTAATCCTTATAATTACTTGGTTAATTCTACCATATTTGGATACTCATCTAAACGACCGGTTAAAAAATCTAAAGCTATTACTGTTTTTGTATTCAAATATTTTTAATATATTTCTTCAGTAATAGTACTCTCGATTTGATTTTTAATAATCTCTTATTTTTAACAAGCCCCTTATATACAGTAACGTTGAGAAAAATGTGTTAATATTAATGTTTTAGCATTTCCTAGAATAGCAGATTCAACAGCTTCTCTTATAGTTGAATGCTTTGCTTTAAGAGCATTAATTTAAAGATCATCACTAAAAGTAGCTTCGTGAATCATTATATCTACATTTTCTGAAAGTTTTATAAACTATTTGCAAGGTCTAGTATCTCCAGAATAACTAATACTGCTTCCATCTTTGAAATCAATCCTCAAACCATAAGCTTATGGACAATGATCAACATGAACGTATTATATCTTTATATTAAATTCCAATTCAAGTTATTACAAACTTATTTAATTGAATTTCTTCATTTCTGCATTCTAATTCATAAACTCTTATTCTAAACTATAATCTTAATATGGAATGTAACATATTTGACATGAATTTTTAATTTAATAGATATCAATTATTTGAATAAGCCAAGGGATCATTACTTAAGGAACTAATAAATAAATATTGCTGCAATTTTATAATAATGATGCCATCCCTAAATTATGATCACTATGAACATGACTTATCCATAATAGTATTTTTTAATTAAAATCAAAATTATTTTAGACTTTTATTTAATTATAAGTTCCTTCACCGCAATCTAAAATTATTGCTGAATCTAATTATTTTAATAAAATTCCTGAAACATTTCTATATTTATTCGGTCGCATAGAGGCTGTACCAAGAAATTATAATTAAATCTTTGATAAATAATTTTGAGCAGGTTTTTATTCATAATTTATTTTTCTAATTTAAGAAGTTTAACCAATCATCTAAGAATTCATCATTTGATATCCTTTCTTCTTCAAAGGAATTAATATATAATGAAAGTTCATTTAGAATTAGATGTAATTCTTATTATATTATTAATAAATATTTTGATATTTTGGGAAATTATAAGGGTAATTTTAATTTAGAAAATTGCAAATTGCCTTTGTTTTTGGTATACTATCAGAGTATTCATTCTTAACTTCTTAATTACATAATATGTGATCAACATTTATATTATTAAGAAAATTTATATATTATTCTGTTATTGGATCATTTATATGGAAGACACACTTTAGATTATTTGGTAATTTTATTTGATTCAAATCAATATCTTCAATTATATCTAAAATTAAGATTCCTTATTCATCTATATCAGGTTCTCTAAAATAAGTTTCTTAATAAATTGTTTCATCAATTTGAATTTAATGATTTTAAAATAATTCTTTCTTCTAAATATTAGATAATTTTAATTTTTAAAGTTTTTCAATAGAAACATTTCCTCTCATCCTTTTAGTTGTGATAATATATGAAATATTATTATTTTTATGAATTATTGGTTCTATTTTTACATTACCATCATCAAATATTTTTAAAGAATTTTCTAAATCCTATTAAACAAGTTTGAACCCTTAACTATAATCTTGACTTTGAAATATAAAATTTTTTCCTTCAAACTCATGGCAAGATATATTATTTACATATTTTCCTCCTAATTCGCTATATCTGAAAGCTTAAAAATATCTACATAATCCAGGAGGTCCAAAAAGTTTAGTACCTTCAATTTATTTGTCAAAGTTTAGTGACAATAGGAGACCAATTATACCATTCATGTGTGAAATACTTAAATTCGTAAAAAATATCTATGTTCCAAGTTTCATTTTAATGCTAAAATCAGAAATAAATCTCTGAAAATCCTCAGATACATTAAAAACATAAGATTTTTCTTCAAAATTTAGTTATATGCATGTTTTGGCTAATCTAATGAGTTATATATGGCATTTAGACATATATTTATATAATTAAAATAAATAATTAAATTTATAAATATAATCTATTTGAGTCTTTATTTGTTATAAATATTTTTGCAAATTCTTTTATTAATCAATTAAATTTGATGAAATACGATATTTATTTTTCATAAAACACTTTTAAGAATTAGATTACCTAAAAATATAATCTTTTATAAATTAAAAACCAAATTATATTTTTAAATCTAAATATCTATATTTAAAGTAATAACATATTTATAATTCATTTAAATGCGATTAAAAACATTCATATTATAAATATATCAATTCGTTTCTCTTTCTATCCTCTATAATTAATAATATTCAATCTCTATAAAAATAATATAAAATGAGTGCTGCTAATGATTTGACTTGACAATTTTCAAAGAATATTGTGATTTTTAATATGAAAAATTATAAATGGAATAAGAATAGTCAAAGCTTGAGATTTTTTGAGTGTTTTGAAGTAGCTCTGAAGTAAAAAAATTCTGAGATGACAACTTATTAAACAGCCAAGTTTCTTCAGCCTGGGTTAATCTATTAAATGTTCTTGTTTATTTAATATATGTAGAATTTTTTTGTACATTAATGGATTTATCAAAAATTAATATAAAATAAATTCTTTCGCAATTATATATATATTCAAATACTGATTTAAGAAGAATGATTCCACTTATATTAGAATTTTAATCTATTACAAATTCATTACTTAAATAACCTAAATTAAATTCAAGTCAACTTGAAAATTCTTAAAAAATAATTTATATTCAATTCTAGTCTTTTTTGTTAAAAAATTAACTAAATAATTAAAAATTTTCTCACTATATATGATAGTTAAGATATCCAAAAAGTTTCTAATAAGTTGAAATCGTTATTCAAACTTTGTTAAAAATTTTTTATTATGGAATTTATCAAAGATATTTTTTGTTGTAACAATTATTAATAAAAGAAATTATGGTATATTTTATCTAAAATAAATTAGTGATTATCACAATTAATTGGAATATCTATGAATAATATCATTTCTTTATTTGAGCCAAAATTCTCTATATCTTCTATCAAGTTTATTTTCACAGACCCATCTACATCTATAAACATTAATTTTATTCTAAAAATCAATTAAAGACTTACACTTATTTTTTCTTAGTAAGATTGGTCAATATTATAATTAATCAATGAGTCACAATTAGAATGGCATGTTTAATTTTTGAAATAGACTAATTTGTCAACATTTTTTAAGAATTATTTAAGATCATTTGTTTGTTTTTTGCATTCTTTTAAACAAAAACTAAGTTTTTTAATTCCTTCTTCTTAATTTTCAAAGATAATTTAATTATTATCATAACAATTAGAATAGCATTCATATTTGAGCTTTTATTATGAATCTATATTAAATAATTTAATTTTGCTATAGTTTGTAATAGCTTATTTGATAGAATACATATCTTAATACTCCTAAAGTTTTCGATCGAAATATTCTTTTTCATTTTCTGTGGCATAAAGTTCATCGGTTGATCTAATATTATCAAACATTAAAAAGAGTAATAATAATAATAATAATATTAATTTAACTGAAATGACTGAGAGTAGAGCACTGTCATCATATGATGGAACTTACAATAGTTTAAAAGATGTATAAAGAATAGGATCTTATGATTATGGAAATGTTTTATCTAATTTTAGTAATCAAAAATACACAAATTCAAAACCTAATCATCAAATGATGGACACAAAAACATATTTAGAATAATTAGAATAAAAATATTGTAAGAAAACAAATGGATACAATGATAGTGATTCTGATGATTTTTCAAATGATTGTTCTCCTCATAAAGCAGCTTCATAAGTCCCAACAAAATTTTAAAAAAGCAAAATATCAGCAAATAATAATTAGAATTAACCTGAATTCAGGATTCCTGTAGACATAAATTTATCAAGAGGTCCTAGTGAAATAGGATAAGATTATAAGATTATATAAGATATGAATGAAAAATATGGTAGTATAGCTTAATCAAGAGTTACAATAGTAGATCAAGATGCAAAAAGAAGATTTTTCGAATTGGCATTAGAATTGAAAAAAGAATTACCTTAAAATCATCCTGGTTAATAAATGTTGGTAGCATAATTATATACAGAAAGTGTATAGAAATAAATATCAGAAAAATATTGGAAATAATGGTTATAAACTAGATTGAAGAATTGATAATAATTTTTAGTTTTATTAGAAAATAATATTTATGAAAATATATTATTTTTGAATAATTCTATATAATAGTAAGATTTAAATATAATATTTTAAAATGGGAAATTAACAAGGCAAAGATTATGGAGGTTTGCTTATCAGAACTGATAAGCCTTTTTATTTTGCAGGTGAGATAATTACAGGTATTAAGGATGTTAAAAATCTTAGGAAATATATATTTGGATATATTTAAAGCTGGATATCCAGGAGGAGTAGTGTTATTGAAAGTTACAGGGAAAGAAAAATGTAATTGGACAGAGAGTCAAACTATTACTAGTACTGATTCAGAAGGAAAATAAGAATCTCGAACAGAATATGTGACATATTCAGGATAAACATAATTTTATTAACATCGAGTGGCTATTTGGACATTTAATACTTCAAGTTTACCAGTTGGATAATATACTTTTCCTTTTTAATTTTAATTGTTGTCTCATTTACCTGGATCATATTTTGAAAAAGAATCTGATTATTTAGCTAAAATTTCATATAGAGTCAAAGGAGAAATAGAATCATATAATAAATCTTATAAAAATATCAAACACTCTTAACCTCTTGTTGTTAGAGAACCATTAAAATAGAATATCACATCATTAACGGGTTAAATGGAAGTCAATGTAGCAACTTGGTGTTGTATTGCTTAAGGAGTAATTATTTAGTTTATCATTAGACTTCATCTATCAAATGTGTTTTTGATAAAAATCATTATCTTCCAGGAGATACTGCTTATTTGTTGGTTGATTTAGATAATTCAGAATGTAAATTGGATATTAATAGAATTGATGCCAGTCTAATTAATTATTTAACATTAAGGGACAAAAATGGAAGAGAAAAACTTATCACTCGAACCATAGTCTCTTAATAAATTTAAGGTATTAAAGCAGGAATTAAAGCTGTTGAAAATGATAGAAAATAAATCTAACTTATTTTACTCAATAAGAGCTATCCAGAAGGTATTCGTCCTTCATCTAATGGCTAGATTGTTAAATCTGTATATAGATTAAAGGTTTAAGCAGTTCTTGATGGTAATATACTTATTTCTCATTTTTAGGTTGTGTATGTTGCAATCTTCATCCAGCTGTTGATGTTCCTATTGAAATTGTTGCTCCTGTCCCTTAAATTTATAATCAACATGTTTAGTAACCTTCTAATTGGAATCCTTAAGTTTTTCAACCTTAAATTGTATAATTTACTGATACCACCATGTATTTAAAAGATCAAAATTCATAATCAAATTACAATTATCCTTAAAATCCTTAACCTCCTAATCAATTTGGATAAATGCAATAGCCAATGAGTTGATGATAATTTATAAATTAGTTTTATCAGTATTTCAATTATGAATCTTAAAAAAATAACATCTAAATTATTATTGTACTAATCACTTACACTGAATCCATCAATAATGAGGATTTCACTTGTTTTTAAGAATATAATAATTGCTTAGCTATAGAAATTCATATGATCAAAGGAAGGATATCTGACTCTTAAAATTATTTATCTTATCATGATACCTATTTAATAGAACCCTCAAAAATAAATAAACAAATAAATCTTGTTTTGTTATAAAAATATACTATTTCAAGGTATGTTTCTTAACTAAGCTAATTTTTGTAAAATAAACATTTTATATTTAATTAATTTTTTTTCATCTTTTAATTAATAATTTATAGATGCCATTTAAAAATTAAAACTTGATATTAATTTTACAGCTTTCCACTCAATGCCTTTAATTAATCTTCGAAATTATTAAATTATTATCAATTTATTTATATATGCTCATCGGAAATGCTGTGAAGAGAATCGTTCAAACTATAATTTAAAAAAGATCACTATTTCTTCCAATTAAGTAATAAGTTTATATTCCAAAATTTATTATAATACCATAATATGGATTTTTTTTTAATGGTAAACATGATAAGTAAATTTTGATCCTATATTTTTAGAGATGAAAAATAAGCTGAAATTGATAAACTGTATGAGGAAATGGAGGAATGTGAGAATGAGAAATAATCAATGAATATGCTCAAAAAAATAATTTAAATAAGAGAACAAATGGATTAATCAGAAAAAAAAAAATGTGTTTCATTACTATTAGATAAAATTGAGTATGCACGATATTTAATTGAAAATCAATAGATGGAGGATAAATTAGTTCAAGAAGTACTTTCTGATGATTATTTGAATGATGTTCATTATAAAAATATTGATTGGTCTAAATATCCTAAGAATTTTAATGAATTCTTATGGCACAATTTGGCAATAGGAGTTATGTAGCTTAAATTTATTAAGCAATTTGATGATGTAGCTTTTTTAGAAATAGAATAATGGTTAAAGTATTATCATAAAATATATATCAAGATAGTATAAGGAATCTATAGTGTATATAAAAAATTATCTAAATGAAAATTTTGAGGAAATCGGTGAGAGTTAAGGATACTTAGTTAAAGAGCAAGGATTATCATAATATCAATATAATTTGACCTTCTATTATGAAATGAAAGCTAAATTATTGATAGAATAAGATTAAGTATAAGAAGGAATAAAGAATTATGAAGTTGCTTTAAGGGAAACAAAGAAATTTATGGAAATAGTTAAATCATGTATATTATATAAATTATTTAGTATGTAATCATGAAAATTCAGAGGTTGCTAATGAAGCAGAAAAGTAAAGAGAGAAAGGAATATCTAAATTTGCATAGATATTTGAAGATCTTGGATATGTTTAAATCGAAATTGACGAATTAACATCTGCAAGACCTTATTTTGAAAAAGCTATAGAACTTTATTTATAAGTTTTTGGAAAGCATTCTATTTAATATGCTCAAAGTTATTGTTAGTTGGTTTTAACTTACTAATTAACAGATCCATAAAAATGTGAAGAAATGTTAAGAGATTTTCATGAATATTTAGAAAGTTTTAATTAAGATACAATATATCTAGAAGTTACTATGCATTATTTTTGTATTTTAGAAGCTTAAGATAGAGGTACAATAGAACTATTCATGAAGATTTAAGAAATAAGAGAATTTTATAATATAGAAAATGATTTATTAATTGTTGAATATGATATTTAAGCTATTAAATTTGTGATCAGAAATGGTTAATTTTAGGATAAAATATTTGTTCTTTTTAAGGAATCAATTTAATTATTAGATTCATTTGGTAATCCAACTATATAAGCTGAAAAATTGTTACTATTAAATGATCTGGCTGAGAAAACTGTTGAACTTAATAGGATTCTACATGATATAATTTTGGAATAGCTATTAGATTAATTTGAGGAAGTAAGTTTTATGATTGAAAATGATGAGTTGTAATATAAAATAGATAGATAAAAAGCATTTCTATAATTTAGACTAAGAGATACTCTTTTAAATACTCCAGAAGAAAGTTTAGAAAATTTCTTTTTATTAGTAATTAAAATAATTAATCTTAGTTTTCCAATTGGATAGAGAAGAAAGAATTTCTTGAAATGCTATTTGAAGATACAGATGAAATAATTTAATAAGTTTTAGATCATTAAATGTTTAAAGTTGCTCATAAATTAATAAAAAATATAATTGAAATTATGGAGGAAGCTTTACAGAATTCAAAGAGTGACTATATCGATGAAGCTTTGAATCATTATAAAAAAGAAGCATAAAATATATTTGATTAAATTACTGGAAAATGAAATTTGTTTTATGTGTATATTTATAATAAATTATTTGTTTTTTATTACTACAACAATTAATATGTCATGAATTAATTGATAAACTAGAATAATTTCTTAATTATTTGAACATTTATTATATCACTTAAATTCGTTAATGAGCAAGACTTTATTATTTTGTTAATTTAATGATTATTGCAATTCTTAACTAAATCATAATTAATAATATATTTTATTTTATTTTTTAAAGATAAATTCATAGAACTAATCAAGTGAGTTCTTTTTGAAGATACTATAATGCTTCCTATTCAGAGGTATTTTCAACATTTTCATAATAAGTCCAAAAGTCTTCCATTATCGAAAAGTTTAATTCATTAATATGCTGACTATCCTTTAAGTATTTTATGGTGATATAAATTTAAACGATTGAATTAATTGTTGGTTAATTTGATATAATTTAAAAAAGTTGATTTATAGGATTTTTTAAATTTGAAACTATCTTATTCTTAATTTCTATATAGAAATCTTCCAAACCCAATTAATCTTATTAGAGTAATGATTAGAAAATTTGATAGTTATCAGATTATTTATATAAATTTTATTGGACAAGACTTAAAGGCTAAAGTTTTTACAATTTCTAAATTAATCCTAAAGCTTGATTTAATATTTCTGCTGTGATATTATATGTGATATTAAAATCAATAGTGGGAATAACTTAGTTTAATCTATAGACTCTCATAGCAACTTTGTCTAAGAAAAATATTTATTCATGAAAATAAAATAATATATCTTCAATAGAATTAATTTATAGTTAAATTTATAATCTTGAAATATAAGAAAAGATAATACTTATGATTTAAATTAGACATCATCTCATTTAGAATTTATTTTTATTCTTTATCTTTTTCTTCACTTTGTTTTTTTAAGTCTTCTTCTGTTAAGATTTAAGAAACCAAAGACAATACTTTTTTATTCTTAAATGGTTATACTTTAATAAGGGAAACTTTTTGAATGACCATTTGTTAAATAAAAACAGATGAAGATATCATCTAAAGGTTTTAATTAATTTAGGGTTAATATTGAATTTTTATTTGTGGTAATGAAAATAATTCTTCCCATCCAATTCTATCTTTAGTAGATTTTTTAAGCATTCTTTAAAGTAAAGAAATAATAAATTCAGATCTCTTAGGAGTAGGAGGAATATTTAAAGCATTATTAACAATATCAGAGAAAGCAGTTTCCCTATCATACTTTTTATTTTGAATTAGAAATGGGTATTTATTATAGAGCATCCTATATAATATAATACCAAGACTCCACATATCAATTTTAGGATCAGCTGTAGCTTCTTCTTGAATCATTTCTGGTGCCATATAAAGAGGAGTGCCTTTAAATGATATAGTTAGTTTATCAACAAGAGTATTTACTATTTTTGCTAAACCAAAATCAGTTATTTTATAAAGACGATCATGAATCATAATATTAGCTGGTTTTAAATCTAAATTTATTGTATTTTTATGATGATACCTCTATGAATGATATTTTACATAAACAATTCACGATAGCCACTACAAAACTAACTTAAGAAATCCATAACTTCAGCTTCAGACCAAAATTTATTTTTCATTTTATCTTCCAAAGTTCCAGCATTACAATATTCCATAATTATGTAACAGGCCTTACTTGATTACAATTTCTTCCTCCTGTGCATGATCGTAAATTATATTACTTGTATTAAACAAGGTTCTAATGATCACTTTAAAATTATTCTAAAACTGTGAGTTCATGTTACAAGGAATCTAATTTACTTTAAGTTCCAATTTCCATTATTTTAGCCACCAATTACTCTTCCCTATTATCAAGATCGTAGGCTCTCACAACTTTACCAAATGATCCTTATCCAAGTATATCTTCTGGCTCAAGAGAAATTACATATGATGATCCTTGTAATCTTTTAATTCTTTTCTTCATTATTAAATTATAATTATTATAATATAATATGTAAAAATGTCTAATTTTTATGTTTATGTATATATAGTTATATTTCTTTAATTAAATTTATAGTAAAGAGGGTGAATTTCCATATATTTCCATTATGTGCTTTGTTTTATAACCTTTTAAATCAGAGGCTTTAAGCACAAAATCCATCTTATGGCTAGCATATTTAAATAAATCTATTATACATAGCCGTTATTTTCATCATAATCATATTATTGACTGTCTCAATTACATAATCTACTAAAAAAATAAATTTGATTTTTCTAATTTTAACAATTTAGAGATAATTTAGTTTACTAATTTTCTGATATATTACATTCTTTTTATTTAACAAAAATATGTAAATATTTATTGTTGACTTGATATAATTTCTAATATTCAATATTATTAAATAAGATTAATATTAAATTTATAAATAAGTTTAAAGGAAAAAGTTAATTAAAATAAAATCATCCAACATCTTTTGACAACAAAAATGTCATAATTACTCTTAAATATTTATTTAATTATAACAATAATCATAAATTATTAAAGGTAGTTAAAAATAAAAAAAATAATAAAATATTAGAATAAAATTCATTTTATAATGAATATTTTAATTATTGAAAAACTTAAGAAAAATAAATAACAGAAATGATATTCTAATATTATGAAAAATAAAGTCATAGGTTTGTGGGTGTTTATTAAAATATTTATTTTTCTTTTTTAATTCAAATTAAATTATATATAAAAACTTATGAGTTAATAAGTTGAATTAGCATCTGTATTTGGATTAAATTTCTTACTCATATTGTTCACTTTTATTTGCTATCATGTGTTATTTGTGAGAAAAGGAATTTATTTTCCAGGACCTGAAGACGGATCAATCTTACTAATATAAAATTCATTCATAACGATAAAACATAATATAAGGCTACTTCTTGAATTTGATAAGGTTTATTTTACTAAATCTTGTGGGTATATGAAATTATAAGTTCTTTAGGGTGGATGGATATTAGTATCTCTATTTCATCAGATAACTTATTAAATTATAAATAGCATTCTTCTTGATAGCCATCATATCTGCTATTTTCCCTCCAAATAAAACTACTTTTATTATTATAGATTAAGATTTTACTCCTTCCTTTTAATTTTGTATGACTTTAATATATTGTGGAATTCTGATTTTGTTTGTTTATAACCTTTTAGAGGAAATTAATAATTAAGAGATACAATAACAAAGAGAAATTGATTTAATAAGATAACATTCAATATTTATAAAAGGAATTAAGGATAATGTGACTTAAGAAGATATTAAAAATTACTTTCAATCTATTTTCAATAATTTATCTGCTAGAGTTTTGTCTGTTGTGATCATTCCTAAATATCCTATTAAGGAAATCAAAAATCAAAAAGAAACTGAATTATATTTACAAAATAAAGATTAATTGCTTTTAAGTTGTTTTTCCCCAAAATTAAAAGAAATTCCAAAAGTGGAACCTAATAGTGGCCATGCTATAGTCACTTTTGATACTATTTAAGCAGTTAATCTTAGCATATAGCTTTTTAATTTAGAGTTATCAGATTGTTTAAAATCAAAAGTTTAAAACGAAATTGATTAACTAACAATCAGTAATACTTATATTTTGGCATATGAAGCTCCTGATCCATTTGATGTAATTTACTTATATTTAAATACTACTTTAAAAAATTTAATATTAAGAAGATTTTTGTTATAAATCCTTCTAATTTTAGTTTTACTATTTTTTACAACTCCAGCAAGTGTTATTGAATTTATTGGATTTGATAATTCAATTGAAAAAGAAGAATAAAAATAAGAGAAAATATCAATATTTAGATAATATTTGTCATTGATTTTAGTTGTATTAATAAATAGTGCTATTCTACTGTTAATTTAATTGTCATCTAGATGGGAAAGACATATTAGCAAATCATAATACCAAATTCGAATATTTAATCGTTGTGTTTTTTATTTGACAATGAATATGCTGGTGATTCCAGCAATTTCATTTCTGGCAGTTCACAATATTTATTAAATAGTAATGTAAGGCGCTACAAATATGTTATCAGCTATACAAGCTGTTTATTTTGTAATATATTTTATTAATAATAAAGTTAAATAATGGGAAATTTTTTATAGGAATCATTATTTAAGCTGGTTGTGTCTCATTGATTACAATTTTAAGATTAGATGAAATATTCACAAGTTATTTAAGTGTTAAATATGCTTAAATAAAAAGATAGCAATTCAAGATATATCCATATCTATAACCTCTTGGAGATATATTTTCTTATGGATATTATTATGGATTGTAAATGACAGTACTTTTTATTGTAATGACATTCTCCACAAATATTCCATTTATTCATCTAGCTGGTGTATTCTATTCTATGTGTAGATTTTATGTTGATAGTATAAATTTATAAACAGTTTTTGGCTAAGAGGTGTAGTCTAACAATAACTTAATTTAAACAACTTTAATCACTTGCTTTTATACAATTTATCCGAAATTGCTTCTAAATTTTGTTATGTTTGTATTGTAATGGAATACGAAATATACTCTCTTAACTATTGCATTGTTCATAATTTCATTGATAATAATAATATAAATTAAAGTTAAGCTTGATCGTTTTAATACCTCTAATTTACTTGCTGATAACAAAATAAATCAATTAGTGAATTATAATATTTATTAACATCCACTTTCAAAGTGATAATTATATTATTTAATGAGTATTTCAAACGAGATTTAACAGAACTCATTTAGTTTATAAGATGAGATATTCTAAGGACCTACTCCAATGATGCTTTCTGGAAGGATAATTGTGGGAGATGGAGATTCAAGCAGATTTCTTCCAGCTAGTTGGAATTCTTTCACAGTACCTGACTAAATGAAATTGGCAGATTTAAGCCAATAATCTATCCATGCTATACCAATTGAGATGCACAAATCGACAAAGGGTATGAGAAAATCTGAATATTAATCTGCATATGTAGCTGAAGATGATGATTAATCTAATGGTAAACCTCAATTTCTGAAATTAATAATTGCTAAGAGTTTTTAAAATAATTTTATAAGCAATCTTTGGAATAGATCTTATTTAAGAAAATTAAATTAATTATCTAATTATTAGATTTAGGTCTTGGATGATTTATAAATAGAAAATGAAACATATTTTCAAGATTAAAAAAGAACTTTTACAAAATTGGAAAAAATAAAACGATTTTTCTCATATATTGAAGTCTTCACACCTTATAGTTAATTTATTTTTATATGGGGTCTTTTTTAAATATTAATATATTTATTGATATTTTTTTGGCTGCCATATAAAATATCTTTCAAATTAGAATCAATTGGAGATTTCTTAGGATATAATCAAACAAAACAGATTCTTGAAATACTGTTTTTATCTATACTTAGTTTAGATGTATTTGTTGGATTGAATTTGGCATTTATTTATAAAGGAATAATAATAAGAAATAGAAAGAGAATAATAATAAATTATTTTCGATAATATGCATTTGTAGATTTGGTATCTTATAGTGAATATATAAGGATTAAAGGTTTCACTCAGTACAATAACCCTGTAGTTTTTTATTTTAACAAACAATGGTGATTCGAATTAAATGTTGATAATATAAATAGCATTGTGTGCTGTATTTTATGTTTTAAGGATGACAAAGATTAATAAGATTTTAGCTTAAATATAAGAGTAGAAATTATAATAAATAATATAGATTTTTTAATTTGTATGGTTCTTTAAACGATTTAGTTGGATTATTAAAGTTGACAATGATAATTGTATTTATTGCTCATATTTGTGCATGTGTTTGGCATGGGATAGCATTTTATAATGATGAATATTCTTGGTTAGATGCTTATGAATTAAGAGATAAAGGAAATGCTTCAAAATATAATACTGCTATATATTGGGCAACAATGACTATGACAACTGTTGGATATGGAGATATTACAGCAAAGAATAATATTGAATTATTAATAAATAATTTAACTATGCTTATAGCATCAATAGTATTTGCTTATTCAGTTAATAGCATTGGAATATTTGTATCAAATATGTATAAGGGAGCTATGGAATATAGTAGAAGTGTAACATTAATTAACACATTTATGTCTAAGAATAAAATTTAATTTGAGTTATAAACAAGGATAAGAAGTTATTTAGAATATATTTGGTAAGAGGAACAAAATATGAATGATGAAGAAGTTGCAACTTTGATAGGAAAATTAAGTAGCAATTTATAGGAGGAATTATAATATTAATTGAGAGGAAATATATTAAGTACTTGTAAAGTTATGGTTAAGACATTTTCATAAAAAATGATTAAATCTTTATTGGGTTAAATGGAAGAATAGAGTTTCTCTCCTGAAGAAAGAATAATAACTATTAATTAAAGTGATGATTCATCTTTGTATATTATTACAAAAGGAGAAGTTGAAATCATTTTTGAAGGATAAAATAGTCTAAATGAAAAAGTTAAAAGAAATAGTTTAAAATTTTTATCATAAGGTGATTATTTTGGAGAATTAGCATTCTTTACTGGTTAACCTAGAAAGGCTACAGCTATTTCTCGAGCATTTACAAAAGTATTCAAAATTAAAAGAGAAAACTTTATAAAGATTTTATTATCATATCCAAATGATTATGAAAAATATTGTTAATTAAATCACACACTTATGTAATAAGATTATAGTGTTTTATAAATAAATTGTTATAGTTGTTAAAGTAATCATCATTTAATTGACAAATGTAATTATGTACATTTCTGTCCAGATAAAGAAGCTATATTAAAAAGAGAATTATATCCATATGATTAAAAAAGAAATAAAGTTAGGGGTAGATATGAAAGAGATAGAGTATTGAGTCCTTGGATTATGTAAAAGTATGTTATGACAAAAGCAAAAGAACTTTAATAAGAATTATAATATTTAGCAAATAAAGGAACAGAATTTGAAGATATGGATCAACATTCAAATTTAATTAATGATGTTTATGAAGATGAAGGTTTTTTAAATATTTTATATATTTTTAGTTGAAATTGATGTTCCATCATCATTAAATTAAAGAAGTAATTCAAGAACATTTAGTAAACTTAGTCAAAAATAATCCTAATAAAATTAAGAAACTGATGAGGATGAATCTAAAAATTATTCTAGAAAGGTAGTCATTCCTAGAACTACACTTTAAACTGCTGGTTTTGGTGGCGGAATGCGAGATAGCACAAATGTAGATATTTTAAAAGATGAAGAATATTAAGAAAGTTCAGATGAAGAATCTGATGAAGAAAAAGATCAAGTTTTAATGTAATTGCCAATACCTACAAATAAAAGCTAAGAAGCTATTAGAAATTAATAATAAAAAATTACATTTACTCGTAAAGAATCAGCAGAAGATATTATTCCTCGTTCATAAAATCAAAGATCTAACACTTATACCCAAAAGGGCAGAAACTCTTAAACTATTAAAAGAACTTTGACCCCTGAAAAAATATATCCGCCAAATCCATCTGATTTAGAAATTAGAAATAATGCTAGAAGACCTACATCCAAAAAATAGTCTAGTGCTACTAGAACTTTTACTAGAAATTAAGGTAGAGAAATGACAGCTGATGCCAATCCTACTTCTTTTATGGATAATTAGACATATAATTAACATACATCTACAACTATTTTAGGATAATTTGATAAGATGTAAGTTTTTATGCATTATTTTCCATTCAATAATTATGATTCAGTCATAAAAAGGTATATTCTATCATATATTTATTGTTAGATATTCTAGATTATAAAAATTCTTTGGTAAAAAACGATTATATCCAGAATTTTCTAAATATTCCTTTTTCTTTATGACAATTAAAAAAGGATGGAAATTAAGGAAGTTAGGAGCAAAATTGTCTGGAAAAACATTTGCAGAATCACTAAAAAAACCATTTTCAAAAACATTTTAAAGTTTTAAAACAGTAAAAAAAGTCGTAAACAATACAACTGGCAATGGAGGTGGTGGTACTTCACCATTACGATTGCATTCCTTTAAATGATTTAACAATTACATTTATGGCTTTTTATAATTTTTAAATATAATATTAATCAAGTTTATAGTTATAAATGATTATCATTCTTCCTAATGTAACTTTTCTAAAAATAAAGAAGGTCCTCCATATTTTTCTATAAGTTTTTCAAAGTAAACAGCTCTTTCAGCTGACATGGAGCGAATCCTTTACTTATTTTTATTTGATTTATTTAATTTAAATTTGAATCTCATGCTTCTACTTTATTCTTATAGACATTGATTTAAAATATAATCTACTCTATCATTATAAATTTTAAGAATCTAATCTATATTAAATTATGTGAAAAAAGCTTGCATAATACACATTCTTTCAAATTCATCTTCCTGTTAATGTTTCATTATTTTAAACTCTTCAATTTCTTCAAAACATTCTAATGCTGGTTCTTCTTCAATATGTCTATTTTATTATTATTTATATGATACTGTTATAATTAAGTTAATTTATCATCATTTTGAATTTCTTATGCATTAAAAACCAGCTTTATTTCATTTGCAACTTCATTTGTAAGTTAAAGACAACCTCTTGAGTTATATCTAATTTTATCAAGTCTTTTGTAATTTTTATTATCCTTTTTCTATTCTTAAATAAATTCTTATATTAACTCTTATTTTCTATCATTATTAATTACAAAATGCAACTTTGGACATTTATAAACAAAATGATCAACTTTTTAACATCCAAAACAAGGTAAATCAAGAGGAGTAAGATCCTCATTAAGTTCAATAATATGTTTATTCATTTAAAAGTATTAATTTTATGTTTGATTTTTCTTTAATAGATCTATAAATTTCTTTTTTTTTAATTTTTAAACATATACAAAATCTAATGTATAAACAGAAGCACTTCTAGATTTATCACTAAAAAAACTTAATTCTCCAAATGTTGAACCTTTTTCTAAATTCTTAATCCAAGTAAACGTTTTTTATATACATAACATTACTTTTCCTTAATTTAAAAAATATAAACATCTTTCTTCTATGTTTTAACCATTTTCTTATTCTAAAGGATCATCTCCCTCCATAAAAATACATTCTTCAGGTCCAAATATTTATTCTTCTAATTCAAAGGGTAGTTAAAGTAATAAATCTTTTTCAAATTTATTCTATTTAAATACTTTAGAATTATTTATCAAATCTGTATTTACTGCAGCTAAGACTTCAACTCTTAAAGATTAAGATAATACTTCTAAAGCTTCTTTTTCATTTACTTAAGTAGACTCTTTTTCATATTTATATTCTAAATATTTTCTTACTCTTGCTTATAAATCTTTTGGTATATCATTTGATTTTAAAAATTAATTAGCTTAACCCATTTTTTATCTTATTATTTTTTCATTATAATCCATTGAAACAAATATTCCACCTATACTATTCATTATGTATGCAAATATACAACAAGCTAACAACATTACAACTATTCCAAATATTTTTTCTATTGATGTTACTGGTGTTATATCACCATATCCTACAGTTGTCATTGTTGCAGTTGCCCAATAAACAGATGCAATATATTTTACATACCAATCATTATCTTATATTTCTTAAGCTTTTAACCAACTATTATTTCCATAAAAATTTTCTTAATCGGCTATAAAATGCCAAATACAAGCTAACCAATGTGCAACAAAAAGCATTATAAATGTCAATTTTATTACTTTATACAATGATATCATTGAATTTGATAAATCTACATAATCTTCTAATTTTAAAAATATTTTCTTAAGTTTCAATACTCTTAAGAGTCTTATAACTTTTATAAAACGAAAGAATTTAAATATTCTTAATAATTTTAAAGTATTTGCTATTTATTATTGTTATTATTATTTATTTCTTGCATCTTGTATTTGACTTTCATCAATTTCATCTGAATTTAAAATTTCCTATGTAGAACTATTTATAATCAAATCAAAAGGAACAGTTGAAACTATTAATCTTATCAATTATTTATACCAAGATCAATCCAAAACCAAGCCATTAAGTATTTTTTAGCTATTAATTTTCTATCATAAATGTACTATCCTTTGTGTTGATATGAAGTATTAAAATTTATTAAAATATCTAAACTAAATATTGCAATTGATGCAAAATTAAAATTCTCAAAGAAATCAGATTCTATTGTAAAACTAATATCCAAAGGTAATATTAAAATTGCAAGAAATATAACTATCATAGTAAATAAATCCCACAGAATTCTGAATCTATCTTCAGGCTTAAAAACCTCAATTTAAAATCTATAGATCTTAACAGGTTTTTTCACAACTAATACTGAATGTCTTTTAAAACCCTGTTCCATTACTGTCTAAATTCTTTAATTTGTTTTTTAACCATGAATTGTAATTTAAGCTAAATCTGAGTCCTACCCATTATCATTTGCTAAATCATTTAATATATTCAATTGCCTTTCATCAAATAATTAGTTTACATCTTCCAGCTCTTCTTAATGATCATTCTTTTAAGAATATTTATAAATGAATGTCTTTTTTATATCACCTGCTTTAGCTGTCAACATTCTTTCTTCTTCTATTTAGATAGATTGATATTTATTATCTTCTACTATTAATGAAGATTAATTCATATTATTATTTTAATATTATACACAAATCAAATTCCATTAATAATTATAAGTAAAAAACTATTAGAAGTTTAAAGATAGATGAGTTTCTTAATGGATTTATAATTATTTTAAATAGTTGCTAATCTCATTTTATACATTATTCAAGTTTTACTCAATTAATAATTTCTTTCATTTATATTAAAATAACTATTAAATTTATTTTTGTAAAAAACAATAAGTAAACTTTTTAAACATCTATATTTAAAATCCAAATAAATTAACCATTTTAATTGTTTGATAAAAACAAGATTGTTTTGATTCTTTTTATTCATTATTTATAAAATTTATAAGGATTATTTTCTCAAATAAAAAATTTGTAGAATTGATGATATTTAAATCATAGTCCTTTTTTTCAATTATACTATATTTTAAACAAATTGAATTAAGTATAATCTTAATTTGAATGATATTTTGAGATAAAATAATATTAATTGAATTCTGTATATATACAATGTACAAAATATTCATAAATTATAACCCGTTTATGAAATCTCATTATCTTCTCATTTATTGATTTTATAAGAAGATTTTCATTTATTTCAAAAATTTTTCATCATTACAATTCATTTCGAATGATGTATTAGATGAAATGGATTAAGTTTTTATAAAATCTTAATTTTTAATTTTTTCCTATTTAATTTTATCAAACAATTTTTTCCATTCCTTTTTATCCACATTATCCATATAAACAGTAGAATGAAGTTTCATATCTGTAAGTTTTTGTCTTAATGGTTCAAAATTTTAATATTCTGCCTACATTTCAGAATAGCCAAAACTTATTAAACTGGTTCTTCTAGATGCTTATCTAACAAATTATCTATTAAATTTAGTTGGGCTATTTTCTAATTGTAGATATTATTGGTAATCAACTTTTTATTTTTCTTAAGTAAAATTTGATTATTCTTCTTCTTCTTCTTCCATTTGATTACCATCATCACTATATCTATGAATGAAAAACAATTAGCTCATCAAACCTTAAGGAATTATACACATTTTTAGATAATTTAATTATAATAAAGAATTTTCTAAACAATGTCTTTAATTTTCCTTCTACAATTCTTCTTGAGAATTTTGAATAATCATAACTTGTTTTTGAATATTTAAATTATCATTAATCTAAAAGTTTGATAACTATTGTTATAGTTTAGATTATAATAGTGTAGCAATTTCTTTATGGCTTCTATCCATAACAGTTAAACATTTAGGGCAAAATTATGTTAAGGCTCCTATTTATAAGATTATTTTTTAAGTATAAATGATAGATTCATCTTATAATTATTCTAATATTGATTTGATTATCCAACTATCTTCTTAAAAAAGGTCTTAAATTATTGAGATTAATAATGTAATTTCAGAATGAGAAGATGTTATATCTATGTAATGATTCCATTATTAAAATAGATCATGAATATCACCTTACTTCAGTAACTTTTCAAAATCTAAACATAGAGACTTATTTTTATCAATTAATGGAAATCTAACTATAACTGAGTGGTTTTATTCCTATTTATAAGTTTATATATTACATTTTAAAATATTATTTTTAATGAAGCCACTAACATATTAGATTTCGTATGTTCTAATTATTTAGTTTTTCGTTATATTTCGTAGTTTTGTTAAAGTTTTTAAAATTTATTTAAATCATTTCTGATAAGTTACATATTTTTCTTATATTTATTCCTTCTATTAATCTCATTGACTAAAAATTTTAATAAGTTTTCGTCAGTTTTTTCATCAATAATTCTTTATTAAGAATTACGTAAAATTGACATTTGGAGGGTTTCCGAAATGTCGTTTGTATAATTATCGAAATATTCTATAAGATAGTTAATTATATACTTTCTTTGTTGTAAGCTAAACAATTTAGATAAGATGTGAGCAAAATAGGGTTACTTTGATCAGGATAGAATTTGTGGTAGAGAATGAATAAATATTCTAACTGGAGTATAAGCTCCATAAGTTCTTTAGTTTCAATTTCATCAAACCCAGGAGCACTTCGACTAAAAGTTTAATAGAGAGCATTGGTAGATCCATGGTTTTTTACTTCTAAAAAACTCTTTGCCCTTCTAAATTTAGAAATTTTATCTATTGTTTTTCCTTATTGAGACATTTAAAAATTGTATATAGTTTTATTTAAGTTGTAAGCAAAGTCATCGAAGTCAATATTCTCTAATTTGTATTGTGAATGGGATCTAGCTGCCTTGAATTATATGAAATCAGCATGTGCCATCATACCAAATTTATTAATATTTAAAAAATATTCAAATATCACAGTCCTTTTATTCTCAATTAATACGCAATATTATTTTATATGAAAGAATTCTAATTCATATTTAATTTTGATTCACTATTAATAGTCATTTTAAATTTAAGTTTATTTTATTTTCATTATAATAATGGAAAATATTATATATTCATATTATCATCCTTTTTTTTTTATTTCTATTAATACTCTTAATAATTAAGAATTTCTTATTTAACTTTTTCTTTATTTTTATTGGGTTTCAATTTATTAATTATACTAAAATTAGGCATAATCAAATTCATCAAAAATTAAACACATTTAATTCTTATCTTGACTCATTTAACTATTTTAAATCAATTCATATTCATTTAATTATTATAAACTTCTTTATTTGTTAAAAATTGATGACTATTTTTGTATAAAAAGAGTTTCTGTTA